TATAAAGTACTAATTTAAATGATACTTTGGGCATTAATTTGACTGATATTTTTTTTCTTTTAAACAACGAAACAAATATTTAACATCAACCTACATTAAAATCACCTTTAAATAATTTATTTATGAAAGTATTATGCATTAGCATCATAATGATGAAAAAAATATTTAACATTCAAAACAATATATACATACAACAATAATGAATTATCATAGACTTTCATATAAGTTTTTATTCTTTATCTTTTCTACATCTAATCTGAATAATTGTTGTTATATCACTTCATAGTTTAGTGAATCAGTTTGAAGACAGTGTAGATGATGATGGTAGGTGATAAGAATCCTAATCTCACATTCATTGTTAAACTATTCATCCCTATATTTGCATTACAATAAACCTAAAAACAAAAATTGTCTTCTCTTTGAATAAAATAAACAAGAAAAATAAAAACAGTTAAATACAGAAAAACAACTAGTGAATTGTTATGCGTTAAAAATGAATAACAATTTTGAAATGAACAAAAAACGACAATCACAGAAAGGGAAACAAAATTACAAATGTGAATAATAACAATAATAATTATTATTTAGGGGGGGGGGGGAAGTAGAAAGAGAAGAAGAATGAGAAAGTTCAGAATCATTGATCACTTTTCTTTAGTTTACTGTTTATCCTTTCGTTTTGCAGATTTTCATTCAGCTAGTAATTTGTTCCATGTATGAGTGAGTGAGTGAGTGATTGGACGAATAAAGCAATGAATGAATAAATAAAAATTTATACCTTATAAAATGTTAAAATTAAATACAAAATAAATTACATTCTTTAATTTCCCTTCTCTTTCCTTACCCCCGAAGGAAAAAATTCCTTTTATAAAATGTATTCATTTCCAACAGTTATATTTTATGTTCGATGTTTTTAGTTTACAAAAAAAAAATTATAATGAATATTTCTCTATAGTAAATATAATTCTTATCTTCAATCTCTTATTCCTATCGTTATCATGATTAGATTTTATAATGTAAAAAAAGCAAAACATTGCGTTTCTGCTAACATTTACAAACTCAATCACATTTGTATACCACAATACACATATATTCCAACTAGTGTTTAACGTATTTTGAGTAAAAAATATCTTTCTTCAAACTTTTGTTATTTGCTAATCGGATAAATTCTCATTGTTGTGTAGGTTGATTATACGCATGAAAATGTTATTTTAGGGAAAAAAAAACACAACAATTTGATGTGGTTCATTGTAAACATGAAAACACGGATTGATGATAATGATAGTTATATTGAGAGAGAAAAAAACATTTTATCCAATAAATAAACAAAACAGAACAGTTAAAATGAAAGAATGGTAGAAGAATAGATTTTAAAAAAAATAGGAATAATTTAACCGAAATTTAAAATAGGATATTTTCAAAATGAATTCACTAAAAAAAGTCATACGTAAACCAATATACACTTGTGAATAAATACCTTTTTTTTAAATATTCAAACATATTTGTTTAAAAAAAAGTTACTTTAAAAGTACTCTGAAGATTTTGATACTTTTAAGATTCTTTAGAATCAGTTTAGTTCATTACTTATCAATGGAATTTATAATAGTAATAATAATAATGATAAAAATTATAATAATCTAAAACATGCTAGTAAACTATGTGCAGTTATATTTGTTTGGTACACTGGTAATTATGCATACTGTTAAAGAATATCAGCTCTATTATCAACAAATATGGCAGTGAAGTTTGATCTAAGGCCCCCCCCCCTGTATTACTGCTGGATAATTGATAAAACCATGTTAGCTAACGTGGGCGATCGGTGGAGATCGGATTAATCCAACCCTCTACTGTAACTTCGATTACTTGGATATTTCCTGCAGGAAAACAAATTTGTATAGGGCTGCCATTTGCGTATATATTTACATAGGAATCTCATGAGTCTCTGCTGATGTAGTTTATACATGTAAGTACATGCAAAGGGTAGGCAAAAAGTGAACGAGGGCTGAACACTCTGCCCTTATTAAAAAACGAGACCTTGTCATTAAAAAAAGCTAGTCTGTAAGAAAGGGTGTAACGAATACTGGGGAGAAATGACCACCACTTCTCTCTGAAAGCGCTTATAACTATGTATATATTATTAGGTGCATGGCTGAAAGTCTGTGCTCCATAAGACAGAAAGCTATGAAGAAGTAGTGACTAACTACCCATCAAGAAATGAGCATACCTAAATGTATGCCAAAGGGATTTAAAAGTAAAAACACATACGTTACCACTATGCAAATAAACTATGCTTGCCCCTCGGGTGAGCACGAATATCTGTATGTCAACAAATGCATAAGTGAAAACCTGTCTGTATACATCTAATGTATACTTACTGCAGGTGCGAAGCCCACACTCCAAGACTCATGAGGTTTCTTACGATATCACCATGAAGACATATTCACTCGGTGGGTTTGTGTGCTTCAAGAAAATCTTTTCGTTTCCAGATTGGCTATCTGTCTTATCCACAGAAAGTTTGACCAACCTCCAATGGCTAAAACACGTCACAAACAAGCATAAGTAATTGCCCTCAACATCACATGGTCTTTACGAAACAGTTTCTTTTAAAAAAGACTGCTGATTCAACAACATCAGCAGGTTGGTTTTATTGTAAAGTATTTTAAAAAGCCAGTAAATGAACTGGTAAAATGATCTGATTGTGCAAATCTTATTTAGATAGATACTGAAATCTAACCCGTCTATTTACTGAAAGCACTACTCATAAAATACTCAGGCCCGAAACTGCGATTTTTATGTTTCTGCTTCAACATCATTTTAGAAGATTAGTCAAATAAAATATTCCAGAGGAACAAATATATATTAACATAGAAGAACTAAATATGGTTAAAATAGTGCTTGGAATGTTCTGGTCATCAAACTTTAGGATAGGTTGGTACTGTTTGAACGTCATCGTAATAACTTCTTTAGTAAATATCCTTTTGATAGTGTACTTAGAAATGTGGAAAATCCGGGATGCTCTGTTCATCTGAAAATTAGAATAAAAACATTACAGCTAATCAATAATGACTGTTTAAGAAGTAGAGAAACCCAAAAATTGCTGACTAGATATTTCGTCCTATTTTTTAAGACTCTTCCAAATCATATACCATAATCTCATCGATGTTAGAATAACAAACCTTCCCATTTAATAACCAACACTTTATTTTCAAGTTATTTAGTGACAGAAAAAACTGAAAAGTACTTATTTTGTAAATTATACACTTATCTCATTACTGTGAAAACAGATAAATTAAGAATCTTGTATTCTACAAACAACAATTTGACTGCTCAGTGAAACGAGTTTGTACTAAAATAATGATAGCATTTTATTCTATCAAAATAAAAAAAATAAATGTTTATTCAGAAATTATTAAATAAATTTATTCTCACTTTACATTTGATTGACCACTGAGTGATGACCAATGTTATTTTTGTCTAATCCTTGGTCACTCGAATCCGATCGGTGTTAAAAATAACCAGAGAAATATGACAATGAACATCACTCTGTCATCAGTCAATCCTAAAATTCTCAGTCCTACAGGAAGTTAGGTGAGACCCAGACAGCTTCAAGTATCAGACTGAGGAACACAGTTTCAAATCAACCATTGAGCAACAGTTTTCACAAGATTATAGGTACAGTGTATTGCTAAATGCCAACTAGTAAGAATCATACGTCTAGTTTCTTGTCGACTACCTCCAACTACCCCTAACATACTTGTCATACCAGTACTTTATCCGAATATACAGTTGGAGAATATGATATGGTGAAATCATAAAATTCTTAATGATTGTTTACTTTTCTTCTTACAAAATTTATAACTCACTCGTTGATCAAACTGATCCATAATTAGAAGTTGATCTCAAGATTCTAACAATTAATGTAGTACGATTGTGTAAAAAGCGGTTTTTCACTGCTGGAAAATCCTTTGAATCTGTTCAGACTTTCAAATATCAGCAATACTAAATTCAATTACATTACAGTATAACCGCCAACAATATAAAACTTCAGCTAATTACCAAGAATATTTGCTTCTGGTAATTTCACGATGAAGTTCAGTACGTAAAAACATTAATTGGAAAATCGTTAAAATCCTTTCGTCTGTAGCAGATATACACCGTTCAACAATCCCAAACTAGGACATAACACCTGTGTCATTGTTCTCTGAGATTCAATGTTTCTCCAGTTGATCTTCGTTAAATAAATTCCTATTCTGTGTCCTTTAGATTCCATGTTATCCACCCTGATTGTCAATGGAAGTTAGAAAAGGATAGACAATTTCTATACTAATCAGTAACAGATTTCGCCTCAACTATGCACTTGATTGGTTAACTATTCATCGTAGAATAAAATGGAATGAAAATTACATTGCAATTAATGACAGTTTTTCGAGAGAAATTGATCGAAATTCACCCCTTTAATACAATTATTGTTTCATATGTATTTTGTTGTTATAACATAGTAAATCTCTCTATTTCTATCATCTAAATATCTGCCTATCTATCTATCTAACAATCTTTGTCTGTCTACTTAACCTAATCCATCTTTCTCATTAATTTTCTCACTTAGTAAACAACGTGAATTGTGTACGCAATGCAGAGATAGCCTGATTCATCTTAGAAGATGAAACATCTTCCATCATCTGTCTACCAATCTCTTTTACTCTGCCTAATCAAAGTCTTTTAAAAAAATACTCCCTGTCATATAGATAATTTCTAATGGTTATCTTAACATTTCATCATTCTGCCTGGATAGATAGATAGATAGATAGTTAGATAGATAGATAATCAACAAATTCGTTTCAAAGGCTAATACTGATGTGCTTACATATCACTTTCGTAGTAGATTTCAAAACACAGAACCATGAAAATAGTTCACCCTGAGTACTTTATTTCAAAATTAAATTAATGTGTAACTATTAATGTACAACTTTATCCATTAAATCATTAAAAACACCTCCATACTGATGAGTTCGTCAGTTATCAGTGATAATACTAGTAATAATAATAAATTATTCTATGACCATTCCATTACAACTTATACGATTCATTCTACTGATGATGTAATGATAGGTAAGTTTTTATTCACAGTTTAATTTGTGGTTTGTACTGAGTTTTTATTTTTGATCGTTTACTGTTGAAACTCATGTGTAGATAGTGTAAAACACATTCAGATCTGAAGAGTTAAACTCACTGATTTTCATCAGTAAACATAATGACGTTGAAAAATTGAAAATGATCTTCTTGTACAATTGAATGATGCTACTCAAATTAAAATGTATAATAATATACAAATTAACCATTAATTTCTAATGTAGTAATTAAGTAATGTATCCTTCAACAGTATGAAATAGAATTGTAGTACCAGATAAATATCAAATGATACAAATCATGTTTTCGTAGTAAATGACAGTATAAGTCCAATTAAGGTAGGTTATATGGAATACTTTTGACTTGAATATGAAAGGATACTTGTGAGAAAGCTGTTTCATTCTAATTTTTTCCGAGGGGCCTATTGCTTCTCACTGTTGAATGAGAAATAGAACCCAGGAACTTCAAATGTCATTACAAGTGAAATACCATTTTCGATTTTCATAGTCAATTTATGATATACCCTGATTTGTGATTATTCTTACGTTCATTATTATTATGATGATGATCAACTCTACTTGAATAACAGTTGCTCTTTTGGAAAACTTTCAGTGATTTGTAAAAAATAATTTGAATGAAAAGGAAATTTTAATATTAATTCTGAAAATTTTATTCATTCCAATGACGAATAGTATTCATTAGTTATGGATTTATAAAGCATGAATGTTCTTTTTTTTTTGAAAAAGAATAATGATATTTTCTTCAAAATAAGTTTACCAAAGAATTAACTTTAACAATATTTTCATTCATTACTTTATTGTTAAAATAATCAAAAGTAAAAATGAGATCCTATTTATTTTGATTAGATTTAAAATATCTTTGAAATACGTTATTCTCCTACAAAGTTATTACAATGAATTAGTTAGGTAACGTGACTATTATTCATTTCAGTCGTATCATGGGATTATTTCGTTACAGTTTAGTAAAAATAAGTGAGTTATTGGAAGTTTAAATGAGTCCATGACTTCAACTACTGTATGTTTCATAATTAAGTAGAATACGATTACAAGGATTTCAATCAGTCAGTCAGAGACAAGGCAGGAGGACCTGGTTCAAATGAGTATCGGTGTCAATTTACCGCGCCTTACATCAACACAGTAAAAAAAGTCAAAAATTGGAGTTCTGCTCCGAAAGAAACGGATGACGTCTATAAATGATAAGTATGAAGTTAACATTTAGTTCAAGAAGTCGGAGAAAATAAAAAGTGGATATAATTTCGCTACTGCGAACTCCTTTAAATTACTAAACTCAACATTTCTCTCTATTTGTTGATATCCTGATAGGTATTCAATGACTCAGTGAAGTGACCCTATATCTTTATTGAATCCACACTTGTCTCGTTCCTACCTGTTCCTATGGTCCTCATTATTGTTCGTCAGAATAGATGTCTATCTAAACATTAGTCGTTTGAAGCTAGTGTACTGAAAACTGAACATAGTTTATATTCTCCTAACTATTACTTGCCTGTAAAGATTTCATCTAAGTCTTTAGAGATTTCCGATTCAGTATAATATATTACGATGAATAATGAAATAGGTATTTGCATTATTTAGGACAAGAGTTTACTTGTACACGATTGAATAATCTGAGTTATTTGTATTTGGAATTCGTTTTTTCACGAGGTAAGATTGATAACTCTATGATCAAGCCTCGTCATTTATTATCAGGAATTGGAATCAACAGAAGCTGTTGAAACGTCTCAGGTGACGTTCAGTCAAGAAATATCTAGAATTATTCGAGAAATTATTTATACTGTTGTGATATTTTCTGATACCTGAATGCTTTAAACCAACAAAATCATAATATAATATTTATAATTTATTTTAAAATATTTAAAAACTACGTGTCAGTTACTTGTAGTATTTAATACGAATCGTTCATCTCACTATCTTGAATGAAGGAAGAACAAAGAATTAAGTAGGAGAACATGAATTGTTTTCCTGACCTAAGTCATCAACATTCTATAGCATTTTATCATCAAAATTATTAATTTGCCATACTTATACAAGTCAAATCGGTTAGATGTGAATATTTACTACTATGATGATGGAACGGTGATTGAACAACGTTAACGAGACAGAAAAAAATGTTACAGATAAAGTGAGTGTATGAGAAGCGATTTTCGGATATCAAAAATGGTTACTATGGATCATCGAGCCAAAAAGTTACCTGACTAAACACAAGTTAATAGTAATTAGTCATAACATGATTTGAGACCAGTTAGTTAGAAATAAAATTCTGAACTTGAAATATTTGAATATGCTGCAATCGAATTAAGAAAAAGAGTTGAAAAATATGAGGTGTAACAAAACGAAGGTATTGCCACTACGGTAGGGAAAGACTTACCACTGTTCCCTTTGAAGACCTACATCCGGTTAGGGATGATTATTGATTATAGATTCAGTAAATTTAAGAAAACAAGCGTTTGATTGTTTATTAATCAATATGAAAGGTATCATAGTATCAACCTGATGTCCTGTATCAAAGTAATAGCTAAAAGTATCTCTGATGCAGGCCTTTTTGAAAGAATTTTTCACAGCTCTATGATCTATGAGTACCATTTTTGGTGTCCTAAAATCGCCTCTCATATACTAAATTCATCTATAACATTTTTTCCTGTTTCGTCAACGTTATTCAATCACCGCTCCCTCATCAAATAAATAAATATTCATATCAAACCGATTTGACTTGTATAAGTATGTTAACTTACTTAATAATTTTGATGATAAAATATCCGAGGATTTTAGCGACTGATAATAATCTAATGAAATAGAAGCAATTCATGCTATCCTACTCTATTCCCTATGTGTTGTATATTTAACTGTTTACAAGAAGAAAACTATTAGTTGGCTCTAGAATCAAATTTTTTAAGCACAATTCGATTAGCTTTTTTTAATGTAACCCACTGTTGTTTGACTGGTTGTTAAATTTTTCCAGATTTAGTGGGTACTGTAATATCACTTTCGAACCTAATAAATTAAACTTCTATTACAAGGTATTGTGGAGGTTGCTAAGTTGAAAATCTCATATCAAGAAATGACTTTGATTATGGCTTATGACATGACTATTTGACAGGGAAGCAAGCTAAATACAACTGGAATTTGTTAGACCATCCCTACTCCCTGTTCGGTATCTTAGAGTATTCCAGTGCTACTCGGTGGATTGAGATATTATCAAATATGGTTTATAATCTTACTGTAGTGTTCACTGACGTTTGTTATTGTAAGAGGAAAAAGGACTCTTGTAACTGGAAAAACGTTTTTCTTAACAGTACTTACCTGAAGTGTATCTATACATGTATTCATTTATTTTTCCTATCTCAATCCCTTACGCTTAATTATTTCTTCATAATGTTATTTCTGTATTTAGTATGGCACATGCTATGTTTGACATCGAGTTACACTAGTAAATTTGCCTGAACTACATCACTCTCACTTACTGTTAGTCTTAAAATGTAAATTCACATAATGACCAAGTATAATGAAATCTAAGAATTTCAACCCATTGAAAGACTTGAATTTACATTTATTCTAATAAGAATGACAACATATACACTTTCATGCAGGCTTAAATTCAGCATTCGTTAATTTGTACAATAAATATATATCATTAATGTATCAATTCTATTAAAAGTCATAAATTCATTTGATAAACCAACGGAAAACACTTTCCTTTTATAGAAAAAAAAGACACGATCGTAACAATGACAACAAATAAAATTGAAGTTGATTGTAGATTTTTATTACAAGTCCCTTTGAGTAATTTACATCTAACATTTGAATATGAAACAATTATTATTATATGTCTGTGTTTGTGGCTGTTCGTTTTCTTCTCATAAATCTAATCTAACTTATTAGTTTGATGAAAAAATGTGAATAGGTACAATAAGCTAGTTGTGACAGAACATAAATTAAGTTTTTGTACAGAACATCTGTTATCGAAATCATTAATAAATAAGCGAAAAAAAATCTTGAGAAACATGTTAATTTCATTGCTAATATTACTTATAACCATTACTGTCATTATTATTATTATTATTATTATTATTATTGTTATTATTATTATCATTATTATATCACAAGAGAATTAAAAGAGAGACAAATGTAGAAAAAAAAATGACTGCATCTTATCACTCATATCATCAAGAAGATTATGATCATTACTTTTATCATCATTGAAATCGATAAAAACCAATGACAAAATCCTAATTATCGATTGATCCAGTATTCCTAAGAGAGTCATTATATAAATCGACCATGAAATAAATGAAGGGAAACAAAATATTTTATGATTTTAATACATTTATGTTTTTTTTTGTGAGCTTGTGTAATTGGGTTAAATTGTCAATGGATCATGGTATTTTTACACTGAATATTTTATTCAACCCAATTTTTTCATCTTTTTTCGTAGTTGCCCTCAACTTTCTTTCATCTATTTTCAATTCTGTCATCAAGTTGTTCAATGAAAAAAACTAGTTGTATTTTATTCAATGAAATAACCACGCTCATAAATGGATAAACAAATAATTTTAAAAATGTAATACAAAATAATGAAAGAAAAGGTTATCTTGAATCTTTTTAAATATTCGCCATAATATTTGTTTCAAATAAAAGTGCGCGAATGTACGGAACAAAGTGAAAACTCATATTATCGTCAAAAATCTTTTCCGTATTACATGAGATGTGATTGACAACATGCTGACAGAAGTTGAAAACAATAATTGTTCAAAGACTTAATGTTGGCAGTGAAATTCAATCACAGTGAAATTTTAATCACAATCATTCATACTGTCTATTTTAAAACTAAAAAAAACCCAATAAATTTTATATTTCCAGCTCATATCTTGAACTTGTCATTTGCCGGTATATATTTGTTTTCTAAATAATTATCGATAATTGAGCATGGTAACAAATATCGCTTGAACATAATCAGTAAACGATGCGCCCAAATCAATTGCCAGTTATAAGATTTTGTTGATATTCTGTTCTATAAGCTAAACTGTCAGGCTTTTATTTTTGTCGTTTCGAATAACTTGAGTATCCTCTGCTTCATATAGAAGTGACTGGTTCTCAGTGACCATTCATGATTATTGACCAACCAACACATTATAACCCTTTGGTTAATTAAAAACAACATCCTGGATCAATGTATCTCATTGTTGAACACCAGTATTTTTATTAAATAGGACAGCAAAAGAATAAAATCGTTGTTGATCAACATAATAAATATTTTTTTGTGCTAAGTACGAATGAAATATCGTGAATACTTATAACTTGTTGAAATTTTGTACAATTTACTGGTAAGTTTTATCACAAACTTAAGTTTAACTGGTGAACCAATAGATCAATAATACTATCAGATTGTAAATGCTCACTTAGTGCTAAGGTATTTTAGTAACTTAATAACTTTTAATAATTTATAAAACTATGTAATCACTACCATCTAGTCTATCATCCCGACATTCATAAATACTCTGTAAAATGGTAATACTTGGTGAAACTTCGTCCGAAAAGGTTTTACCAACTAAAAATGTGACTGAAGTAAAATGAATTGCTTAATCGAAAACTTTATCTCACACAAGAATTATCAAATTTAGCTCCCCAGAAATCTCGTTCTAAGTGGTTACACCTAATAACGTTATAAATACGAAAAAGTATACCAACATTTGGAAAAAACTATTCCTACTGAAAGAATGGTATCCAATACTTTGAGTATTTCATTGGTTTAAACAACATACAAATTCTTGAGTGTTTAGTTGTTGTTTGCTGCAGTTGTGGCATAATCGAAAGTTGTATGAATTAGAGTTGTTGGCCATTCTTTTTATTAGGCCATATCAGTTGAATCGTATAGAACTTATACTGCGAATTAAAGTACTCATAGGTCTCTTCAACAACACTATGAAATATATAAATATGATCAATAAGAAGCATAGTATCAGCATTCTGACCCCTTTACTTACTACCCTTAAACTTCAACCTACTGTAGTGATTTACTTTTGTTTCTAACTTCACAGAAAATAAAAAAAATGACCAGCTGTTTCTTTACAAACTATTACTTTATAAACTACAAATGCATTTTTTAAATGTAAAAGATTAAAGCATACAAGTAGTTTATCCATGTTCAAAATGCTTCTATTTACATTAGATTACTAACAGTATAAATATTCTGACTAGAAATACTGTTGTAATTAGTATTCAATAGTATTAGTTAAAATACAACAACAGTATAATTATTTAACGTACTATTACTAGTTTCATTGTATTTTTTTTCCTTAAATGAATAATCAGTAAGTAACAAGTGCATTTTTACATAATTAACAAATTATTCCAGTTAATGAAAAAAAATCTATCTGAAGAAGAAAGTTCATTTTAATCTTAATTTACTGACATAGTTTACAATTTTAAATTTGAAGAATGTTAATATTTCTAGTTTTATTCACAATTTTTCGTCCTAAGAATTGTTGGGGACGTTAGATTCCCAGAAGTAGCTTGATAAATGCCTTATTTTGGATTTCACGTTTGCGAACATGGGCTGATCAGTTGACCTTGAAGTTCCAATTCCCACTAGGAAAATCGTTGGCTGTGATTGATTGCTGTGTAGTTTAGTGTGCTTTTTTGTGACTTTCCCAAGCACGTTTCTATGATGTATAAATAAACGAGATTTGTGTGTTTGATTGCATTATGCTTGCTGCGTGTTTGTAGAATATACTTTCTACGCTTATCAAGGCTTCTCTTTTGCCGTTTTCGGATCAAGGTAGCCTACCTGGACGCTGGTTCACTGTCTCGTTCGCGTTTATAAACTAAGGTGAACCCGTAATAACTTCAAGCGTACCTAGTGAAAAACCTAACAAGAATTCTCTGATGATACAGTTTACATCACAAAATAAATATTTATTTGATGAGATTTCAGTGTTACGATAAATTACAGCTATTTTTAATGAGTGGAGTAGTTAAATATTCACTACCAACAATCATTTCATTCAAACACCGATTGCAAAAGAGATAAATACAAACAAAATACATTCAGACTGATAGTCTTTGTGGTGTTCTGTTTATTCGAAAAATAAATTTCCTATACTGATTTAACTTGCAAAAGTAATGAAATTAGCAGAACATTTAGTAGACAGTTTGCCTTCTCTGGAAGTTTCTCTTCAGTAATCACTTCCTCTATATAAGACTGAATAAAAGATTACATTCAAAATTGATATGTCTACTGTCTAACCAAGGTATGTGATATGGGAGAAATACAATACAAAAAGAACTATCCAGACCGAACTGCTTATATTAGATTTACCTGAAAGGAACTATGAAGTTAAACACCTAGACCGTTAAGTATTCAGTAGTGGAATTCCCATAAACGACGATTTGAATAGTGAGGCAACTATTACTAACGGGATAAAGCGATTGTTACTCCAACGTAGGAATTTACTGTGAACCACAAGATTGTAATTCAGTTACGCTTGGTTCATACTCTGTGGGTTTTTGTTTAAATGCACTGTTGAGGAGTCTCACGCTAGAGTGTATTATCTGTTCACCTCATTATAATATTTAGCAAAACTTCAAACAACTTATCACTAAACTAAACTTTCAGTTTTCTAAAACATTTGTCATTGGCATTCTCTAAAATATACTGATCAAATGTTTTTTTGTTGTTGCAAACTTAATCATTTCTCACTACAGATGATCAACGCGTTAGTAAACATAACTCTTGGATAACTAATGAATGGCAGAAACCATCAATGTTATCGAATACTTTCAATGATCTTAATAAACATCATAAATTCTATTCAGAAAACAAAGCTGTTCATAACAATATATTACAAACAGCAACTGCATTTACAATGAATAGTAAATTTGTGAACCATGAAGACGACGAAGATGTTGATGATGACGTTGACGAGGATGAGGATGATGATGAAGATGATGGGGAAGAAGCCAGAAATGAAGAGGAAGATCAACAACAGTCATTTATTATAAACAGTTCCAAAGTATCCAGCTTTTCAGTGAATGCAAACAATTCACCAATTCCTACTCCCTTAAGTAATAATAATATTTTTAATAATAAAATTCATATTCCTGATCATTTATTCACCAGACATGCAGAGAACAAATGCCCTATTCAATTGTTTAATAAAGAAAATGATAATATTAACATTAATTCTTTAACAACTTCATTATCATCGCCATCGTCATTGATTCCACTATCCGTAAATTATTGTAAACAAGAAGATGAAAGTGTTGTAATCGAAGAGGAAGAAAAAAATCTTGAGGCAATACAAAATTCAATAAATACAACACATATGTAAGTAAATTACATTTTATAAATAAAAGTGAATATTGATATCTAGGCAGTTAAAATTACTCATGATAGGGGGTTTTTTGACGATTGTCGAACTTTGTAGTTTGCATTATACAGAGGGAATTTATTTGGATAGGAATTGAAAACCAAGAAGCACAATATAATTGCTTTGTTCTAGTACAACACTCTTTAACAGTGGTTTTTAATCATTTTCCGTGATGTAAACTATACATAATTACTCATTATTAATCCATTCCTAAATTATAGCACTTAATTGATCATCACAAGTAGTTAGTATTGATTTATTGTGTTAGTATTTTTATTGTTCCATCTCTTTAGAAAATTTTCTCTCGCTCTAACTTTCAGTCGGCAAAATACTGACGTAACAAACAGAAATTGATCAGTGAATGTTAATTAGTCGTAAACGATAAATTCATCCGAAGGATTCTTAGTCCATAACATTTATTCCATACTAAATGAAATGATAAACTATATTTTCTAATATGAATAATTAAAAACATTTTTCTTATTAAAACGAATAAATATGTAATGGTAAAAGTCGTTTACATGTTCAAATAATCTGCTTGAATAGTAGTGTGTACATAAAACAGGAATAAATTTTTTTTTTAGTTTTTCAATAATTTTTATTTCTTCATCAAACCATAGAAAGATAAGATTATTAATTTTTGAATATTTAACTTTGTTATCCTTCAATTCACAATGATAAATATGCAGTATAATCCTATTCATAAAGTTTAGTAATTAATTTAATTTACTTCAGCTGTGAAACTTAATGAATGCCATATAATTTGATCATTAAACGATTACCAACTAATAATAGTTGTTCAGTGTTCAAGTAAATGTTTTCTAACTTTAAGTCAATAAATTTAATTGATGATACATTACTTACAAGAATCGTTAATACAATTTAAAAATAACAATAAAAATTCTGAACAGATTCAAACAAACCGCTTAGTATTTCATCTGTTGAATCTAAAACTTTATACATTAGTTTTTTTTCAAAAATAATTGAAGGGAAAAAATGTTACCAACAAAGATAATATTATATAATGTAAAAGAAACGTCAAATCATCCATTGACTATCTTTAGCTTTATAAACGATCTGCAAAGCAACTCATTCTGTTATCAGATGGTCAAGTTTTTGTTAGTTAAATTTATTCAGTGATCATATGCAAAAAAATAGGTTATAAATCTTGAAAATTTCAACAGTCTTTGTACGAAGTCCTACACTAATCTACGCTTCATTACTATTCAGGTGAAATATCCCTGGTTTACATTGTTCATTCATTGGTTAGTAAATGCTATGACAATATCACAGTCTTTTGTGAAATCACTCCAGATGAACAGCATGATGAAAGTGTACGTAGAAATTTTATACTTTTATTAGCATAGGATAATCTTATTTTGTTCTGTGCTCAGTTTCTTTGTTTTGTTTTCTACCAACTTATTAGACCATCATCATTTTTCCAGTGTACTCTTGATTCATCATGCAATAAATCAATGTCAAATTTTGAATGTTGGTTAGGTGGACAAATGTCTTCATCATTTTATCAACAATATCGTAATGATAATGATGATATTATTGACAATAAAAATCATCCACATCATCATGAACAACAATGTCCTTATCTTTCTTATTATTCTAATAATAAGAAAGGATCAATAGAACAACTATTCACAACTCATAAAAGTACATCAGAATCACAAATGCACATTGAACAAGATTCAATGAAAAAAGCATCATCTGAAATACCATTAAATTCATTTACTCAATTGGCTGGTGATACATCACTGAATTCAACTGAACTAGTACATAAACAAGGTCCATTTGCTGCTAGCAATGATTATCAAAATAATGATACCAACACTAATAAAGATAATCTTATGAATATTTATTGTATGAGCAATTTATATCCCTCAACGTATGCAGATTTTACATCCACACACAATAATAGTAACAATAATCAAACAGATTATTCAGATACATTTCAAATCTTAAATGCATCCGACTCCTCATTAAACAATAAAAATATTAAGAATTTTGATTTGATCAATGATGTTTTTACAAAAAATTTAATTGATACAACCAATAATAAAATGGATTTCTTATTTCCATCAATTACAACAAATTCCATATTGAATTCCTCACTAGCAACTACCGTCACAATGGCAATGAGAAATACAACACCGACAACAATGTTAACAACAAATTTTATCAAACAAGATATTCCTGATTTGACCGCAGCAACAGCAGCTGCTGTTGCTTTTCATGGATTAGATCCAGTTACAACTGTTCAAATGTTAAGAATGTCTTCATTAGCTAGTAAATTGAGAAATAAAACAAAAATTTTAACAGGTAAAAATTTATTAATTTTATAATTGCGGTATTCTTAACTCTTAATAATTGATGATAACGAGATGATCACATCAAAACTAAGCTTTGAAAATTATTAAATGTTCGTATTGACGCAATGGAAATGAAAGATACAATGAAACAACTGATGTAACTGAGATTGAAAAATGTCGACTAACTTGGCAATTGATGTGCTTCAATCCCATGCGAATTTTCAAGCAAAGAGAACTAGCTAATCAGTGCCCACTGGTTTTTAATTATTATCTGTCTGATATCAATTCAGGGTGAAAATTATTTTCAAATTATAGTTTCATTCTTTATACACAACTGATAATATAATGACTTCTTGTGTTGAATACTAGGAAGAATAGATATTACTTGTTATACGAAATAAACTTGTGATAAATTCAATTTGTTTAATGAATGTTAATAAATATCAATTATTCTTAGTCAAAATTTATTGATCAAGTAATATTCAAATGATCCAATAAGTCAAGCAATCTAACACCACAATGCACTAAATATGATGTTACAGACAAATAACAAACATGTAAACAACAATGAAAGAAAAATCCTGATTATTGAGAATGATATATTGATTGATCATCATTGGGTAGTGACTAATTATATGTTTATCGAGTCTGTAGTTACCGGGGTATTTTTCCAACCAAACTGTATCAAATCGAATCATAGGTTGAACATCGATTTCCACAAGATTATAGGTACGCCTTGTTAATGATATCCAGTTAGCAAGAAACAAAGGTCCATGGTTTTATGTCAACTAACTCCAATCACCTAACATAATCAAAAAAAAGTTGATGATCAAATCTATAAGGATAGTTCTCATCATTTATTTACACCACTTGAAATAATCAGAATCTACAGAGTATTCAATAGTTGTTTCACTCTACCCTGGGACTCCTCAATAGCTAAGCAAACAATGAATAAATCACATCCTCCTATCCGATTCATGAAAGAAAATTCCAACAATGTTGACTTGTTAAACCATATCATAAGTGAAATGTAGTTTTATCACAATTATCGAAATCATAAATAATACAAAGGAATCAATACAACTGTGATCATGTTTGATTTGTCAACTCTTTTGCATCAACTTTATAAACGTAACTGAACACATTACTGGTTTTCATCTCTTTAATTGTTTACTATTTGCTTTCATATTTATCTTGAAAGTTTTACAGATTATGAGCTGAAAACTGGGAGTCGTTCATATTTAAGTGCCTAAATTTGCTATTGTATTTCTCTTGCGCAATCATCTAGATAGTTTTGACACTGTTATTCAACCGATCTATTTTACACAGTGCTTTGTTGTATTTGCCTGACCGTAGGACTAACTAACTATACTCATAACTATCATTATCATAGTTATTATGAACAAGACTAGTCAGTTAAGTAGTAATTAAAGCAATAAAAAATCCAAAAACTTGAACTAATTTGTCGTAAACTTATTTACATCGTATTCCATAAGCTATCCTTCTTGTGGTATTTGGACTAACGAAGGAAGCCATCGTTTGACTGGAAAACATATACACCCGAAGATATTGCATTCTACCGTAACCAACTTATTTTCATGAAGTTGACGCTACACTTTACTCTAAATTAATAATTTAACCTTCAATTTTGATAGACGGTAGAGAATGCGTGAACTGTGGAGCTACTCAAACACCATTATGGAGAAGAGATGAAGCTGGACATTATTTGTGCAATGCATGTGGTTTATATCATAAAATGAATGGAACCAATCGACCATTGATAAAACCAAAACGTCGTATGGTAAGTTATTTTTATTATACTAAACATGTTTATCTTATTTACAATTTATTTTTTTTATAGAGTAAAGCTAACCAAAACTTTAAGATAATAAAAACATTAGCAGTTATACAGTTTGAGTTATTCACCTGCTCACCAATGTCCATGATACTTCTGCATGCCATTCTACGTACTGTACAAAGCAATAGAATGAGACAAAACTTAGTGCAACATACCATTAGAAAAAGATTATACTAAGCACATACACAATTTTTTATCGGACAAACTAAACAGTTCTTCATTTAAAACTTTAAAAAAAATCAAATTTAAAAAAATCAAATTAGCATTTAAATTGTCTCATCAATAATCTCTCATTTTGATCTTAAGTAATAGTTTGTCCAACTAAAAAACATTTCATTTTCATTTTGAAAAAAACTTCATATTTTGTAAATCATGCTAGTAAATGGTCAATGAAAAAGAATTTATAGCGTAAATGGTCTAATATCAAGTTATGACCATTTAAAAAACAGAAATAAAACTGGTCACCTCCATAAGTTTGAGGAAAGGTTGCACAAAAACCTTAGACTGACCAGAGTTGGACATTAGCATCGTTGGATGCCAGCTCAGTGGTTTAGGCGTTTTCAAGCGAGACCGAAGGTCCTAGCTTCGATTCCCACGAGCGGGGATCGTGGATATGCACTGCCGAAGAATTCTATACTAGGATGGGACAGCCGTCTAGTGCTTCCAGATTTATAGTGGTAATCTAACACTCATGCTTTCAATCAAAAACCTCGATAAGTATCAAACTGATGCTTCTTCATCATAAGTAAGTAGGTTACAAAATAAATACCCGATTTCGACATTTTTCTAGTAAAATATTTGATCATATGCAGGTACAAGCCCTACTATGAAAATACTACAATACATATGATATTAACCCTTTTATATTCCCATCTTTTACTAAGTCAGTGTTTAAACTCGCTGCTTGATGATTTAAAAAAAAATATCATCAGTATCTATTTTCACCTGTTATCAGCTTAACGGTATGTGACATTATTGACAATCTAAATTTTGAAGGTGATGTTGCAAAAACTGATTCGAACATTTCACGAGCATTATAAATAAATCTTTCTAAAGTATGTTATATTTAAAAGTTGAAATAACATGAATGAAATCAGAAATGATATTTTTATATCAGTCAGCATTTAATAGCAGCTAATACCAAAGACTAGTAGTTCTAGGATACATGAAACCAAAATGTTAACCTTGTTTTGAAGGTAGTTTTCAAAGTGAAATGGAATCATTTATAAACGACGGAGAATTTTATAGTTGGTTTTTCTCAGTGTTTACCACCTATGATCCCATATTTGATGTGCATTCTGATGTTTAAGTGACATAATGAGCACAACGCCATTTCGCTACTGAATCGGTATTCAGTCATTCATAATTTCTAACTGAATAAGTGAAAAACGACCAGTCTTTATTCTACGCTATCGATGGGCAACTACTTGGCTTCTGATCCTTTCGACTTCACATGTATAACATTCGTAATTATTGAAATAATTTTATTTACAACAACTCATACTAATAAGTATAAAGCCTTATGATCTAATAGAATAATCCTTTTCAAAGTGAAACCGTCCATTAAATGAATAACTGAAAGGATTCTAAGATACACCAATGCATGTGGATTTAAAAACAATTACACTCTTACGATTATGAATGCCAGTATCACAAAACAGGTTTTCATAATCTATCCAGGTTTCAACATGATGGAAATTGTCAGCTTTAAGCAAAACTAGTTGACTAGAGTCTTTTAGTCTGATTCATCTTTATTGATGATTCCCATACAAGCTTCAGTAGTAATTGTTAGGGTACTCATGTAAATATCCCAATAATTATTCCGTTAATTCTATCATTAAACGTAAGATCGCATATTTTCACATTTTTCACATGTTTTCAGACATTTAACACCTCGTTTCCTATTGGTCAGTATTAACGGTCGGCCTAACTGTATAAATAAGTGTTGTCTGTAAAGTTCTAGGCTGTATTCCGACCGCATAAACATTCTTCACCTGACGGTTTTTGTGTTTTGATATATTAGGGAAAAAGAATTTGCGATCGTACTGGAATATCTGAGGTTGGTCAATCAGTAGAATTTCGAGTAGCCACTTCGCAGACCACATTAGTAACATGGTGAACACTAAAAATTGCACAATATATTGAATTCCAAAGCGAATTCTATTAAGCTGACACAAGTAATAGATTTGTTAAAAACATTACTATCCATTCATCAATAACAGTATATACGAGAATGAATAATAGTTTCTTCAAGCTAAACTGAATTTACTTCACACAAGTATCTCCTACATATACAAAGTTAAGATATCAACATTAATGATTAATGATGCGAAATAAGTCATTCTAAAGCACAGTGTTTAAATATCATGAAATCTCGTAATTCTACCGAGTGAAAGTGCAGTCAATATAAAAATTAGTTTATTCATTCTATGGAAAAGCAGAATTTTTACATACTTCAGTTTTGTAAAAACATTTTATTAGATCTAGTAGTGAGATCAAAAAAAGTGTTCATACCTTGATGGTTTACACATGATACAGCAATGGATAGAATACTAATTCTTTCTAAAGCATTAATGTCTTCCCTCTGAAAAAGAACAACTACAAAGAATCAGTTATGGAGTTTTCACATACGGTTAATTCAAGAATTGTCAACAAATCTATAGAAAAAGATTCATGAACTTCGAAAGTCACCTGAATAATCTCTAAAATTGAAAAAGATTAATTGACTGAATGGAATGTGATTCATAACAGTCAATAAATATTTTTAATCAAAATCAGACTAATTTTTTTGAGCGAAAATATTATTTTATGCACATCATTGTCAACCTACATGGTTTCTTATGACTGAGATATTTCCCAGTTCCTTTATTATATTTATATGTATGAATTACGACTCAATGAAAACTAACTGTATTTTATTATTTCCTTGAATTTTGATTAACTAAGTCTACAAACCGTAAACTTGGCACATTCTGTGCAAATTGTCGAACATCACATACAACATTATGGAGACGTAATCAACAAGGCGATTCAGTGTGTAACGCATGTGGACTTTACTACAAATTACATCATGTAAGTTTAATATATCATTGACGAATTTCCGAAATAAGGTCAAAGTAAGAAAGTCAGTTTTGGTAAATTATATCTGGTTACATAACCTTACTATTCTTTCAATATTGACGGAAAAAAGAGCATGATCAGATTAACTGCAACCTTCTGCTTAATCGGCAAACATATACAAACCAAACATCGGATAAATTTAACTAATTTTAAGAAAGAAAACTTTCGCGAATATTAATGAGCTGAATTATAGGCCGACATAAAGTTTCTGCTTAATAATTGGCTTATTTTGAAATTTTATTTTCCGAGCTGAGAAAGATTAAAGTCCCTATCGAGAAATAGCAATTAGTATTTGGAAAGTTGAATACGGTTGGAAATGAAGATAATTGTGCTATAACGATAAAAAGCAGCAGAAGATAGGTAAAATGTCATGAATATCATTAGCAAGGTAAACGAAAATTACTACATTGGGTTAGATTAATCTAGTATGAGGAATCTAAATAATAACTCATATTTTACTAAAACATTGTTATCTTGAAAATGAATGATTAAGAGTGTTACCGAAATCAATATTATACTGCTACACACAACTGATTTGCCTACTGATCATTTCCCAGGAGCCTTGAGTCAAAGCTAATTCACAAGGCTCAATATTACATGAAACTCCTCAATTATGAAATACCATAAACCTTGTAGTGTGTTCTAATATGTCCAGCCCGCATGGCTTGTCTCAGCACTTGGAGAAATCAATCAATCCATTCTTCTAGAGTTATTCACGCATCTTTCGATCTTGTCAATTATTCGTTTATATCTCAGTTGTTGTTATTCGTGCGTGTATGCATGCTTACATCGCCTATTACATGTCTAGCCAAATTTGCCTCACCATAAATACTTAGTCATGCCTCATCATACTAAGTTGGCCCACGCGCCTTGCTTTTACGCTTTGTATTCTCATCTGTCCGCGTAGACAATTGCACGAAATAAATTTATCCAACTGAATCCGTACTCGGCTTCTCACTACCACCAACGTTACACAAACAGGGTTCGCGTAAGCATGATATACGGAAATTAAAGGGAAGATTTATTTGATAATGTCCGTACAAATTGAAGTCAGACCATGAGTTACTAAAAACTCTTAAGATAAATGATCGTAATATTAGGAGTAACAGCTTTGGCTATCCCACTGAACATTTGTTCGGATTTTAGAAACAAAAATCCGTCAAAAATCGTAGATGCGACCTGTTGATTGATATACCGAAGTCGCATAGTGCTATTTTTTCCTCAGGAGTGGTCATGTGTTAAGAATATACATTAAAAAGCATGGAGTTGTACGAATACAAAATATTTGAGTGGATTTACACAACATATCTTGTTGCGTTGATAAGTCGGGGTTTACTCTGTTTATTGAACCAAAAATATAAATTTAACTTACATTGATTATTGTACTAATAGTATCGATCATAAATGAATATTTTACTTTACAACCTTTACTTTTTGATAAAAAAAAACAAACCCCAGATAAATCGACCACTGTCTATGAAAAAAGAGATTATTCAAACAAGAAATCGAAAATTAACTCAAGCGAAAAAAAGAAAAGATTTAGAACATTTTACTAAACTACTAACATCGAATAATACAAAAATTATTACAAAAGACCTACAAGCAAATAGTACCAATTCAAAAATGACACAATGGTTTAGAATGAATCAATTAAGATCAACATTACCAAAACGAACACTTCCTAATTTATTTGATAGTAGAGAACATCTACCAATCAATATTACTGATAACAACAATAATACAAAATTATTGCATAGAAATGTCAACGATCCAATTACCAATTTTTATTCATATTCAAAATTCTATCAAAAAAATAAATTCGATAAGAATTATTATTATTCCACGCATGAACACATAGAAAGTAATCAACAACAATTGAATGCAGCAGCTGTGGCAGCCGCTGCCATCGCAGCGAGTTATATCAATGTTTCAACTCAGCCAACAAGTTTCAATTCAATACTATCAAAGAATACAACATCACCATCACCATCATCATTATTATTATTGCCTTCTGTGACGACTACAACAACAACAACAACAACGCTTACATCATTAACATCATCGAATATGAAAACAACTGAAGAAATCATTAGAGAACAAATCGGGATGCCTATAAATTCGGTGGTTTTACAATCATCATCTAAATGTATTATGCAAAATGAAATGATCAGTCATAACAGTAATAATAATCCACAATCTAATCCAGACAATAATATAAATCTGTTTAAAAATAACATTTCAACAATTTCAACTCCATGGAATTCATTTATTACATCGAAAAGTCTATGAACTGGATCTTTGATCTTTTCAGGAAAAATAGACATTTTAAGATAGGAAAATGTTTGAACTGACAGAGTTATGTTGTACATAGAATAAATTTTTTTTTTTAAAGAAATAACTTGATCATTTTCAAACATACTTCTTCATAATTGTCAGTATATTTTGCTTCATTGTTGAAATTTACATTTATTTGATAAATGTCATTCACATGGATGCATTTTTCTTGTTAATTCTTAACTTATAAAGTGTGACTAGGAATAATTTGACATGTGGTTTAATACAACTGAAAATGTAGTTTTCAGGCCATCATATCAGACAGAACAAATTAAAACTATATGTTATGTTGCTACATTGTTGGGATCTAGTAGGATGATGTGATAAGCCATGACAGAACTAAGATGAATCAAATTGTCTAATTAGAATCATGTACAAAAATGTAGTGGTTTTTGATACCTTTTAACAATAAACTAATGCAATTATGAATTGATCACGCTTAGAGCACCATTAGAAACCTGGAGGCAGAATACGGCCATTTCATCCTAGTATGAGACTCATCATAATTTCCATGCAACTCAACAATTTCCGTAACTCTATGATGAAAAATAAACGGACGCTTTGGGAATAGCTTACCTGATAGCATAAAAATATATGTACTATACTAATAAAACTGTACGTGTACAACTAATAATGTCTTGTATATATGTCACGATGTTTCCGTAATCTGTACAAGTACATTTACTAATAACTGCACATCGCATTTAATAATCAACATATCTGAAAACATTAGATATCTACTGTCAAAACAAGACCGCTGAGTTATTAATTCAGCAATATTTTAGAACCTATTTTTTTAAAACTGAGTCGTATCGATCTTGATACGATGACAACGCACGATCAATGTTACACGACAAAATCTGTAACTAAACACACTACATCAGTATGTTTTGCATTTATCTTATCGATTCAGTGTATTGAATTAAAAAAAATAAAATTAGCTGTAAGAAAATTTAAGAGGATCCCATGTAAAACTAGTAAATATCATTTACTAAATAGAAATCAAGTCGAAAATCTTGTGACAAAACAACCATATCAGCCTAAAATTCTTGAAGTCATCAAAAACACTAGTCGATCATATGCTTTTAAAATATTGATCACGTACGACGAAACTACCAAGCAAGTAGTGTTGAAGTGAAACGTAGGGTAATATCTAAAACGATAAGTTGGTTGGTGAAGATGTGAAAGTTTATTCGTTAGAATACGTATTACATATGCCCAGAGGCAATCCGCCTTGACGTGAAACGGTGGCTAGGATTGGAGTAAGTTCGAAACAGGTTATAGGTATCCAGACGATGACACAACGTTAGTCCATGAAGCTAATGACTTAAAATGATCTGCGTTAGGTTTAGTTGACCCATTCCACAAGATAACCTTTGATGATAATTGAAGACCGTAGTTAACATAATTCGAAGACAGTTGCTTTCAATATCAAGTTTTGATTTGCTTTAATACTTTTTATCATTTCATTTGTATTTCCTGAACTATGACTTCTATTCGTTGATTTACTGTCGCTGATACTGTAGTGAAGGAGAACACAGGTGAGGGCAACCGAATTGTATTTATCGCAAATTACAGAGTTACTCAGTAAAATAGGAAAACCATATCGTAACTGTTAATTTGCAAATCTTCAATCCATTGTCTGACATTTCACTATTCATGCGTTTCATACAAATTCCATTGTTTTCTAACTCTTCCTTTCTTGATCTTCCCCCATCTTCGGCTGCCAGACATTACGTTGACTCTCACGTCATATACTACTTATAAGTAGCTCGCACCACAATACTACTTTATTACTGATTTCCTTTGATTATGCCGGTGTATTTATTATATGCTGACCTACAGTAATGCACATTTCTCATAGGTCCTACGTTGTTTGTAAATAAATTTTATGGCAATTAAAATTCAACATTTGATTACAGATCAAAGTATAAACATGACCAAGGGATTTCAGCATAAAAAGCCATGATTAATAACTAATTTTTACTTCGTAAATAACTATATGCTGCTGAAGGTTTAATTATACAACATGAAATTTACAAATGAAATTATATAACACCGGTGATTTGTTTTACATATTTCTTGGAAAAAAAACTAAGCAATGCTTTGCAACCATTCAGCTGAGTAGTAAATACAATATTTGAAAAACATGAGTCGATCAGATACACAAAACGCCATGATTGATAAGAAATAAAAACAAGTCGGTAGTATCTTTACAAAAAAAATATTTAAATGTAAATAGATTAACAGAATAGCATTATCGTGTCGTTAAAACAGTCTTTTGATTTGTTGACTTTTGTGCCAGTTTCATATTTGGTGAAGGAGCCAACCAAGCTTGTCGACCGATGGATAAAGAAGAAAGAACACGAGTAGGCTTCAATTCTTTACCTGTGACATTATGTTTATCACAAGAAGATAAACTTCTTCTTCGAACTTTTACAGAAATATCAGAGGATATCTTACTGTGTTGTTTCAACCATTTTGGAGCATCTTCACCAAATGGGTTAGAAATAGAATCATAGTCTTCGTTTTCAGCCAAATTATTAAACGGTAGGCAATGATCAGGTTCATTTTTAGAATTTCCCATTTCATACTGATGCAGTTTCCCAGTAGATAGATTTATTTGAGGCGGTTTCCAAAGAGGTTTATGCTTCTCGAATTTATCACCAGAATCTAGATAGCATAGACAAAATTCATTCTCCGATTGTAATAAAATTCCCTCTCCAGTCGAAAGCCAGAGGAGGGATGAAATTAGGAAATTAAAGTGTGCCGGGGCCTGAATATGCAAAACACCAAATAAGAAACATATAATTAGTAATGTAATAAAATCAACTATTTTATATTGCATTTCACAATGTATTCGTACATATTAGGACTCAGATACGAATTATATGATCGCAGTTTACAGTTGCTCAACCGAATATTAAAAACAATGTGTAAAATTAGTCTAACATTGCTGATATATAGTTAAATCATGATAGGAGACTAGAACTGTTGTGGAAATAGACATAGATATCAACCTTGAATTTGGATAATCGGTAGTTTGATATATCGAAGAATTGCTTCTGATGTGTACCATTAAAGCAAGATCCACATTCAACGCTTTTTTCAACTGATTACGTCACCAAGTCCTATTATTTTAACTGTCTTCTATGTTAGTAATCTAATTTTAACCAACTGAGCTTTATTCATTTTATGCCTACTGATTATCAGTGTATGTTCATTACATAATCACTTATTCCCAGCCCTTTGTTACTGTTAATGTTGTAAAATTTAGTCTAATAAATTTATTTACATCCTTGCAACACTATACTGATGTATGTTCATGCCAACTTCCAACCGAACCCCTTTATATATTTCAACCCGTTATAATTACCATTTGTAAATATTACGAGTTGTAAGCAGCTAACACAAAGTAGACAAGATAAAAGTTATTCATATTATTCTGACCAAATCTTTGTCCTTAATCTATTTCAAAATAATAAAGGGAACTGAGTGTATGAAGTTGCGAGTACCTCGGACAATACTTTCATTATTTATAATAAAGATTGCGATTTGAATTCTATCTTTACAGGGAGACTTAATATCTTTCACTCACCACATAACTATGTCGGTAGAACCCTCGGGGCTACTGCCGGTCCCAAGCCCGGATAAAGGAGGAGGGTTGGACATGGGGTTGGCGACCCCATTCCGGCAAAAAAACGCTAACCATAAAAAATAATTCAAGCCATTTCAACTCTGCCCTGGGAGTTGGAAGAAGAATTATGACGTCTCGTGATGAAAGCCGAGTTCCCTCGGAAGTCACGGGGCCGATGTCTCTTCTGACAACCAGAGCAACCATTCTTTTAGGTACATGGAACGTTCGTACATTGTGGGAGACTGGAAGATTATTTCAAGTTGAGGCAGGAATGAAATGATACAACCTCGAGGTGCTCGGCATCAATGAAACGCATTGGACACAAGTAGGACAACTGAGAACAGCTTCAGGGGAACTGCTGTTATACTCTGGTCATGAAGAGGAAAACGCTTCACATACACGAGGAGTTGCACTGATGCTGTCTAAACATGCATAAAAGGCACTGATAGGATGGGAATCTCATGGACCCAGGATCATTAAAGCATCCTTCAAAACAAAGAAAGAGGACATTACAATGAACGTCATCCAATGTTATGCACCTACCAATGACTACAATGACGACGTTAAAGATCAATTCTACGAAAGGCTGCAGTCAATCGTCGACAGATGCTCACCAAAGGATTTGACGATTCTTATGGGAGACCTGAATGCCAAGGTTGAAATGGACAACACTGGATATGAAGACATCATGGGACGACATGGACTGGGAGAAAGGAACGAAAACGGTGAGAGATTTGCAAACCTATGAGCCTTCAACACACTTATCATCGGTGACACAATATTCCCGCACAAACGCATACACAAAGCCAAATGGATTTCACCGGACCACACTACTCAAAACCAAATTGACCATATCTGTATCAACAAAAAGTTCGGAAGGACCATGCAGGGTGTGAGAATCAAGAGAGGAGCTGATATAGCCTCAGATCATCACTTGCTGACCGCCAAACTGAAACTGAAACTAAAGAAGCACTGGACAACGGGACAGACAACATCACAGAAGTTTAATACAGCCTTTCTTCGGGATACCGTAAAACTCAACGAATTCAAGATAGCCCTCACCAATAGGTTCCAGGCCTTTCAGGATCTACTCAATGGAGAGGACGCAACATTGGAGAACGATTGGAAAGGGATTAAGGAGGCAATCACTTCAACATGTCACGAAGTTCTGGGTCACAAGAAGTACCATCACAAGGAATGGATCTCTGTTGATACTCTTGCAAAAGTTGAAGAAAGGAGGAACAAGAAGGCAGCAATCAATGTCAGCCGAACAAGAGCAGAGAAAGTCAAGGCACAAGCTGCATACACAGAAGCAAACAGCGAAGTGAAGAAGAGCATCAGAGCTGACAAACGAAAATATGTGGAAGATCTAGCAATGACGGCGGAAAAGGCTGCAAGAGACGGAAACTTGAGACAATTGTACGAAACTACAAAGAAGCTCGCCGGAAACTATCGTAAAGCAGAACGACCAGTGAAAAGCAAACAGGGCAAAGTAATCAGCAACACTAAAGAACAGCGAAATAGGTGGGTAGAGCACTTTCAGGAACTCTTGAATCGACCAGCTGCGCTGAACACACCCAACATCGAAGCAGCATCCAAGGACCTCCCAATTAATATTGGAGCATCTACGATTGAGGAGACCAGTGTGGCCATCAGACAAATCAAGAGCGGCAAAGCAGAGAGACGAGACAATATCCTAGCAGATGCAATGAAAGCAGACGTCGAAGCAACTGAAAAAATACTTCGCATTCACTTCAACAAGATTTGGGATGAGGAACAAGTACCATCAGATCGGAAAGAAGGATATCTGATCAAAATACCAAAGAAAGGTGATCTCAGCAAGTGTGAGAACTACAGGGGCATCACTCTTCTTTCAATACCAGGCAAAGTCTTCAACAGGGTAGTGTTAAACAGAATGAAGGACTTCGTAGACGCCCAACTTCGAGATCAACAGACTGGATTTCGTAAGGATCGATCGTGTACTGACCAAATTGCAACATTACACATCATTGTGGAACACTCAATTGAATGGTACTCACCATTCTACATCAACTTCATCGACTACGAGAAAGAATTCGATAGCGTGAACAGGACAACACTGTGTTAGGATATTCATCCAATATCCTAAGAGAATTATTGGTCAATTCCTAATGGTTAATTCATACTGGTCAATTTTATGGTCGTCCTAGATATCAATGTCACGTGATCCAATGTTGTTTATTATTGGTTGTCCTGACTATCAATGTCACTTTAAATGTTGCTTCCTATTGGTCGTCCTAACTGTCAATGTCACAGAATTCGATGCTGTTTCCTATTCGACCAAAATGTATAAATACGCATTATCTGAAACGTTTTATGACCACGACCAGGACCAGAGCTCGGTCCCGGATCCCTAGTCCGGGATCCTGATTCTCTTCCGGATTCGGACCTCCTACTTTCTGGATGCTTGTAGAATACATGTTCTACTTCATATCACGTCTTCTTATTTTTTACTCAATATGGGGGTTGGGATAATCGGATTTGAGGAGCATGTCGTGTCACCGGATCCTCGATCCTTGCTCTCGTTTTCCGACTATGTAAACTCGTAATAGTTCAAGTATATCAAGTTGACGTGTTTACGTGCAGGCGAAACGCACTGTGGAGGCTTCTTCGACACTACGGCGTGTTTGAGAAGATAGTCAGTATCATACGGAATTCTTATGATGGATTAAACTGCAAAATCGTACACGGTCAGCTGACAGACTCGTTCGAGGTGAAGACCGGTGTCAGGCAAATCTGTTTACTCTCACCCTGTCTCTCTCCTGGTGATCGACTGGATTATGAAGACGTCAACATCTGGAGGGAAACGCGGTATACAATCTACAGCCAGAATGCAGCTGGACGATTTGGACTTCACAGACGATCTTGCTCTTCTATCCCACACGCAACAACAAATGCAAGAGAAGACAACCAGTGTAGCAGCAGCCTCAGTGGCAGTAGGTCTCAACGCACACAAAGGGAAAAGCAAAGTTCTCCGATACAATACTACATGCGCCAACCAAATCACTCTTGATGGAGATGCCTTGGAGGACGTTAACACCTTTACATATCTGGGCAGCATCATTAACAATCAAGGTGTATCTGATGCAGATGTAAAGGTGCGGATCGGCAAAGCAAGGGCTGTATTTCTGCAATTAGAGAACATCTGGAACGCCAAACAAATATCAATCAACACCAACATCAGAATTTTCAATACAAATGTCGAGGCAGTTCTAATTTATGGAGCGAAAACTTGGCGAACTACGAAAGCCATCATCCAGAAGATACAAGTATTTATTAACAGTTTTCTACGCAAAATACTTCGGATTCGTTGGCCAGACACCATCAGAAACAACGAACTGTGGAAGAGAACAAACCGGATTGCAGTGGAGGAGGAAATCAGGAAGAAGCGGTGGAAGTGGATAGGACACACACTACGAAAAGCACCTAACTGTGCCACGAGACAAGCCCTTACATGGAACCCTCAAGGTAAAAGGAAAAGAGGAAGGCCAAGGAACACATTACGCCGAGAAATAGAGAAAGATATGGGAGGAATGAACAAACATTGGACAGAACCGAAGAGGGAAGCCCAGGACAGAGTTGGTTGGAGAAAACGGGTGGCCGGCCTATGCTCCATTGGGGGTAACAGGCGTAAGTAAAGTAATGAATAAGGATTATAGTTCCTCCACGATAATACGATAATGATAATATGAGAACAATGATAACGATAATAGGATAAACGCGAAATAGATTAATGCAACGAGTTTTGCTCACGCTTTATATACAGAGTGGTTTAAAAATATTTTTAAAATATACTTCTATCAAATGTGACTAACCTGAACTACAAGACATCCTTGGGGTGTCCACAAAAACACCGCATCTGAACCTGTACATAGAGCAAGTCGAGCCGAACACCCTGGATCCCACATCAGAGAAGACACATGACCACTAGTATGAATTAGGAGACTAAATAAACTTAAGCGTCGATCAATTGACCATATCCAAATGACATTCGGACAATTATCATTCCGTGTAGCCAAAAACCGACCGTCTGGTGAAAATTCTGTCAAACCAACTCCTATCTACAAAAATTTTAAAATTTTTTTATTTATCAATATTACAAAGTGAAGAAGAGGAATTCTAGGAATAAAACAATGCTTTCATGAGGATGAAAGTACGTGTTTTTTAAACAGTTAACTTGATAATTTAACTAGTAGCATAACGATGAGAAAAAATCACCAATTAACACTCAGTTCCACATGCTTAGTACAAAAATAACCATATGAAATAATTTTTACTTAACATTTCGAAAGACTAACCAGCGTACGAGTAAGTCAGTGGATTAGAATGAATATTTTAAAGGCGTAAGAGCTCGATTAACACATATGATAGTATGTAAGCACTAAATCAAAAAGAACTTTGCTTAGAAATTATAATAAGTGTGGAAAAGCTCTGTTGATATGATATAAATTTGGTATATATTTAAGAGACTGAGAGTTCGAGTTTTCTTCGACGTAGGTAACAAAAACCAAGAATTCTTAACGTACACTACGAGTAGAAAGCCGTTAAATGGTCAACGAAGTTTACTTATCACTGAATAGATGACAGGTTACATTCGCTAATGCATTAACAAAATAATACCGTGATCATTAGATATTGCCTCAAATATGTTAATCTCACGACTAAGCCGTAGCTGCTACCTTGATGCTGAGGTATAGTATGGAAATTGTGATGAGTTACATTGCAAGATTTAAAAATCAAGAGGCTGATACCACATAAATGATTACTCAGACAAAGGTCATTAGTGACTAAACTCAAATTACTTCTTGGGTTGCTATTATGCTCTCAGGTTGAAAGATCTTCAACATCAATCCCAGTTATTTTTCTGGTTGCTCAACAAATACACTTTTAGTACCCCAGCGGTCAGAAAATATCAATTATCTACATACCTTCACAAACAATCGAATTCGCAAACAGTTTTTTCTTAATTCATTTTATTCTTTTCTGTCCCCATAATTCATTCTCAAGTGTAACTAGTACCAGTGTGGTGCGCGCTACTTATAAGTAGTATATGACGCAAATGTAAACGTAATGTCTGGCAGCAGCAGATGGGGAAGATCAAGAAAGGAAGAGTGGGAACACAATGGAATTTGTATGAAACGCATGTATAGTGAACCGTCAGACAATGGATTGATGATGGATTGAAGATTTGCAAATTAACAGTTACGATATGGTTTTCCTATTTTACTGAGTAACTCTGTAATTTTCGTTAAATACAATTCGGTTGCCCTCACCTGTGTTCTCCTTCACTACACTATTACTGCAGTTTACGAAACCTAGTCATCAGTTTTATGAAATGGCACTCCAAACAACATGTTGGGACTGATGATGAGTTCTATCGAGAGCTTTCTGAGATTTTCCAGGATCCAGGCACTCTGAAACAATAACTATAGCGAGCGGTATTGACACCTAGGTAGGTAGAATAAGACGTCTTACATCAGGTGAGAGGAACACTTCAACTGTCGCCAGCCATTCTTTAGTTAATTTCTAACAATCGATGATCTGTATGGAGACCAACAACGAACCTCTAAGTCTTAGTAAAGATCTGAAGGGTATAACTTTAAGAAAGATTGTTTAACATCTTTGTTTAAATTTACTGAGATTCTACCTAGAGTTTGAGAGATAAAAGCAATTCGGAAAGACCAGTTGTGATCGTTGATAGAGCACATAAACCTACCGAAGCTCCTTCACTTAAACATAAGCGCTCCAGTCAAAGCTTCTGATTGCAATTTTATTGAATTTCGTCATAGATAGGCTTCTAGAAATACCACTTTCATCACCTGCATTTTAATGGATTGTATCCTGCCTGAAAATTCACCTACCTACTTAGAGTATGCAAATAAGTTTTGTACAGCGAAGTCGCTGACAAGATAAAAACTTCCAAACACCTTGAGTGGTAATGCGATAATGTTAGGGGTGCATTTCTTTTTTATCAAATGTTACTTCGAAACTGGTCTTTATAAACACTTTGCCCAAAAATAGGGAGTATAATAGTTGTGTTTCAGCCAGTATGGGTCTAGACGCAATAACTCCACATTCATACAAATTTAGAAATAGACTAGAAAATTATGTCAAATATATTTAAACAACTCTATGCAGATTGACAAGCTACAACTATACGGAACTAAGTAAACTAACGGTTTAAATAAGTTACACAATCAGCACTAACTTTAGGAAATGGTTGATTAGGATCAGGTTTAATCGATTGAATAGTAACAGGATCATTAACTAATTTATACTGTACAGTCGATAAATCTGATGAAGCATTTGCTCGAAACTCTTCATAGATATCAATACGATGTGCTCGATATGTTTCTAAAGCCCCATCAACTTCATTGTCAACAGATAAAGGACGGCCATTTGGACTAAGTCCCAGAGAAGGATCGATTGGTTTATTAACAGGGTGCTTTAGACAAGCCAAACAAGTCCAATTGAAATTATTAAGTAAACGACACTTTTGATCATAGCTGGTAAGAAAAAGAGCAGAAAGTAATAAATAAGTATGACGACGTTGTGGTTTAGCTGAAATCACATATATTTTCTCTACTCATAACAACATACTCCACATGCTGTCACTAGTTAGATCACTGGTGAAAAGATTAGATTCTTGTTTTATTTGCATACTCGGTCGCGATAACAGGACAGCTACTAGTGGATATACTAGCCATTACCTATTTGATAATAGTTTAGTGATATCTACTTATATAAACATGTAGCATACATCCAAAATGGTTTGATTGTTTAAAGATTCGCATCGTATTAAAACAGATACAAAAAAGGGTAAAATCCTTTCCGAAAAATCCTTATCAAATTCCTCTGTCAGATATCCAAATTAATGATCCAAAAGAATGATAAATAAATCATTTGAAATTAAAGGATATGAGTTTACGATTATTTGTGAAATAAGGTAAAATTGTTAATATCAAGGTCACAATCTTAAAAGATTCATGTCTTACAATTGGCTTAAGTTTCATGATCTGAGTACAGAACTCATATTCAACAGTCAAACTATGGAAGAACAAATGAATGCATATACATTTATTCTACAATAACTTATAAAATCGGACGTTCCACTGGCATGTAACTGAAACCAGACGAGTTAATAAATCAAGTAAAACGACAGCTGAAAGTACAAACGTACCTCCCTAGCGCTAGTAATTGCCCTGTGGGAGACCAAGATACAGATTTTATACCTAGAAGCTCTTGTGTTGGTTTATAAGCAGAATAAGAAGTGAGATGTTTTCCATCGACACTGTATATAGACGCTTTGTATCGTAAGCAGTTGTCATACACAAGAATATAGCGCCCATCTGGAGACCATACAATTCCCACAGCATCATCCGTGTCTAACATTATGTTCCACAGAATAGTCCATTGAAGTCTGCAATCAAAAAGACTTAAATGATCTTGGAAATTCCGTCGTTCGAGTAAAGTTAAGTAACGACCACCAGGACAAAATGCCAAATTGTTTGCACATGACTGGATATATAAAGCACCAATAGAAATTACAGTAAGCCATTGTTTTAAACAATACATATTAATAAAACACCTCAATCCATACAGAAAATATCCAATGATAATAAATAAGAAACAAAAGTGAACCGTACGGCCATTAGAGAAAAATTAGAGGATGTAGAGAAAATTTTCTTTTTGACAATATCATTTACTCAAGCTGTACAATTGTATTTTTAGTTAATTTACAGACAAACTATTATATGCCAAGTAAAGTTGCTTCATAGTCGAATATTGAGTTAGGAAACTTTTTATGACATAAGAAATGATGCAACCCCCGCCCCATTTTCCGACCAACGATTTTATCTGTAAATTAACTTTAAATACAATTGTACAGCTAGAGTAAATGATATCGTCAAAAAAAGAAATTTTCTTCACTTAATTGTCTTTGATTCTTCTTCAATAAACAGAAAACCGGTTGGTCAGCATGAACATATTTTCTTGTTAGCACTGCAGTTTCTTTATAAAAATAGTTAGTTCAACGAAAGGTTACAACAGATCATACTAATAATCGGTAGATGCTTCTGAAGCAAGAGACGCTTTCTGAATGTTTACATGACCATCAAAAATATACCACGAATTTATAAGAATTTATTTTCAGAGGAGGTTTTGACAAGACGCCCTTTTGGTTTTCTCTGAACTATTTGGTTGTAAAAACATCAATTCCACAAGTGGTAACGAATATTTTCTAGTGAACAAAATCATTAATGGCATGCTGGCATATGTAAAATAGATCATTACGACTACTAATACCGACAACTTTCGAATAGTCAAATCTTACTTATACATCAGTGACAAATAGTCAATAGAAAAAAATTACACAAACTACAGTAGAGAAAATCAGGTTTTTGGTTTGTACGTGTGCAGGTTACTTTTAAGAATCCGACCACAGCTTATGGAGTAAATATGCTTGAGCTTAATTATGAGCTGCTCTCCTAACCAAAACCATACGACTAATAATATTATGCTGAGTGATTTAGGCTATATACACAAATCCCTCTAATAGGGAAGCAACGAAACTACCAAAAAGAATTAGATTAGAAAATACGTTGAATTTTTCCAACATAGAATAATGGTCCAATATCTGTTTTGCAGTCATATAGTTGAAGTACTTTGTAGTACATATTAGTTTGAAAGAACAGTATATGCAGGTAAGAATTATGGTAAAATTAGATATAAGGACTGAGTTATGAAGCTGCAGGAAACAGTATCCCTAGTGTGATCACTAGATGCAAATACCTTCCTTCGTAGGATGTGATTTAAATAAATATTTAAATGTTCTATTCTCTTAAGATAGATTTATCATTAATAATATAAGTAACAAAATGATCTACATCATGTGGCTCCTGTTAAACGGGCAGTAAAGTTATTAAAGCATCAAGTTTACATAAAGACTCGATCTATTGCAAATACAGAAATACCATAGACACTCAACCACTCCAAAACGTGTAAGGAAGTTTTGTTTTCAGGTGATAATTTTTTCGTACTACTCATTTAGAAAAGAAATTACTCTACATTTGCTATTGGACGTCTTTACATAAAGGAAAATCTAAGGGCTTACATGATTTAAGTAGAACTCACTTTAGGAAACTTCAGATACGAAACTGAGACTTCTGATATTGACCAAACGGTTATCCTCAAATGGAAATCAGTTGTAGTCAAGAAATGTCTGCTGTCAGGGGACCATACAGCATTAAGAAGCCCAGCAGAACCTTCGTCAACTTTACAGGTCCAGTCCGGATTTTCTAGGGAAAATATCTACAGGAGCTAACGAAATATTAAAACAAGCTACCTGAACTATACCACGATGTTTTAGAGTGCTCAGAATGAATAAGGAGTCTGCTGACCACAATATATTGTGCACTATATCCACACAACTGTATATTTGGAATATCTGAAGCGTGTTCGCTATACGAATATAAACTTTGTGTTGGGAACCAGAAGCAACGTAAATGCCGTTCGAAGACAAAACAACCAAACTATTCGAAACCTTCACCAAATCCGAGAAGTTCATCTTAACGTAAAATTTTTCACGGAACAATCCTTAAATTATATTTTTTGAAGTGGTGAATCCTAAAATTCATAAAATTCTTGATAGACTGCAAAAGGTCTGCTTAAAGATATCTCTAAAAAGAGGCAATTTTTGTGGTAAATCCAAGTCTTTAAACGGTCTGGGTCCAGATTTAAGGTCGATTATTGTCGAACGGGCGCACAGATAAGATTTGAGAAAGGATGGGAGAATGAAAGAACGTCAGTGGACAAATCAGCTAACTACCCAATCTTATGAATTTGGAGTGTTGTCAAAAATCAACTTAAAATTTGTATATGCCCCAGATTAAAGTAAAATTTGGGTTACCTGAAAAAAAGCTCTGATAGGCATCTAAAACACGAGAGCTTCCTTAAAATCCATAATTTTTTACTAAATTCAGGAGACTGGGACGTAAGCACAAAACACGCATATATTCACATCGTATATAACACACTGCGTTATGAATTAACACGTACATGTTAATCGAGGAACAACAAGAAGCTAGGGTTGAAGAAACAAGAGGCCTAAAATAACCCAAGTCAGAAACAATGGATGTGAATTCAAACTAACAAAGCGAGATTTCAAAGCCGCTGCACTCCTAGGACGCCTAACGCGCGCCAAAGTATGTGATAGCAACCACGCTCCTAATTTCAAACCTCAGACTTCGAATAAAATATAGCAAACTGACAGTTTCTTTCACTTCTCTCCTATGTTATTAGGTATATATATGGTTAAAAAACTCGCCTATTTTCGTATTATGTCCGTAAAAGTAGAATCACTACAGACTTTATGATATTAAAAACTCTACTCCTTCCAAGTATTCCTTACTCTCTGGGGGTCAGCGTGGAAATCCAAGTGACCTATAATACTTCTCGAGATTCTTATTACTATGAAAATGTTACCATTTTTGAGTGTGTTAACAGAAGACAGTGATATTTTGTTTTCCGACCACCATTTCTATCAGTTCACTGTCCTGTTAGAAGGTAGAAACTCCAGACTTGAACGATTTGAAATCGGTTTAGTAAATGCTTACGAGTGTCCCTTCAGATAATTTGTCCTTAATTAAAGAAAGAGGTAAGGCTTTTTTATCATGAATTCGTTGCTCAGCACACGTAAGTATTAGATCACCTAATTATCTAATTATCGTCATAAGACAAATCTAAACCCTGGCTTTTGAACCCGCTATGTCACATCCGCACCATATACATAACTAGAACTCGCTGCTGCGAACCCACATGTCAAATGCGTTTTCACACTCGTTGCGTGAAATTTCATTAAAATATACTTATATATATCGTGAAAAGCTAAACGAATGACCTAAATATTCAGAAAACCTTTAAGAAGGTGCACCTTTTATTACCTTGTGTCTCTATTGATACCACGCACGATGACTGTCATTTTCTTATGATCACTAACCGTAGGTAAAGTAGCTTTATTTATTTATGTATTGGCTTAACTCTTTACTTTTGAACAAAACAGCCATCCAGGGATTCCAAATTTTTAATGGTGATTTAACTAATATCAGTTCGCGATCTCAACTATGAAAATAATGTGATCCGGACAGGTCCCTTTCATTATTGCTCATCCTTTCAACTAGAACATCAAAATCTTCCTTGTAGAACGATTTTACCGAAAAATGAAAGCCCCAATTTCATCTGCGAACGTATCACAGTGGACTGGTGTTCCTCCAATAATCCTACTCGGACTTTGCAAAGCAATCTGAGCCGATTTATATGCTAACATTAGTGAAATGAAGCAGCGGAGGTATTTATAATATGCATATATATCTGTGAAAGAGTTTTTAGATAAACAAAAGAGCACTTGCGAGTTGTTTTAATTCTGTAGCATGGCAAATAAACGCAGTTATACCTGTTCTTATTATCTCATGTTTCGCTCACACACAGAATATTAGTGTATTTGAATATTCACAGACATTCTCAAATTTTTATTTTCATGACAACGAACAACCAACCTTGTGACTGTATATTTTTATGCACTATCTTGTACCACTTGTCTCCCTAGAGTGAAAAAAAAGATAACTAGATACTGCTGGACGAGATGAGCAATCACAGAAGGGTTTACCAGCGTTACGCACGTTTGTCTCATCCTCTGGCTGGTCACATCTCTGGGTTAATACCACTTCTCTAGGATATATTTGTCTATGGGAGTATACCAGTCCTTTAGAACAAATTGTGTTGTAAGCCTTCAACATTGACGCTGACCTCAGTAGTTTTATTGGGCACAACCTAGTTGAAGATGCTCCGTCACCCATCCGCACCAGATCATCACGGAGCACGCTGTGCAACGTATCTCCTCATATCAGCCAGTAATATTAAATCACTTGCTTCTCGTTATCCCAACGATCATTCAGTTATCCATGTAGTCTCTACGATACTGGAGTGGCGCGAGCAGAGGTGGACTACAGACACCACAACAAACCAAATAGGTTTCCGTCACTGGGTGTAATATCTCTGTGAATCAAGAAAAAAGAAGAGTTAATCAATAAAAAAGAAATATATTTGCTGGCGATTTCGTAGTATCGAAGGAATATCGAAAACATGCCAAGGAAAAAGGGTGAAGTTACAGAGAGCAGTATAACCTAAATGGCAGCAACACAAACAGAAAGTATGCGTGTACAGTGTACGAATATACAAAGAGAGCAATAAAACAATTACTGGTACAATTGTTTATAATGATGAATGTTTATATTAAACCAATCGCGTTCTCATCGTCAAAATGGAGTCACTACAATACCATGGGTTATGGCTAGATTAAAAATACTGGGCAATTAAAATAAATGATTCGGCTATGCACTAATTCAATACAAATTCTGATAGTTTAAGATTCGTTCGTTAGAATAAAACAGTGGCCTACCTACACTCGGAGATCATATTTAAATATCAAGAACGAAAGTCTCTTCATTTGATAGTATTCTAAAATGAAGGGATATATGACCCTCTAATCTTGTAAACTTATCCATATTTCCTCAGCAGCAGATAATTGCTTAAAATATTTCGCTCTTGTGGTCATTCTACCTTGTTGCCTTCCACATTATTCCTAACGAGCACTCACCAGTCGAAGGGGTTCGAAGAAGAACGCTTACTAGTTTACATTTCAACCAACAATGAAATGTATCTCTTATCATACTTGTATGGTTTAGAGGCCAAATACTGCACCACCACTGAGTATCAATCAAATCTAACCACCTTGCTAACTATCATAGAACTTCTTTTCTTCTGTCATGAGTAGGTCCTTTTAGGCTCATTTACTAGTGCCATTAAAATATAAGACATAAATTCTCCTTTTTACGATAAGTTATTCTATTTCTCATAGTCTAAGGACTTTTTGAGACTCGCCTTTTCTAAACAGACCTAAAAGTATTAAATTGTGGTTTATCAAGAGTGCAAACAAGATATTTCTTATGTATTACTCGAAACAAGATACAAATTGCTAGCTTATCCGTTCGATAGTAAAATGTCTATTTTATTCAATATGCAAACGAATAATCCAAAAGAAAGCGATGTTTAAGGAGTGAGAAAGACAGTGAGGGTAAGCTAAGAATATTCCGTTGTTTGTACATTTTCTGAACGGTAATCAGGTTTAAACTTAGCAGACTTATGAGCCTCTCTGGGGACATGTTAATAATGGGAGCCTATATTTTCATACTGATCGCTAGATCTAGCACAACTGCAAACCTGACTCAGTGCTCTGTTAAAACATATGCAGGTCACAATAGACTCATTTTTCAACAGTTACTTTTAGCGCTTTTCAGTATCGAAATCTGGCCCTGTGGGAAAGTAATCCAGCATAAACTCGTCACACCAGGCGATTAGGAGACTGTTCCAGCGATGTAGGATGTAGTTGAAAAATGTACCTTGAAGAATCAGATTGATTCAACTGAGCGTGGAAATTAACTGTAACAGCCTAAGTTATGTAGTACCAAGCTAGCCGAGTACATTAGTTGGGATTATATCATAAGTATTTACTTCTTCACTTTACGTAAGTATCGTATTTTATATCATCGCATTTCTGATGTTGTAAAGGCCGTTTTAGTTACAACCTACTTGCTTAACTGTGCTGCTGCACAAGACTTGAAAAAAGACATACTAAAAGCATGTTGTTTGTTTTTGAAATGCATATACTGGGAAAGAGTATATATACTTTCAGAAGGATTAAATACCACTTTCAATATAATCACCTAAAGATGAAGTTGTAAGCGAACTCCCAAACTGTCAGGCAGATTCTTAGCTTGGCTAAAGTCAGAATAGCCATAAAAATGGATCCATGGTTTGTGAAAATAAGTGCCCTTGCCATCGCTTCACTTCTCTTACATGATTCTCATCTTAATGTCGGCTTGAACAATCAAGTACACAAAATGTATTCATATGACCCAGCACTTATTAGACTTCTCATCGCTACTGTTACTCAAAAAGGCTAGACCAAGTGTTATAAATCGAGGTGAAGGGAGGATTTATATTAATCACATATTCATTTGTCCATTTAAATAGTCTTCATTCAACGGGCCACCAAAACACTTAATTTCATCATAATCCTACATCTAGCTGTATATACACTGAATTTTCGACAGTTTGCCATGTAACAGATCCAGTATTACGCTAACTGCCTTTATATAGACCCGCCATAGTCAAAACTCAAGGTTGCTTTTAAAATGCCGACCACTGTTAACATTGAGAGACATAAGCTTAATCAAGCAATGTACCAAAAACTAAAGAAGTATATAATGAGCAAAAGAAAACGGGAGCAAGAAGGTACCTACTTCCTAAACATTCACTATTTTGAATTCCTTAGAAAAAGCACAAGACGCGATTGTTAAGCGTCTGCGACGTGAACGAGAAGAGTCTAAACGACAAGCCGAAATGGATACCGAGAATTTGGAAAATACTAAAAATGAGGTAGATTTATTTAAAACTCTGAAGTGGAATTTAAGATTTTGGTAACCCGTAAACGCATAGAAGAACTTACATCTAGAAGAAATGAACTGTTCCAGCGATTAAAGCAAATTGCAAGTGAGGAAACGAGTCTTCGTGAAAAGCAGAAGAGGTAAGGAGTCCTTAATCAATTCTGTATATTTGCAGTGAGACTATGGCTTACCTAGCAGGGATGCCATCTACGCAATTCGGTTTGGAATCAAATAATTCTGGCACACCAAATCGAATTACGATGCCTCAACCTACATTACCCACAGGACAACCACAAGCTGTTCAACATGTCTCTGTGCCGAAGCATAACTTGAATACAAATGGCCCTGCATCGATACCTAGTATAAATTCTGAAAATCTGAGTGGTTCCCAATCTCCTCACAGAACACATCATGCATCTTTGTTTGGTTTGAATGGGTCAAAGCCAGCTCATACTACTATGTCAACTCAAACTGGACTAGGTTTACCACAAACTTTAACTTCAATTACGAATAATCCGTCAGCCACGATGGCTGCTGTAGCGGCCGCTGTAGCAGCACAGCAAAGGTCAATGCCGTCATCCGATCCAGTTAGTGTTTGTGTATATTGTACTCGTAGTTTTATATAAGCTAGCTACTCAGTGACTGACCTTTGAGATTACTGTTGTATTTGTTGTAAAGACTTCCGATGAAAGAGGTAGGTAATTATTTGAAAGTTCCTATCCTAGGTACTCTATACTTGAAAGCTCAGCTTTGTCGTTTCCTTTGACAGCTAGGTTATTTAAACCAAACAACTAATAAGTATTACTTTTGACCTGCAAAAATATGGTCTTTTTGACTCAAAAGCTTCCAAAATAGCACATAAACGCTAGGCAACTAGTTTCATCCAAGTGTCTTCTGCTCAAAACCTATGTAAACGGTAGAAATATTACTTTCTGATAGTACCGTGGTGTAAAACTAGACGCAAATCCAACAGTGCCATAAAATGTCTAAAAACATGGCTCGAACTAAAAGCCATTGACTACCCTGCTGTGGTATTCTAATGTATCTCTCATGGAAGTACTTGGTTGTTTCATTGTCCTGTATCGTTCAGCAAATAGTACTCTAGTTTATTGTCTGGCTTTCCCTGTTTTCATCTCGTTTTTATCACCTACCTGTTTTTGGTTTATTTTTTTAATCCTCTGTTATACCGAAATTGTGATTCATATATTGTTTGATAATAGGCATTAGAATAGTTGAGCATATGAACTGTTCCATTATGTGGGTCTCAGCGTGTCGGACGGGTTTGCTATTAACAAAAACCTATCATTTCTCAAAAATTAATCTCACTCATCAATATACATTACCGAAATGACATTTCTGTATGAACTATGTGTGTTGAAGATACTTGTCAAAGTTCGAGTCTTCTGAATGCCTGGAGCGACAGTAAAGGACTTTTCAAAGTGCATTTGTCACCATCTGGGGAGAACGTTTTATAACTGCTAGGTTTAATTGAAATCCCGGTTAGGAAGTTCAGAAAAACGCTCTCTTGATGTGTACAGTAACAAGGGTAGGATTTGATAGTATTCTCTACTTTAGGATTTTAAAGCTTACTTACACCACTTATGAAACGGATGCTTCGTATGCTGATCAAGCTGAAATACTAGATATCCACCATGACTATACAATAAAAAATTTATGGAGGTAATAAAAATGTAAGGAAGTACTTCAAGAGTTTATGGACTCTCTACATCATCGATCATAGCTGGTTTTATCAAAGTATTAAAAGTCTGATACATTTTGCAATCATATTTCTGTACATGTTGAAAATCTTATTGTATTGCGAGTATTAATTCCTCGTTTAACCATTTATTTTCCCCTTGATATTTCTTTGCTGTTATGTATTCCGCACCCATTTACCATAGTTTGAAAGCCGTGTCCAGTGCGTTACTATACAAGTTATTCGTGAAACCTGTTTACTAAGTCCTTTGATTTTATTTACTCACGTATCAAGCCTTACTTCATATTCAGTATATGGTGCAATGAAGTACACTTATATTAACTAAGATATACTTCTGGTTCACAGGCAGATATCACTCAATATTCCACAGCATCTTATTACTTCACAATACTAATGTACGTTTCGCTTGTGCATATTCATGTCTAGAACATTTGTTGCAACATTTGAGATATCAACAGCCAAAGATGGTAATTTACTTAGTATAACATCACTCAATGCATCCGAACCTCCATCTTAAATTTCTCTGATAAAAGCTTTTAACCCATTCCTGTAATGCACAGTTCTCCAGTAACTGTTGATATCTCACATCGTTAAGGGTGTAAATTGACAGAGTTTGGTATAAAAATATATTTGATCACAGACTTTATCTTAGGCTACTTTCACTACATTTGTCTTCACTAAAGCAGCTCAATAATTGAGTGCATTTAATTACCTTGAAAACTCGTTTTCGATCACACGTAATCATACTCGATCACCCGAATCAAATACATGGAAATTCAACTCACTATATAATAGCACTATTGTGGTTACATTAACAGTTTGCGTATCCCTGAGTTTGACTCATCATTTTCCTAGATATGTTTCATACATCTTGGTTGTTCAGACCACTAGAGATTATCATTTTCTTAGTCGATGAAAATATACCGATATCTTTCAATGTGGTTTAAAATCTGTTTTTGTAAATGAGCATTTATGAACCTCAGTTGTAAACAGTTACTTACATTATTTGCAGGGTTTTCCATCCACAGCTGCTGCCGCTGCATATTTCAATGTGATTGCTTCTTTGGCAAATTCATCTCCTCTAACAGGAAATTCCTTGGGAATAGCGTATCCTAATGCTTCTGTTAGCCTCGCTGAAGTTGTTGCTGCTCTCGCTGCATCAGGACTATGTTCCCTTCCAGCACATCTTTCATCGAATCCACCGCCAATGTCGAGTGGGAATTTGGTCCCAAATTTTACATTTGGCAATCGCGCATCTCCGTCCGTCCCAGATGGTCATCAAAACCGTGACATTATGACGGCACTTTCGTCAGGAAGTATACACTCAAACTTACCTTATCATCAAAACATAATACCATCAGCCAATATGTCAAAAAACCCTGCAGTGTCCATTCATCACAATCCTAGTAAGTTGAATAGATATTCAATTATAGTTATCATAGCCAGGGTTTGACTTGATGATTTCAAATAAATTGGGCATCAGATAGATCGTTAATAATAAAAATATATTTTTAATTTCCTAACTGGTTGAAAAATTAAAATTTTCTCTGACGTTTCATGACTCTATATAAGTTGCTTATTCAGAGGACAGATACATTGAATTAACCGAAAATAAAACAAAAACGCTCTTCCAACTACAGATGACGGTTCACCATAAGCTCTTACTTTACTAGTAGTGTTCGAGTAGAGAGCCTGTACAAGCCTAATGTACTTCTCTGGTTGTCCTTTCAGTGACAAACACTACTACAGAACCTCACGATCGACTGAGTCGAATGCCAATTTAAGGTCGAGAAATACAGCTATTGTGGGACGTCTGAACGTGTGTCTATGTTCTAGGACCTGACGTAGTGTGAATATGTGGTCTACACACCCACCCTGATTTTTTCGAATCTGCTCTTCACGAGTACTAGTTAGGCTTCGGAGTATTATTGAAGTCAATATCTTAGTCACTACGTTAGTCAAACTGATTTCTCTGTGATTGTCACAATAAGATTTTTGTCCTTTCTTATAGATTGGGACAATCAGTGATTGAGACCAGTGAGAAGGTATTATGCCCAGTTCCCGGATTCTACCTAAGATCGCAGTCAATCTCACTGCTAAAACTGGACCACCATCCTTAGAAACCTCAAGGGTTAATATGTCAGGTCCCACTTTCCCCTCGCTTCAGATTGCCTAAAGCTTTTTCAACCTTATGAAGAATTGATGGACTTATGTCGATTTGCCATTCAAGTTGACTGGAGGTGGTAAACAAAGTGTGGCTGAAGCCCAGTTGGAGTGCCTTCTGATATGTTCCTCCCATCGATCCAATCCTCTCGATTGAGAATGAATAATAAGCCCATTCTTTCCAGAGATAGTCTCATTGACAGTCAGATTCCTCATACCGGTTTCCTTGATAAGTCTGAATAGTGATCTACTGTTACCTGTTGCTGCTGCATTTTCCATCTCTCTTGCTTTCGCTACCCACCAATGTTCGCGACCATTGCGTAGGCTTTTTATCAGCCTACGCTTACGCTGACTCCATTCCTCATCTGTCAGTTCAGTCATATCCACGGCTTATCCCTCACATTATAGTTTACCTAACTAGCAGATATCACTACTGTTTACACAGCTCTATGAATATTACTCTAAGGTACCTCGGAATGGACACCATTTAGATGGCTGCCTGTGTGTTTTCCTAGTTGCACTCGAGATTTACTCGGCCTTGTCATCGTTTAGTAGAATTCTAAGAGGTTTACTTGCTGTTTCTTTGCTAAATCCAGTAAGCCGCAGCCATGTGCTCCAGAATGAGCAGCGATCTTCTATCGAGCCTCTCCATCGATGGCTGATAACGTTGTGGTCTGGTTGGGTCCAGCAATGAGTCGATTTTAGGGTCGCGTTGTCAAAGTATGTTTTCCCTTGTGCTCAAACTTAGTATTTGCCAAAAATAGACGGTTGTCTGAGCATAGTTCCAGCAGGCGGTCTCCAGTATCTCTTCGATCAGCCACGACACCTTAAGATCCAGCCAGGTGTCTCTCCTTTTTATTCAGTCTACCTACTTGAGCATTAAAACCACCCACCACCATTTCTACATCACAGTGCTTAGTTTTATGGAGGTTCGAAAGTTTCCTGTAAAATTAATCTTCTATCTAATCTGAACTGAAATTAGTGGGAACGTAGGCAGGGAAGATGTAGAGGTAACGGCGAGTTTTCCTATCTTTCTGAGTCCTTACTGTCTCGTTTAGTTGGACAGTGCACAAGCGACTATCTACTGGGATTCAGTCTAAGAGAGCTAGTTATGCTTTAAAACTCAATGCTATACCTACTCCAGCGAGGTCACGGGAAATAGCAGAGCGTCTTCCGGATAGGTGGAGCGTAAATCATGACTTTTCTTTATTTTAATAAGGTGAGGACAAACGAACGACTGTACTTGAATCCTGTATGCTCATTTCAGAGACGCATCATACATCAATAGCAATAGATCCCATTGTCCGAACATTACGAGCTCCGATGCGTAGTTTAGAGTGGGATTTCAGGAGACCAGGAACAACATTAAGTTTACTCATATCGTTAACACTAGCGGTGAAAGATAATAAATGCGTGCGAGAAGGGTTAGTCGTGGAAATAAGGGAGTTGTTAGGAGGTTGAGTAAGGATTTGATTGTGATTTCGTGTGTTGTTACGAGTATGAGAGCGGATGTCACATCCCGGTTGCCCACACTGTGGGAGGGTGTCTCTTGAGGAACCTGAAAAGGAAGTCGGATTAGCTTTGGTTTTAGCAATCTGAGAGAGCTATTTTAGGGCCCAAGAGACTACCACTTCAGGCCCGTCGTGCACGACTTTTTCATGAGAAGTTTTTAATGTGTTACCCCCACTGTTCAAGTTGCCTTACCGCTGGAGACGGAAATCCATGAGGTAAGGTGAAGTGTGACATTTTTAGGATCGACCTTTTCCAATCCTTTCCTTCCGTTGTGAGAAGGCAGTATCGCTGCAGATGCTGGTTGTCCGTGAGAAACGCCTTACTGCAGCCAAACCCCTCCAGAAAGACTTCTCCGTCAGACTTTAAGTTACTGCTTTTAGTCTTACCGTTCTCCAATCAATCTGCCTAGAATGACAGGACCAAGAGGAACAAGTGTCCAGGTATTATAGCTTTGTTGGGTCATCACGATGAGTAAACCGGACCACCACGTCAGAGTAGCAGCTATGGTCGGGCGTTAAAATAATTTAATTAACTACAATCTGATCAGTAAGTTGGTACCATTTTCTCAGCTGGCTTTAACTTAAAATACCATAAGCGGGCTGAAAAATGAATTTTTTTCAGGAAGAGTACGATTATAGTTTTTTGAAAATCCTCATTTACCAGTGACAGATTGATCAACTTTACTGTGATATATGTATAATCGAAAAAGGTTTTGCATTAAGTTATCGATCAAATATAATGTAGAATTCTTACGAGTAATTCTCGGCTCAATCTTTTCTGATTATGTTTACATCAGTACTTTGTAATAAATTTGTTAAGTTTTTTAGTGGAATGTTATATAGTGTATTACTAGATACTCCACTTAACTCCTTTTAATTAAAACATTTACTCGCTAATTTATTATTACTTTTTGTTTTTGAAGATCTTGATTTTTCCAGCTCTACACTGGATACCGCAAAAGTGTGCTTAGCGCAACTAGCAGCAGCAGCTGCTGCTGGCAACAATAACAGTGGAAATCATATCAACCAACAAAATGTCTTGCCTAGTAATCAACAATTGCAGAAAGCTCATCAAATTCTACGTTCACTAAATGTTTCAAACCCACTAATATCTCCATTATTAAGTGGTAACAGTTCAGATGTGGACATTTCTCAAACTACCTCTACTCCTTCATCAACACCTATATCTAGTAATCCATTACTACCACCAGCTCCAATCAGTTACAGAGGAAGCATTACTACTGGACAATCCGCTCAGCAAATCCAACTTCAACAACAAGCTCATCAAAAGCAGCAACATAACTTATCAAAGTATATGACACAGATCGATTACAGTTCGGCACGTGGTCCTCCTGGGGTACAAAATATGGAAAATTCACATGTGAGTTTGTTTTCAGTTTATTTGTTGTAACTTATTTACCTGCCATTGTGCTTGCTTTCTAAGTTAGCTGTTGATATCTTTTCGAACAACCATTTAACAAAAACTTTCCTCTGAGGCAAGTTGCGCACACCTTGTATTAGATTTGACTTTTATATTCCTAAGTGATATCCTTTCAGGAATTAATAAGAAACGATTTCATTCTCATTGAACCAATGGAGCACCTCTAAACTGTTTTCTGTACTAGCATCAGACTCGAGACCCTTAAGTCTTGCTTTAAATGCACACACGTAACGATTCCAATTGCACCAGTATTTCTGTGTATTAGAAAAATAAATTAGTACCTGCTTTGATGAAGATACATGATTAGAATCATAGTTTCGAGAAACCCCGGATAACATTTTACAAGTCCAAATCGTTTTCACTGCATGTTTGAGAAAGGATATATAATACAAAAACGTTGACGCCGGTGGCAGAAAATACTCGAGGAAACTCGTAGTGGAACTGATTACCCCTCAGATGACTTCAAGTGCTATCCGAGATCTGTGCTTTGTCTATGTTTTTCGGCTTTCTTATCATTGTCACTTTATATTCAAAGTCAAATTTTATTTAATACTGATAACCTATGTGCCTTTTACTTCTCCTCATAATGTTTAACATCCTTAGAGTCAAATATAATCATATACTACTCAACATACTCATGGTTCAATCATATTTTCGATTTCCTGCATGCGCGATTTGAGTTTTAGTCATCTTTTATATCTGAATCTGGAGACTTTAATTTGTCTTTATTCAATTAATTTTTCACCATCTTGAGGGTCATATCGTTTATAAAACTTATTAGTATTAGGACTGCATGGACTTTTTTCGAGCATAGCTATTTATGATACATGAATCTAATGTTTACTTCATAGGTTTTAATACTTCTATATTTTTGTATGTTTTTATTTCTAGTTGTTGACACCTAGTTATTCTGCTAATATTTCGTCATCCCAAGGAGCAAGGTTCACTAATCAACAACAACAGCAACTTCAACAGCAGCAACAACAAATTAATGCTAATAATCTTATCATGCTAAATTTAACATCTACGTCAACCCATAATAATGCACCTACTTTGACCAATACTGGTAAATGTCTTACAAGTGGTCGTCACATAGAAAATAACCCCCTAAGAAATTCAGTCAGTAACAACACAAGTACACCGATTCAGTTCAATCCATCTTCATCTGGTATTACGTCAATGACTTCAAACGGACCAACTCCTTCGTGTATATCGAATAATGGATCTTCTGTTGCTTTAAATGCAGGAATAGCTCCATTCGCTGCTGATCTGAGCTCATTGAATTATCTAACATCTGCGACTTTAGCTGCAGCCTTTCAACAACAACAACAACAACAGCAACAGCAACTAAACAAACTTGTTATGTCAGCAAATAGTATACCTTCTTCACATGGACACCCAAATGCTTCTGGACCACCCTCTGGTTCATCTAATAATTCTGGGCGTCGATTTTTTTAAATTTCAACATGTACATTATCACATTCATTTTCTAATCATTCAGTTACTTATATCTAAAAATACACAAATTTGTATATGATTTTCGTATTGACAAGTTTACTGGTTAAGGCTTTACCACGAGTCTCGTTTTTGGCTTTTACTATTATTGTAGCATATATTGAATGTATTTATGTATCCTACTTGATAAACGGAGCAACTTTCCAGTACTGTCGTTGATTAACATCCCTTTTCATATTGTTTTATTTCAAGTAGTTAAGGTCTATTTTGTTGTGTTAAGATTCAAAGTAAGGACGGTTATAGATGCTTCTGTTACATAAGCGATCTATGCCACGTGACAAATTGGACGGCTCGTATACAACCACGCTTCAATGTCTATACAATTTACGCAAATAAGAATACAGAAGCCGAGATTTTCAATAAAACTCATGTTTCATATAAACACAACGTGATGAGTAAACACAGTGTGCATATTATTTAAAAAAGCAAACTAACCACTAAAAATGGGTGTGAAGTACGTGACCACATTGCAAATGTCGCAGTAATGCTGACGTATGGAGGGTCACAACAGTTAATGTTGTTGCGTTAACCCTAAGAGGTCATAATATTGATCTAGTTCAACTTTAAGCGGAAAATTAATGATTTCTACAAGAACAGATTGAGTTCATAGTCCGTTATGAAAATCCTTCTCGTAGTTAATTACCCTTGATACTCAATTATCAATCTCGATTTTTCCTTTAAGTCAGGCAAAGGTGTTAGTTTGTCATTACTAGATATTACAGAGAATGTGAATATCCTCTCGACCGTGACTGCTACCATTGCGTGGTGGTCCGGCTTGCCTATCGTGATGACCCAATCGAGCTATATTGGCTAGAACATATGTTCCTGTAGGTCGATTGGAGAACGATGTGTCTAAAAGCAGAAACTTAAGGTCTCAGGGGGAAGTCGTACTGCCTACTTTAGGGGGGGGTGACAGCAGTGAGGTGTTTCCCCCAGACAACCAGCATCTGCAGCGATGCTACCTTCTGACAAGAAAGGAAGGGGTTAATAAAGGTCGACCATGGAAGTCTCACCTTACCCCACAGATTTCCGTCTCCGGCGGTAAGGCCTTTTAAACAAGAACGAAGTTAATAGTTTAAAAACTTCTGATAAGAGAGCCGTGCGTGACTGGCCTCAAGCAGTTGTCCCTTGTGCTCTGCTGTCACGCTCCCAGGTCTCCAAGAACAATACTAATCTACCTTCCTTTTCAGGTTCCTCAAGAAACACCCATGGTGTGGGCAACCGGTATGTGACATCCGCCCTCATACCCGTAACAGCATACGAGACCGAATTGGTAACAGTCAAATCCTTCCTACACCCCCTAACATCTCTCTTATCTCCATGACTAACCCTTCTCACATTCCTTGATCACCTCGCACCGCTAATGCAAATGATGCGAGTTCACGAAACGTTATTCCTGATCTCTTGAAGAGGAACAGGCTTGCTTATCTAGGACTCTGGAGTCCCGTGCTATCGATATATGCTGCGTTTCCGAAACGCGCATACAGGATCCTAGTAAAATCATTAATTTGATTTCACCTTGTCCAGATAGAGAATCGACTTGGTTTACGCTGCTGTAGGTACAGTATTAATTCATAGGGCAAAACTATCTTTCCTAAGACTGAATCTCAGTAGACATTCGCTTGTGCGCTGTCCAACTAAACGGGAAAAAAAGGATCCGGAAAGATAGTAACACTCGCTGTTGCCTCTTCGTCGTATCTGCCTACCGCTCCACTAACTGCATTTCAACGAGGTGAAAGATGAGTTTTACAGGAAGCTTTCGGACCTCCCCCAAAAGGTTGGGCACTCTGATATAGAAATAATGGCCAGTGACTTCAATGCTCAAGTAGGTAGACTAAGTGAAAAGGAAAGATACCTGGCTGGATCGAACAGATAATGGCGACTATCTGCTGCAACTATGCTCAGATAACCGCTTATTTCTAGCAAACACTAACTTTAGGCATAAGGAAAAACACCTCTTGACCTGGCGACCCCTAAAGTCGTCTCAACGTTGGACCTAACCAGATCACATCGTTATCAGCCACCGATGGAGAAGTTTGGTAGACGACTATCGCACTTCCTTGTGCACAAGTTTAGATTTAGATAATGCTCTAGCATGAGCCCCTATTTTTTCGCGACTTATTGGACGTAGGAAAGATACTATAAGAAAATCTCTTAGAGTTCTACCTAATGATAGCGTTGCTAAGAACATATTTTAGGTGCAACTAGAAAAGCAGTTAGGCGGCCATGCATGTGATTCCCATCCTAAGGCATTCGCCGTGGATCTCAGTAACATCGACCGAACTGATAGGTGCTCGAAAACTCATCCCACCTGGCTCTGAACATGATGAAGATCGAAGTCGGCTTAAGCTCAGGCTGATAAAAAGCTTTCTCAATGATCGCGAACATTGGTGGGTAGCGAAAGCAAGAGAAATGGACAAGGCAGCGGCAACAGGTAAGAGACTTATCAAGGAAACTGGTACTATTAATCCATCTGTTAGCGAAACTATCTCGGAAAAGGATGGTTGTATCATTCATTCTCAACTCAGGAGATTGGATCGATGGGCAGAGCACTTTATGGATCAGTTCGATTGGCCTTCAGCCACAAATCGGTTATCCACAATCTCCAGTCGTCCTGAATGGCAAATCGATGTGAGTCCTATTCTTTATGAAGTTGAGAAAGCTATAAGAAATCTGAAGTGAGGGAGAGCGGCAGGGCTTGACAGGTTTACCCCTGAAATTTTTAAGGACAGTGGCCTAGTTTTAGCAGTTAGACTGACTGAGATCTTAGGTAGAATCTGTGAACTGAACATAATCCCATCTGACTGGTCTCAATCACTGATCGTCCCAGTCTACATCCAACTTAATGTGAATAGGTGATATCAAAAATCTTATTAAGTGTCCATCACTTATACCATTTTATGACCTACACAGAATGACCAAGTAGTCACTGTTAAGAAAACTGTCTACTTGGTTTTCATCCAGTTCTGCAAAAAAATTCGAATATGAAGTCAGAATTTATAGATCATCTAATTTTATGTATTCGAAAAAGTCACATTTACAAAAATTAAAACAATTTCTGAACAACATATCCACTGAATGAATACTAACCGTAAATTTCGAATGCCCAGTTATTCACTAAATTGTGGTATAAATGTTATTTCAGTGCTTAAGGGTGAAAATCCAATGTTAATGAATAGTTACAATGTTTGAAATAACTTCTGAGAAGGAAATCTGAACTGATGATCTTATACATGCCAACAATGTTGACATTGAACATACTTAATAATAACCAAGAATAAGGTTAAATAAGTCATTAGAAGCCGTTGATTCATAAGAAGTGGAGAGATTAAATTAAAAGTTTGATCAACAAGCAGAGACTCGACTATAAATGAATAATTCACCACACTTGAAATGGTCAGAATAGCATGTGCGGCATAAACTAACTTTATTTTGATCTAATAAAATCTTTGGTAAATAAACAGGATCTAGTTAGGTTTTAGATTGAAAATAGTTTACTGGCTAAGATAATGTGTAATATAAGTATTCTGTTTTGATCGATCGGATCGACTCAAAAACTGTATGGTGTTTCTTTTTTTGGCAAGAATAAAATCCATACCTGACGTTAACGTACGGTTGATAAAATTTCTGCTTCATATCACTCAGTTGGACAATGCTATTCTTCACATAATTATTTGAAGTAAAGATACCAGACCAAATCCAAGGTCAACTGACCTTGTTATCATAAGTGATTATGACATATTATACTTGGAATAACGAAAGTTGTAAACGGAAAACAAGTTTTCATAGAGTTATCTACTTGTTTTAGCCTGCTAAAACAAAAAACAGCAATTGAAGTATAAAGTTGATTTATTTATTTGTTACTAAAGCTAGAGAATCTGACTGATTGATATCGTGTAAGATGAGGAATCTGAATCCACTGACTATTGATTGTGTGGTATAATTTTTTCAGCGAACTCCACTTCGTATAATACACTTTTAAACTTATAAATACCGTTTTAAAATAACTGTAGTAATCAAATATGACTACTGAAAGTCTGCATTTTCATCATTTCACTTGCTATCACTAGACTTTGCGTTACCATTTTGTACTATTATTGCAGTCATCTTCGATAATGCTGTTGCGGTATACTGAAAATCAAGATGATAAATACTATCTTGTGAATGAAATCAAGGTTCATTAAATACTCGAATTTAAACAAGACACAAGACAGTACGGTAACAATAACTCCATAGAAATGCTTCTTGAACAAGAGTAGTGTTACTTTCGCCACTATCAGATATTCATTATACACTAGACTTCATTCGACTTATCCTGCATATGAAAAACAATTGGTAAAGAACAGTATATAGTCCAATCAATCCGAAAACGAGAAATACAACAGTGAAAACAAACGAGTGTAAATTTATGGGCGAATTTTCTGACATGTTGTCAGTCCATCGGTGTTGTGTTTTAGGGTCGCTGATCTGCTATGGCTAGAGATTTGATGAATTCATCCATATGACAATAGAACCGGTGACTTTTTTCACGAAGTGACTACAATTGAGGCCTTGACGTTTATTGCTTCTCGGGCACCTTCAAACCCAGTAGCCAATCAGAAGAGGCAGATAGGAAGTAGACTAGTTCTCTTTTGTACCCAATTAAATTCCAAGTCGAAACGTGTACACTTGAAATCCCTTTCTATACAACATACTAATTAGTAAATCATACTTTAAACACGATTAAGTCAAAAGTGGCAGTTTAGCTAAGTAAATATTACCTAATTTAATAACAATCACCATAGAATAGTATATCATACAGTGATAGTTAACGGGTCCACTGAAAGCTTATAATAAGCAAAATATGGGAATCTAACAATAAAATCATTTGGTGACTATACAATAAGGTTCAAACTTTTCCAAATATTTATTCCGTTTTAACAATCCGTTAGCACCAAGCAGTTTTAATGAGTGCATTCCGATTTGAGCTTGAACAATAAGGACTTGATCTAGCTAACAGTCTGTCTGAATTAGATTACAATATGTCAGAAAAATCCACCTGATCATCTATAAAGTCTGCTTAGGGAATTTTGCAGTATGCCTAGTCTAGTTATTGTTAGCATAATTTTTTATTGATGGAATACTATTCTGATCTATATAACTAGTTCAATGTTTTTGTTATTTTAGGAAACACACTACAATGCCACTTGAAGCCCATTGATATTTATCAATATAGAAACTGCAAAGTCACATGAATCATTTGTGTTGATATGCAAAACAACTCTAATGACAGAATGATAGTATGGTTTTTTTTTAAAGAAAATAAAACAATCCAGGGTGATTAGTTTTGAATTAATTTTTAAATCAAAAATATTTCATTTATATAAACAATGGAATGATTCATCAGGTTACAGTTACCGAAATAACTTGATATTTTTCACACTTCATCTAATAGGCATTGGCATAGAAGGACTATACGTAACTATCAAGATTAGTATTGATTATTTACAATGTATCAAAAGTCGACATACCCTATGAGGTTGTTCCTCTTACAATAACTCTTGATAAACTACTCTCTATTTTCCTGTGGGAATTTATGTAGGGTACTAACATATGAAACCCACAGTAAGTAATGTATCGGTAACTGTTTAAAAATGTTATTTAATAAATTATATTGGAACGAAAAGGCTGACTATGAATCCTTTCTCATTGCACAATATTTGAACATTTCTAAATTTACTGATTAAACATACTCAGATAAAACTAACAAATAAAATAACATATTTTGTTCGAGAGAAAAATCAATCGAACTCGTCTATTTATTATATAAACACCATATAATTCAAATAGTACATAAGTTCCTGGCCAAATTAAATGAAATAATCAATTTAAAATACGATGACTGGAAGTTTATGCTAAACAATTAATGCACCAATAATATAAATAATTCGTGCACGATATTTATTGTACAGTGTGTGCGTATTTTAATCAATCATTGATTATTACAGTGGAAGTTTATAAAAGTTAATGATAATTTGACCTTCGTTGTAAATTATGTAGATCATTGTTTTTATGAGTCATCAATCACACTGCATATAAATTTGTTATTGAATTAATGTAATTTCTACTGCGAATTAAATGAATGCAACGAAGCCACTATGATAAAAAAAATCTACGAATTAACATAAATTGTAAGTAGAAAGGATTAACAGAAATGAGGGACGGGTAATTCGTTCTGTGAAATGACTCCAACTAGCGATAGTCACTTCACTAGTCCGATATTCAGCATATTAAACTAAGGAACTGGAACAACCACTTGAAATTCATCGCGTTTTCAGCCATCGTTATGCTTCTTTATCTTATACCAATAATAATCCAGTCAAAATTTGATTATGACATTCGGAAACTTAATTCAGTTGAAGTCAGCCACGTACATATGCATATGCATGTTTTCTGTAGAAATGTCAACCAAACCCTAAACATTCCTAGTACTTCATAAAGATACATCATGTAGGGGTTTTCTAGAATAAATTTCAACGCAAATAATTAGAGAATCTTAAGTGAGTGTTGCATATAAAACTCCTCAATATATATATATATATATATATATATATATATATATATATATATATATATTGGTTTCTGTATCATGGTCCTTAGAGTGGTGACTAAAGTGCTCTATACAAATTAATATTGATAAGAGATTATAAGCTTAATGACCAATTATTACAAGAAATATACACGAAATTGTTGAAGTGACAATTACACAGCACCAATATTCCGATCATTATACTGTATATATATATATATATATATATATATATATATATATATATATATATATATATATATATATATATGTATATATTTGATTCAATTTTTTTTCAATTATCATATTTTATAAATTTTCCTACTACTATCAGTACTCACCTATCTTCCTACTATCCACTTGTACTTTTGCCTTTTTCATTTCATTGTGATTATTGACTCAAATTGCCTTGATTGGTTTAACATTTTCATATAAATATTCATGTATATTAGAGTAAAGCAGCCTGATGACGATCTAATCGAAAACAATATTGTTCGCTTATAAGTGTTGTTACAATTAATTATACATCCAATAAACAACATTTATAAAATATTATATAATCCCAGCTGATATATATATATATATAAAGTATAAGTGAAACTATTTTTCAATATTCATCTGTTTATTTCATTGACTAAAAAGAAAGATAAAATATATAAACAAATATCCAATAATATATGAAAGTGATACAATAAATAAATTGTAAATCATTGTTGTTATATTATAAATAAATTTTTTTCAAAAGAATAAAAAAATGTTACTGAGAAAGGCACAAGCAGAATAGATGATCAATTTAAAAAAAAACAAAATCATTGGTACAATTAAATTCTATTAAATATATATATATATATATATATATATATATATATATATATATATATAAATATATAAAAGAGAAGGAAATATCCACTATAAATCAAAACATGCATATTCATAGTTAATGGAAATAATAATAACAATAATAATATTAATAATACAAAAGTCTATACATGAAGTAGAGATTCGTTGATTTGTTTTGTTTTCTTCTCTTTTTCAATAAATATCTTCCTCATCACAGTAACACCATCAACTTCATCAGCATCATCATTAGCATCATCATCATCAAAACAAAATGCAATTAAACTTATTAACTAAATATTAAATTGATCATCATCATCATCATTATCATTTATTTATGCTATAATGATGAACTTTACTTTAATATTGGGCACAGATCATATGATATTTATTGATAATCATAAATATACTGTCACGTAATAAATGAATTTGAAAATGTTTGAGCAATAAATTGTTAATTTTAATACTAATATTTATAAAAATCAATTAGTTAAAAAAAAACAAAGATAAAAAATTAATTATTTTTGTTGCTTAGAAAAAAAAAGACAAACAACATAAAATAACTAAAAAGAAGTAGTAGTGTTGTGCTTGAGTTTTTTTTTGTCATCAAGACAAAAAAATTATCATATTCATTATTTTTGAGATACACATTCACCGAGGACAATCACTTTGTGATAGAAAGAAAAAAAGTGATCAACACAAAGAAAGAGTAACGGGATAGATAGTATCAATAAAACTTGATTTTCAATAGCACTAATCACTTATATATCCAGTTTGATTTTTATTTTTTTAAAACAAATAATACTGAATACATTGAGATAGTAGTAGTAGTAGTAGTAGTAGTAGCTGTTGTTGTTGTAACAGTATTATTCTGATTATTGCGTTTTACAGTCTCAATGTAACTCAATTTTATGATATTAAGTGGATAATAATAATAATAATAATAAGCGAGTCAATAAATTAAAAAGAAAAAAAAAACAGATTAGACGAAAAGAAAATTAACTATCCTTTACAGCATTTCACTTTATGCTTTGATTTTAATCCAGTAATTGGTGTCAGCTGAACTACTGTTTGTTGAGCTTCTTGTTGTCTTTGTACAGCATTTAATCGTAAACGTAAAGCTTCTCTTGTAATGATGTCAAACATCTAGAGAAATGGAGATAAAAGTAAGTTTTACATTGGCCTCATGATTTACTGATTACATTGAAACTAAATAAACTTTCTTGCAAGATGCTTGGATATGTGTCATACTCTAAATGTAAAAGCTAATGATACTAGCCAGTTTTCCCCCCCAAAAAAGTAGAACAGATCTAGGGTCGATTTATACAAAATGATGTTGAAAAAGTAAAACGAATCCAATGGCTTAAATGTATTGCGATTAACATGAAACATGTGTTCAGTTTTTTTAATGTTCATTCACATTGATGTATGTCAATTGATTGTGAATGATTTTGAATTCATGATATTATTTGTTTATCTAATAAGTTGATAGACAAGAACAACGTTAAACATTAAGAATAATCTTTTAAACTGATTTTAATCTAGCACAATTATGTAAGCAATGTATCAGAAATTACCGGGTCATTTAGCAATGGATGAATATAGTGATAATTGTTTTGTTCATTGTTATGTACAAATCTCAATTAAGAAAAAACACTTAAGTGTGTGCATGACTTTTCTTATTGCTTTCGTGTGCTGATTCATTTGTGACTTAAACATATTTCACAGAGCTGCGAATTACCAGTTTCTATATTTCATTCACTACTAATACTAATTCCATTTAAATGACATTTTGAATAGTAAACTTCTCCTTAATCGATAATAAAATGTTCTAATGAGAAATCTCGGGAGAGATAATATCACAAAACTAAGTAATAAATAATAACGACTGGTATGTCTGTGCCTCAGTCAATATAATTCAGAACGAATCAAAGTTGTCACATCAATCAATAGCACCAGAAAAATGTATTATAGAATAAAGGTAATGATAATAAACAATGTAACCCGTCAATTTACGGCTGATATATGCAATATCTTATGACTTAAGCATCTACAAACAGACAACTGTTGATTATTATCAACCTACAACAGTAACAACATATCTCTTTGTGCGTCAACGAACATGATACCATTGAATCATTCGATTTAAATATAGAAGTGTACATTTTGAACTTTAGTTTACTTGTGATACTTTTCTAGCTTGAACGATGTTGTCACTTATGAACATTTTGCACAAAACACTTTCAGATCCTAGTCTGATATGAAGTTACGCTTACATATGAAAAAGTTAATCAGTCAGTCGATGATACTCACAACAACAATTCGCATTTAATTCATTACCTTCTGTTTATTTTAAAGGGTTCTATGCAGAATACACAGCAAAAAATAACCTCAACCGTGTAGATATAACTTACTATAAAAATAGATATATTTATTTATTGTTATAAAAATTCATATTCCATCAAGATTTAGAGTAAATAATCTTCGTTTCTGTTTTTATGAAACACATGTACCTAGTTGATTTATTCATTGTATGCATTTTATCATATGATTGATCGATTTAAACTGAGACAACAAATCATTGATTTGATTATAGTGAATGTAATGAACAAAGTGATAACTAACAGTTAATTTAAATGTTTCCTAAAATAGTATATACCAATTTCTCAAACATTTTGAAACAAAAAAAGATGGTATTTGTTTCGAGAAATTCAAGTCAATGTATAACTCACAAAGGTGATATTAACGATGTAACATTTCTCTGAGCTGTACTGTTTAGTCAAAGAAGCAGCTGAACATAGCATAAACTTCTTAAAGCTTAAAATAAGTAGGATATTAAAAAGCCAAAAATAGAAGCTTTAAAAACAAACTTATCACATGAGAGAATATCATATCTGATGAAATTCTAAGAAATACAACAAGCAACATTACCTGATCGACATTTTCATCCCTTTTAGCAGACGTTTCAATAAAAAAACAGGAATTTTTAGCTGCTAAACGTTGAGCATCACAAGGAGACACCGTTTTTAATTCTTCATCTTCATTTTTATTGCCGACTATTAAAACGTGTTTTTTTGTAAATGAAGGCAATAATTACAAAATAATTTATTGTACAAGATTGTTCATTTTAATAAAACGAATACACAAAATTATTTCGAACTGATTAAATCCGAATAAAATGTAGTGAATACATTTCTTGTATTCAGAGATATTTTGTTTAAGTTGAGCATTTATCATCACATTTGTTCAATAATGAAAATATTTTAATGCGACACGTGATAATGACTAATGTAATGCTCAAATCAACCTTTAATTAAATATTTAAATAAAAGGTATTATACATCAATAGACTTGATGATGCAATCAAAGTGAAAATGAACGATGACGTTGGTTAGAATATTGCATAGGAATGACTTAACTAATATGATACAATATGAAATAAGTATTTTAAGATATTTCATATTAGTCAAAGTCAAAATAATTAAGGTTTTAAATAAATATCTTTGATAAATTTCGAGTTAAAAAATGAAGATTTTTATAGCTTTTGAAGTTTAAAAAGATTCTAGATAAACTTATATTCTCCTTAGATCTAGTTAAATTTTTATTAATAATGCCCCGTTGACCAAGGTTAAATGTTATACATGATGTGAATTAAATGTTGCCGGAACATATCACAAGGGCAGTATAGTAATTAGCTCCATAACAAAAATCCATACAAAAAAACATTTTTATAAACAATGTAGGACCTGGTGAGAATATGCACGAATTCAAGTTGTTATAATTTATATCGGTACATTTAGAGAAAAACATCAGGATAAAAATTAAGGGAGTCAAACTAGTAGCATATATTATACAGAGAATATAGTTCTGAAAGAACAAATGGGATAGAGGGACGTAAAAGAAAATGGGATCGAAACCGAGGACTTTGAGAACGGTAAATAATGGAGATATCTGCACCACTACAACCACTTTCGGCTCACATCACCTGAAATCTCCCGCTATTAAACGAAGTTTTAGCATGGATCCCTACTAAGTTTCAACCTTTCAATAAGACACTAAGATAATCAATGGTTATATAAGCTGATATATTTACGCTTGACTACACCCATCATTTCTCTAACCCACTCCTCTAACACTAGCCATTGTTGCACGTCTGGCTAGATGGTGGAAGAGACATATTACACATAAGTACAGTAGTTGCCGTGCTCAACTCAATCACATCTTATGGTCAGATCAGGCACTGATGCAAACTGGTCGTTAAGCAACATTTCGGAACTAGAAAGAAAATGGATTTTACCACGGTTTTCCGGTTTAAGGTAGTGAAAAGATTCTCCATTTTTAAGCTTGTTCATCAAACGTTTGGAGACTCCAATTCCATGAAACCGATCGCTGAAATTTCAGATAACCAGTCACCTCTAGAAGCAGGTCTGTGATAAAATTTCGGTAAAAAGAAACGGACAGTTAGAGTGGTGGTTGTTACTGGTATGAAGGAGGTTGTCACTTCCCGGCTGCCCACACCGTGAAAGGTTGTTTCTTGAGGGACTTGAAAAAGAATGTAGATTCGTGACGGTCTTAGAGACCTGGGAGCGTGACCGCAGAGCCCAAAGGACAACTGCTTGAAGCCGGTCACGCACGGCCTTTTAATGAAAGGATTTTTGAGTGTTAGCTCCACTCTTGAAAGCTCTTAGTGGGTACCCTTACCGACGGAGACGGAAATCCGTGAGTTAGGGTGAGGTATGACATTTTTAGGGTCGACCTTTTCTAACCCTTCCTTCCTTGTGGGAAGGCAGCATCGCTGCAGATGCTGGTTGTCCTAGGGAAACACCTTACTGCTGTCAGACCCCTCTGCAGTCGGCAGTACGACTTCGCCCTCAGACCTAATACGGTTAAAGTTTGGATAATTACGTTTGCACTGACCAACTGATAGATGATTGAGTCTTGGTATCGATAGAAAAGTTTAGATAACACTAGTGAGGTATCTGTTTACTAATTAATGACTAAGTGAACAGCGTTTAAGTGCTTCCTGTTCCGTGACAGTGGTGTAAAATATGACCACCGAATATAAAAACATAAGAGGGTGGGCAACAGAGGTCGTTATTCACTAATTACTGCCGTGATAATTTCGCTCCACTGGTGAAGAAGCAATAATATTATCCGTAAACTGTAATAAACGACCAGAAAATAAATTACAGTATAAAGCACTCCTCACCTAGTATTCGTGCTACTCCTTCATCAGCATATGTTTGTGCCTCTTGTAACCATTTTTCTACATTACAAAATGTTTTCACATCATTGACATCATATACAATGATTATTCCATGAGCACCACGATAATATCTGATAATATTATTAAAATTTTAATTATAAATAAAATTATACGTTGATGTTATGGTGCGAAATCTTTCCTGTCCAGCTGTATCCCAAATTTGTAGCTTTACTCTTGTATTACCAATCGTAACCGATTTAACTTTGAAGTCCACTCCAATTGTACTCATATAAGTATCACTGAAACCATCATCGGTGTAGCGGAAGAGTAGACTGCTTTTTCCAACATCTACAGAAAAACAAGTCAAACTGTATCAAAACAAACCAAATGACCTTGTTTAAGAGAAAAACGTATACATGAATTCATATTACTGTTACCCACAGAAAACAAACTTGCTTGATAAACGCTAACCAGAAAAATGAATTTAAACCATTTTAACTCTACCCTGGGAGTTCAAAGGTATTCATTTAAAAGGGTTATGAAAACTCATGATGGAAGACGAGTTTCTTCGGAAGTCGCCAGACTGATGCCCCTTCTAAAACCAGAGCAACCATTAATTTAGGTACATGGAATGTTTATAGATTATGAGAAACCTGGAGAGTCATCCAAGTTGCTGCAGAAATGAAAGGATACAACCTGTTGGTATTTGGAATCAGTGAAGTTGAATCAGCGAAACACATTGAAGGTTGGAAAAAAAGGATAAGCTTCAGGAGAGATAGTTGTACTCCGGCCATGAAGAAAATGCTTCACACACAAGGAATTGCATCGATATTATTCCAACAAGCACAAAAAAGCACCGATAGGATGGGAATCTCACTGATCCAGGTCGGGCGTGTTGACCACTTTCCTTATCTCAGATGTCATCGGTGCTGATGGCGTGGTGACTGACTAGATCTCAGCACTGATACAGAAAGCTAGATTGGCTCTTTCTAACTTGCGTTACTTATGGAGTAGGCGAGATAACCGTTTGCTAACCAAAGGACGAGTCCACTGTGCAGCAGTTCGCTCCTCCCTACAATAGTTGTATTTCTCGAGCTTAAGGCGGCATTAGACTCTGCTGATTGTGAGATTCTATGGCAGTCTGTCACTGGTAGGAGTACTAGAGAAGTACATTAACCTTATACAAGCTTTATATTTGAGCACTACCGGTCAAGTGAAAGCTTATGGCGAAGTGTCATCGGAATTCACTACTTCAAGCGGTATCCGTCAGAGTTGTCCACTTTCACCAACCTTGTTTAACTTTGTCGTAGACATGCTTTTAGCGACAGTTATCTTCGTTAGACTTTTCAGGAGTGGACCTTTTTCCAGGAGACTCGCTTTTTGATTTAGAATATCCCAATGACAGTTCTGTTAGGTGAAGACGCCGACAAAATGCAGTCTCCTGACCACCCTAAGTATCAATCCAAGCATGTCCGGGATGCGATTCTTCCCCTCGAAATGTATAGTGTTGCTTCAGGATTAGCTTGCATTGGCACCTCAACTAGTGACAGGGAGTTGAGTAGTTGAGCGTGTCAACTGCTTCACTTATTTCGAAAGTCTCATCAGTTCTGATGGACTGGTATCTGACGAAATCCGGCACCAACACATAAGTATCGAATGGCTTTTTCCAACTTGCGTCATATATGGCATAGACGAGATATCCGCCTACCAACTGAAGTACAGGGTTAATGCGCAGCAGTTCGCCCCGTCCTACTTTAAAGGTGTGAAACTTGACCAGTAAGAGTAGAGGATATTCGTAAGTTACTACTATTTGATCACACGTGTCTTCAAAGCGTCGCTCGTGTATCCTGGGAAAACTAAGTTAACAATACCAATGATTATAAAATGGTACTAGGCAAGGATGACGGATCAACTGGTGAAGTAGCGAATCTTTATCAGTTGAGGTGGCTGGGACATGAGTTACATATGCCTAACCACCGGCTGCTTTGCCGAGCGGTGTTCCACAGTATAGGGGTAGTCTAGAATAAAGTTGCTAAACCGAACATGGCATAAATCCATGAAACCACAGACAAATGGATTTAGTAGTCTTAATGAGTTGAGCAGTAGTACTATCGTGGGACGTCTTAAAAAGGATTTGACTACTTCACAAAACCACTTTGGATTGGGCGGTTCTCGACTTATTCAGTATCCAGGTACACGTCTACTGATTTTATCTACTTTTGAACTAGTCCATGGGCAGTATTGATGAGGCAGTAAGAGTTAATTGGTTGTTTCAGGTAATAATAATTAAAATAGAATCACATTTAATAACACGATTGTCGTTAAGACAAAGCTGAAATTAGCACGTTGAAGATGTAAGTAAACAACACAATACAAACATATTCTTACACATCTTAGTGTTAATTTCTTAAAGATAGATAGAGTTTGAGTGTACGAAATAATTAACAATCAAGTCGAAACCTAGCTAAAAGGAGGGTAGGTAAACAAACCGCGAAGAATTATGAATAAATAATGAAGATGAAATTTTTACAGAACTAGCAGTATTACTTACTCATATCGCCTATCAAAAGCAGTTTCAGAAGTACGTCGGATCTCTCCGACTCATCCATCTGAGGCGCAAACATCAGACTTAGCGCTTCATTTTGTAGGTCATCCACTATCCAATACCTTCTTCTTGAACTAGTATAAACAAATTTATTACTTTGAGCTCGATTCTTTCTCTTTTGGTACCGTTTAAGGTGTTCGGTAGTGCCTAATGGATGTAGGTTTAGCCACTCGACTGTCTAATTCTAGCCAGTTGGCAGTTGTTTGAGACCCGTGATCTGAATGAGTATGCTTGTTCCAGGAATATATGGTTTCTGGAGACCAACAGCTTTCACATCATCAGGCCTGAGATCAGTTAGCTGTAATGTGTAGAATAATAAAGAGAGAATTGGTAGTGAAGATTGTACGGAGGACCGAAGAGTAAGCGAGCGAACGCAAACAGACATAGTAAATGAAACAAATTGAGTTAGAAATCTGAGGGGATGACAATAGTAACTACAAATCAGCAACAAAAAATTCATCAGGCACAGCTGGTCCAAGAGGGAGATGATAATCCGTATGTTAGTTTGTTTATCAAGTCTTCTTTAAACTGTCCACTAAGCGGGCTGTGGTCACCTCAGCTACGAAAGCATTCCAAGTTTCAACGACTCTTATTGAGAAAAAGCGTGCATGAACCGGGATGTTTGCTCCCACGTTGAGATGGTTAGGGGTGCCTAATGTGTTGTAAGCCATTATCAGATCACTTCTTGTTCTCTTATAACTCAGGGAGAAAATTCTTAAGTGCTGAAGTCTACCTTCATAAGTTTTATTTTTCAAACGTATCACCAATTTTGTCACTCGTCTCTGTACTCGATCCAGCAGATTTATGTCTCTGTTAAGAATAAGGGTGCAAAGACGTAAACCCCAAAGTGTTGGCGCGCATATGTCCTAAACAATGTTAAGAATAATTCTGTAGTGCTAGTACCATGTTGTCTTCACATAAAGTGAAGAGTTGCATTCGCCTTGTCTGTGTCCCCTGTATAGTTCAAGCTGATGTGGAGGCGCTTAGTGATTGTTAAACGGAGTTAGATCTCTGAGGCAACATTGGGGAGCGTACTTCCATTGGAGGTGTTTAGGGGTGACCGAGTCAAGAGTGACTATGGTCACCACTAAATATTCATTACTACCCTGTCACAAATTATAGAAGTAAATCCAGGGACCGATATTTATTTGAAGGAGGAAGTATGCGTTACATCGAACGGCAATTAATGAAAGATGGCAGCAACGCTCAAAAGAACGTTGCGCGCAAGTAAGTGTTTTTGGTCCAGTTAAACGACACCAGTACAATAATAAGTGTTTATTTTTCACCAAACTTGTTTTCTTCGTAGAAGTGCTCCACTTCAGGTGTAAATCGTATGCGTCATGTGGGGTAGAATTCGCACAACATGACACTTCGGTTGGTTTGGTTTATAAGACGTTTTTCCCTGCCCTTTCCTCATTATTTGTAAGGCCCTTTCGCAGCTCAGGTGAATCCTTTTTAGCTTGTAATGAACCTCCAAATCATTGTAGATCAGTGTAGATCAATGAGTCGAGCTAACTTTGACTGCCAGATCATGAATCAATATAAGGAAGAGAATTAGACGTGGATGGTCCCCAGTGAAACTCCCGATGTCCAGACTCGCCAACTCGCGTGCACTCTATTTACCTATTGAGAAACTCTCTATTCTCGAAGAGGATCCTCACCGAAATTGAAATGGGTCAGTGAAGCCTATTCTTGCAACCTTAGCAGTTAACAGTCAGCGGGGCTGTAAATGAATCTATCAAATAGAAAAAGCTGAGGATCTAGAGCTTTAAAGGCATTTATGAGGTAGGAATAGCATACTCATGAATATTAAGTTATTATCTGAGTGGCAGCTTTCAGAAAATGAAACGAATAAATTAATAAAGATGAGATTCTATAAAAGTCTCTGTATGTGTTTTAATAGTACTCGTCAAGTCTCTGATCACTGTGTGATTTTGGCATGAATATCAATCACTACAGTCACAATATACCACAAGATTTATATCCGAAGTCCTAACTACCGAAAATAAACCATTAAATTGTTTTGGTTTTGAATGAATAGGTCTAAAATATTCATCTACCCTACCTCAGAACAGTACTCTTTCCGTTTAGTTGGTGATTTAAGCAAAAACTCACGTTCCTTCTACCTAACTGATAAAAATAACATTGGAACTTTGTATGAACTCGTTAGGGATCACCGTGTTATATGTTGATATTTGGATCCAGTAATGGTTCACATCAGAAGCGGCGACAATCATTAATTAGGAATTTTACTTATCTCTAAGTGTTGCTCTAGAGTGATAATCAGTCTCTACACCTTGGTTATTTCTGATCGAACATAATTTTTGAAACGATCTTACCAATGACCATTGTAGTGAAGTGGGATTGAAGGGATTTTAAGTCGTGGAATTTTTTCGAAATAAGTCCTGAATACTTATTTTAAAAATTACTACATAGTGAAGCACTCCAATGATAAATTCTAAGATCTTTACCTCTAATACTATTCGTGAATCAATTCCCGAGTTCCGTTAAATCACTGATGCTACTTTATGATAATGACGTGAAAATACATCAAACAGTAAAACGGATATAGACATAAGTGCACTCTAGGCTGATTTGGACGATCTGATTAGCTGGTCTAAAATATGATGCCTGTGAAGGCGGCCAAGTGTGTCTAAATGCACATCGAGGATAAAAAGAATATCAGGGAAAGTCAGTTACCATAGTCCAGTTCTGCGATGATTATGAGGTTTCAGTAAAACAATCGTAAGACTACGGTCCACCTCCTTGAGAGTGCAGCTAAGGGGTTAGGAAACTTATAGGCTTTAAGACAGACAACTAAGCAATTGGATACCAGTATTCTCACGACTTCATACACAACGTTATTTGGATCTCAGCTTGAAAACTGCATTCAGGCTACATGACTCCGTTTACAATGTGATTTGGATATCTTTTCAGCTACGTATGAAGTTCCGATATTGATGTATAAAATACTAAGGGTTGGTTTTGGTACTATATATTTTATTCGCTTGTTTTTTATAGGTAAAGATGACTTAAATACGTTGCAGGCGAGTACTAAAATAGAGGACTAAAAAAATACCAATGGAATTCATGTTTTCACACCGAGTCAGCAACTCCTGTAACATGTTTCCCGAAAACATGGTATTAGCATTTTCTACTGACCTGTCGAGCATAAGAACAACCACTCTCAGGATCTCACTGTGAAAAGACCTTTATCCTCATCTTACAAATCTGAGTTCTGAAAAGAATCCAAGGACATTGGTCATTAAAACCCGCTGAGATTGAGAAATTCAAGGTTGCCTTTTTATGCAAGAAAGTCTTTTTTGTTCTCATTGTCAATGGAGAGGCAGAAGTCTTTCGAAGTTATCGATTATGATGTAATGTGTTATATATATTATAATTTTTTATTTTAGGATAAAAATTTATGTTTAGGTATGTTCAAGTAATTGATAAACATACTGGAATTCAATATGTGTATATACTATGTCCACCTTTCAGAAATCAGAATTTCTCCGGTTTTTAACTTCAGTTTCAAATCATTTTTCTGGTTTTCCTTGACTGCATCACTTCTTTTTCAAGACAACATTTTATGGAGCGTTATTTGTGAAAAGAAAGTACAACAGTTTACCCTCGTTCGAAAGCGTTGAAGAAATCGAATATGTTTTTAAAATGGTTCGAATGGGTCATTGATATTTAGGGTATTTTCAATATTAAATGCCTTATGGCTTAATGTTTCCAAAATGTGTTTTATTTTCCTTGATCCGGAAATATTTCCACGATTTATGACCAGTAAAAGCCATGATTTTAATAAATATGTTCTAGACGAATTCAAATTATAAAACTTCCGCCAGTTTCAGGTAACTTTCTGTTAATTCCATAACACCTTGAAGAATAAAATCGATAAGGCCTTTAGGTTCATTGAATGTACTTTTATTGTATTTTCATGGAATTAGTACTGGCCATATCATGTCAGGTATATCTGCATTCCAATATCCAAACGTGCATAACATTTTGCCAGTAGCAAATCTCATGGAATTCAGTTAAATTATTGGGAAAAATATTTTAGTATGCATTCTATGAATCGTTCCCGTTTTCATGTATAGAATAACTGCTGCACAAGTAAAATTTTAACATTTGACGAATCGGTTTTCTAGTTTGGACGAATAGTATTTATTATTGACTTCAGGACATGTCTTCACTCTCATTTGCTTCTTGTTTATGTCTATCCAAAAAGTACTACATCTTCAATGCAACATGATGAATAATTTTAATTACTGCAGATGGATTTGGCATCCACACTTATCAAATTCATCTTGTATATATATATATATATATATATATATATGACACAAACTAGATGTTTTTTGGATTCACCGAGTACTCAATATTTTGGGACATTTGAGTGTAATAATAGTCGTAAAACTGATATGGCATAACATTTTCTCGATAAAAACACATCAGAATAATCCTATTCATAGTGGTAATTTTGGTTTTGCATATCTCATGTACTCTGGGATCCCATGTAAATTACCTGAAATATACTTTATAGTTTTCTTACATATGAACTCTTTTGCGTTTTTAGTATGAATCAGTAGTTACGGCATCGACTCCAACAAATTGCATATTCGAGCCTCGCCCCCACCTATATCGGTAGTGGCAATCACCTTCACAGAGTGGGTCTTGAAGGCAAGTGCCCCCATCTTCATCAGGCAAGAAAACTGACGCCAGCTCAGTTTTAGTTAAAAAATTTCAGTCCGTTACTGATTTTAGGAAAGTTTTGAACCCAAGGTAAAGGCGACAAACATTTTTGAAGCCAGTTAAAAACATTAAGCCATGGTTCCTCCTAATTCATCGTAGTGTACACTAATTACCTTCCTACAGTGCTGAGATACAATAATTGTTTTAAGTTCCTTCACCCGAAACTATTTTGAATTCATTTTTATATCATAAACAAAAAAGAGATCTTGTTCCAAAAAATTTTTTCACTAGTTACCATTCTTGTGGGGTCGGTTTTCGAACCCTATCATTAGTACTAGCTGTGTAAAACATGCAGTTATTATAAGGGTGAAGTTGATATCGGATATCAACTCGTAGAGTTAATAAAATTCATCCCTTACTGCTAACTATAATCTCGACTTGGAATTTATAAATTGTCAATTAACTACTGCATGTCAAGGAAAAAACTCAATAAAATATGACGTGTAGTAATAAAATAGCAACATAATCTTCCTCGTTTAACCTAGAAATTAGAAGAATAATTTGAACAAAATAAAACTAGTGAAATCAATAGATGAAGTATTGAGACTTCATCAGTTGAGGTGGTTGGGACATGTGTTACGTATGGCTAACCACCGACTGCCGCGATGAGCTATGTTTTGCTGTGTAGGAGTAGATTGGAAGAAAGCTAGGGGCGGCCAAACCAAAACATGGCACAAATCCATGAAGTCACTGACAAGTGGACTGAGTCATGTTGGTAGATGTAGACTACCTGGTTGGGGTCCGCGAGACGATAGTCACCGATGGTTAGAGACCTTAAACGACATGGCTCAAAATCGTTTGCAATGGCTCAGGTGCATCTACTCTTTGTGTTCTATGAAATTCTAAGCTTCTGCATTCCTCATAATCTCTACCTTCCCCCTTCTAAATTTATCTCGCTGAATTATACTTCTCGAATCATATCTTCGCTCCCTAATCTTCTCGATTACTGCTGATAATTCTACTATCGCTATCACTCTTGGATTTGAAATGATAGTTGCTTCTCTGTGCTGACGTGGTATGGCAACCTGAACTGATGTACTTATGTACGAAGTTCTGCGTTGTATCTATCTGTCTGTCTGGTAAAACCTCGAGAGTGATGTAATAAAAACCTTGTGGTGCGAGCTACTTATAAGTAGTATATGACGTGAGTGTCAACGTAATGTCTGGCAGCAGAAAATGGGGGAAGATCAAGAAAGGAAGAGTTAGAAAACAATGGACTTTGTATGAAACGCATGAATAGTGACAATGGATTGATGTTTTGCAACAGGAACAGTCCAGTTCGATATGATGAACTGATATTTTGCAAATTAACGATTTACGACATGGTTTTCCGATTTTACTGAGTAACTCTGTAATTTTCGTTGAATAAAATTTAGTAGCCTCACCTGTGTTCTCGTTCACTACAACCTTAGAATATTGTCCTACATTAAAAACTTTCTGTAAAACTAGAAGCTACAAGTCTGGAAAATAGGTTTTCACTAAGATTATGTCCATCCTTTGCTATATTTTAGAAAATGATAGTCCATTCGAAAGTATCGACTTGGTATCGGAGCAAGCTAATCCAAATGAATCACCTTCTTACACTGAACTTTCGGAGTCTGACAACTCAGAAAATTCTCTTTCCATATCGACTTCCGATTTCGTTAAACTCGACTTGAACCGAAACCATGCGTAAGTCACATTTTCTACTGTTTATACCCAGTAGATATCATGGTCAGTGTGCTTGAGGTGTCGATTTATAACTAGTCTTTGAACTTCATGTAGTCAACACATGTAGATGTCAGTTTTTGAGAGGAATCTTAACGTTATCTTGATGTATGTAGTGTAACAAACTTAATCAGGAATTTAGTGTTATAAAAAATGTAATATCTAAGAATAAAGTAATCCATTAACTGAGTATTTTAACTTTCATGAGTTCCTTTATGTTTTTTGTGGAACGAGAATATATGTAGTTATTTTTTATTAAAGAAGTAGTAAAAGTCTTTTCCCAACCCTAACTGCTGTATGTGAGGCAATCGAAACCAGTTTTCTCGTGTTTTAAGTCATCATTATAGAGTTTGTGGATCTCACTCCAAATCGCTCACCTAATATCCTGTACAATCTATAATCCACTTTTTTAATTGAAATGAATTCTGTTTTGAAAATATACAAATCCTTGGGCTTAGTTAAATGTTAAATTTGTCGATAGACTTCAAACACCTGACGCTAGCCACCAGTTTACACTATGTGCATAACAGTCACTAGAAGAAGCAGTGATAAAGACCTGCCAAATCAGGGCCGTTGAGTGATCTAGCTATTTATTTTATAACACCAAGTGACTGCCATAGTAAGATATCAAAAAGTTGATCAGTAACCATATTCCTATGAAATATTAAGGCACTTTAGAGAACTAACTCACTCAGGTAGTATAAAATATGCATTGATATAATTCGTTCTCTAGAGCTTAAATTCCATGTACTTCCAACAGCTTTTAACCTAGATTTTACTTTATTTGTTGGAGTAGCAACATCATTTATCATATTCCTCTAAAAGCCGTTTCTAACATCGACCCAGATAGTATGGAGTTAATTCAGCCTTATATTACAATTTCTGCATTCATGGTTGATTTTCTTAGTATTGGATAAAATATCTGATGTGCATAAACTCTAAAGCCTTCAGCTGGATCCGAGAAGCCAGACATATATTTCAAGAGGAAAAAAAATACACTGACAATCAGAAATCTGCGAGTTTATAAGTGTACTTAATTGGCCAAGGAGTGGATTGAATATCTAGGGAACAAGACATACATCACTGATGGCTTACTTTTCTAGAGGATATATATACATGAGTATGGATATGTGCCTATTCGGTTTGTCAATAAAAGCTTCCTTCTTAATCTTGGTTTTCTCAATCGTATACCTGGTCGGGCTCGTGTATGTCAAGCCTATATATCAGTACCAGTATCAAAAAACCTTATCGGGACAAGTATAAGCTACTTCAAACTTCTAAAGTTTAAGATGGTGTTTGGACGAGCTGTAATTGGGATTAGTTCAATAATAAGCTGTACAATTGACCAGTTCACACATACAGACAGTCTCGTTTACTCTTCTGTACTGATGATCAGTGAAATCTAAATATCACTGAAGAATAATGTGTCTGTCGTTCACTAACCAGATACATAATATATCATTATACCCAGTCTTGATTTATCCCAGGGTATATTATGGGGAATTAAAGACTACAATTCCTATAAAAAAGAATCTAGAGAGATCATTTGAATGATAGAGCCTCGTTCATCGGGCTAACTGAATCAGAATTCCCTTACTTCTTAAACAGTTGTTTTAAAGGTAGTGTTATTTAGAGCAACATGGGTGGTTTAGAGTTCAGGGTGATGAGACTAAAATTTGCCAAAATGTAGTAAGACAGCTAACAAGTGAAGCAAACCATTCCTTTGACAATAGACTATTAGAAATGTTTATTAAAATACTCTCTTACTGTCCTATTCAGCTTACAGATCTTTCTTTTTTGCAAGTTATATTGAAATGCATAGTGGCCTCGGCAAGTGTATAGTTATTATTCATTTCCATTTTCCTAACTGGATGGAGTTCTCCACTGTATCTGCAAATAAACTGGTTCGAATATTATATAGATTGTGGTGTTGATAAATATTATTGAGAATATGTAATTCAGTAAATTTGGAGTTTAAAACAACTCAGTAGTCCAGTTTATTATAAAAACTAAAATACTCATAATTTCGCTGGCATTTATGTGTCTCGTGTCCATAATTTTATTAAGCAAACTGTTACTGTCATAGGCGTTTACTATACAATCTTTAACGTCACCTTTACTTTGAAATCAATTTGCAGTATCATCACACAACCCTCTCCATCCTGTAACTTGGATCAGTTACTCTGTCTCAGCGTACAGGAAACGAAAGAATCACCTATTGTAGGCGAACAGTCATGTACCCAATCTTCGACGCCATCTGAAATTCATATCTCTGATCGGATACATTTTTACTGTAAGTAGCTGTTTGAATATTATCGATATAAACAACAGTGAAAATTTACAAAATGAAAATTGTTAAAATCTTATTGTAGTTATTTTAACTACTTAGTTTAACTTTATTCCTTTGTGACGATTAATATAGCCATTGAAAACTAAGGAATATCGGATAGCTTTTACATCAAAGTTAGTGCTCTTCCTGACACTAGATTTTTTTATCTTTCAAAGTTAACGTAGCTACTGTCCTGTAGATTACGAACAAAATTGGTTACTATTATTTAATCATATTTCATAAACTGTGAAAAAAGTCTTTTTACTCTTGTGATTTTCTTCGTATCATCTACTGACATTCGACTCTGATAAATATAATTGAGCACTTCAAAAACCATTCCGTTTAATAAATGCTTTAATTACATGTAGACCGTTGCAAGTTATTGTATCGTGGACTGTGTAGTTAATTTAACATACATCAATCAATGATTGTCTAACAATGATTGATTGATGATTTCAAATGTGTAAAAACACAAAACCTCCAAAACTCTGCCCGTAAATTTTACATACAACAGTGATAAATTTATCTTTTCATATCAAACTACTTAGCTATTCTATCTCTTATTAACGATTATATAAAAAGATTATATATATATATATATATATATATATATATATATATATATATATATATATATATATAGAGAGAGAGAGAGAGAGAGAGAGAGACAGAGGTAAATTCATATTTAGTCTTATTATTGTGAGATTTTGATTTTATTTAATGTTAAAAGATTTTCGTTGTTGTCTTTCATATAGTAAAATTGTTACACTCAATATTTTCTTACCTTTTCCTGCCTTTTAGTTCATGATTTTCTCATAGGAGGCATAATTTTCAGTTTACTTGTAGGTAAGTTACTTACGTGATAGAAATAAACTCTTTAAAAAAATGTGTTTTGTATTTTCTGTATACGCACCTGTGTGTACACAAAAATAATTGAAACTGCGATAACTTCTGTTTATCACTTAATCGTTTTATCAACTAAAGTAAAGAGAGTTAGCGTCAGTAAGTATAATCAACCGACCGATGACCGTTTCTCTTTTCTACCTTATTGTACAGTTTTATAACGTCATTATTGTAATTATTAAGACAGTTTTTGGTTGTTTTTCTCCAAAACAAACCAAATAAATTGTAACCGTCTTTAACAGAACCAACTTGTTCTTTCTTATCTCTAGCAGTAGTTATTTGCTACAAAAATATATATTACCAGTTCAATCAATGCTGCTTACATTGAATTTCTTTTGGTTATAGATTGCATATCTGCTAGATGGACTCAGTCCTCCACAGATAGTATCTGCTAGACAAATATTCTGTGAATATTAAAGACCATTCCACTTTATGATAATTATATATAAATCAATTTATCCATTAGTTCTGACAGCGATGAAGAGTAAAGAAAATCGGAAAATCAAATTGGTTCAAAAGTTCCTTGATGATTAGAAAATAAACTGAAGATAGTTTCAATAGGGGATAATGAACCATTACTTACATTTACTACACTAAATGCTCCACTGAACATAATATTTCATCAAAAGATCACTGATAGAGATAGACCAATGAACAATAAATTACCAATTGACGATTCAGCTGACCTTCGTTTGTCTATCATTTGGCTATACTATAAATAAGACAATGATCTTCGAAATCTAACTAAAATTGTAAAAGGATATTTTGCTCATATTATTTATGTATACAAAGATAAATCAATGTAGAACTTTAGCCTACATATATTATTGATATGATATAGTTCACTATGTTAATTCCAATAAAAATAATAATATTCTTGTTGTAATAAATTAAAATCAAAATATAAATCGAATACCACTAGTTGTACATTGAAGTGTAATTATGTAATATATAATTTTTAATTTTGCAAACAACCGATTGAATTCCTCACTGTGATAAACAATCGGTTGTTTCTTTTCACCAAATATTGTTTGAATGATAAAGTTTACTTGAATCATATGATTTTTTGTTTCTCCAGTATTTTTATATATACGTATATACATTTCAGGTCACATGCTTTATTCTGAACAATGTAATAAAAGTAAGCAAAAATTGTCTACTTTTGTTTATGTATGACATTTTCCACCATTTTTGTACTTGTCTATTCACATTTTCTTAAATTGTTCATACATATGCTTCATATGAGATAACAGTAGTAAGTAGTTCAACAAGAGAGTGAAAAATCACCCTTGTACAATTGATTGCTACATACTAATGAAAAACATCACAATAATTGTCGATTATTTACGTGATGAAGGTAAAACATAACCAAGTCGATTGGTTCACTAACTCACTGTTTTTTCTTATCGTATTCTGATAGAAAGATCTATTAAGTTCATTACAAAACGACATTTAACATCTGGTTATTCTGAGTGGTAACGACCATAAGTTCTCAAATATTTTTTTCACTTTTGCCATTGTTAATTATTCTGCTTTCTTAATGGGTTGTCAATCCATCAGTAAATTATTTGATGGCATTATTTTCAATAGCTGAGAGGCTAGTCTGCCATTTTCGGTCAATCCAAGGAATCAAGATTGATTTCATCTTTCTAGATTATCTGAAATTGAATGAGGTGTTGGATTAGCACAATCTTTACGACCGTCAGCACTAAAAACATCTATTTCATTTGCCGAATGGTATTAACCCTAGTTTTCAAGTAACTACATAGAAGTACAGAAATAACGGTTATGACAATGGTAGTCTTATGTTTAACAATACTGAAATGATATAAAGTAATCATATTATACATACTTACGCCTGTTACCCCAAATGGAGCATATGCATATGTGTCCTCCAACCTACTCTGTTCTGGGTTTCCTTTTTCGGTTCTGTCCAATTTTTGTTCATTCTTCTCATATCTTTCTCTATTTTTTGGCGTAATATGTTTCTTCGCCTTCCTCTATTCCTTCTATCTTGAGGGTTCCAAGTGAGGGCTTGTATTGTGACGCAGTTGGGTGCTTTCCTCAGTGTGCGCCCTATCCACTTCCAGCGCTTCTTACTGATTTCGCCCTCCGCTGGAATCTGGTTTATTCTCTCCCACAGTACGTTGTTGTTGATGGTTTCTGGCCAACGAATCCGGAGTATTTGGCGTAGACAACTATTAATAAACACTTGTATCTTCTGTATGATGGCTATGGTAGTTCTCCAAGTTTCCGCCCCATACAGTAGAATTGTCTTCACATTTGTATTGATAATCCTGATTTTAGTGTTCGCTGATAGTTGTTTTGAGTTCCAGATGTCGTTCAGTTGTAGAAATGCAGCCCTTGCTTTGACGATCCGCACCTTTACATCTGTATCAAATCCATCTTGATTGTCAATGATGCCGCCCAGATATGTAAATGTTTTAAGTTGCTGCTACACTGGTCGTCTTTTCTTGCATTTGTTGTTGCATGTGGGATAGGGGAACCATATCATTGCAGATCGACCAGCCGCTGTTCACTGTATACAGTGCTTCCCTCCAGATGTTGATATCTTCATAATCCAGTCGATCACTAGGAGAAAGAGAAAGGGTTAGAGTAAGCAACCTTGCCTGACACCGGTGTTCACCTCGATCGAGTCTGTCAGCTGACCTTCGTGCACGATTCTGCAGTTGAATCCATCGTCAAAATTCCGTATGATGCTGACTATCTTCTCAAACACGCCGTAATGTCGAAGAAGCCTCCATAGTGTTGTCCTGTTCACGCTATCGAATACTTTCTCGTATTCAATGAAGTTGATGTAGAATGGTGAGTACCATTCAATTGAGTGTTCCACAATGATGTGTAATGTTGCGATTTGGTCGGTACGCGATCGATCCCTACGAAATTCAGCCTGTCGATCTCGAAGTTGGGCGTCTACAAAGTCCTCCATTCTGTTGAAGAATTTGACTGGTATTGAAAGAAGAGTGATGCCTCTGTAGTTTTCACACTTGCTGTGATCGTCTTTCTTTAGTATCTTGATGAAGTGTATTTCCTTGCAGCCTTCTGGTTCTTGTTCCTGATTCCAAATCTTGTTGAAGAGAATGTGGAATATTTTTGCAGTTGTTGTTTGGTCTACCTTTAGTGCCTCAGCTGGAATGTTGTCTGGTTTTGCTGCTTTGCCGCTCTTGATTTGTCTGACGGCCATACCGATCTCTTCAATTGTTGGTGGGCCAACATCGATTGAGAGGTCCGTGGATTCTGCTTCGATGTTGTGAGGGTTCAGTGGGACTGGTCGATTCACGAGTTCTTTGAAGTACTCTACCCACCTATTTCGCCGTTCTTTAATGTTGCTGATTACTTTGCTTTCCGCGCTTTTTACTGGTTGTTCTGGTTTACGATAGTTTCCAGCGAGCTTCTTTGTTGTATCGCACAATCATCTCAAGTTTCCTTCTCTTTCACTCTTTTCCAACATCATATATTCCACATGTTTACGTTTGGTGGATCTAATGCTCCCCTTCAATTGCTTTTTTTCTTCTGTGTATTCAGATAGTGCCTTGACTTTCTCTACTCTTGTTCGGCTGATGTTGATTGCTGCCTTCTTGTCCCCCCTTTCTTGAATTTTATCAAGAGTACCAACAAAGATCCATTCTTTGTGACGGTTCGTCTTGTGGCCCTGAACCTCATCACATGTTGTAGTGATTGCCTACTTGATCCTTTTCAAATTGTTCCCCATGGTTGTTTCCTCCCCATTGAGTAGATTGTGCAAGGCCTAGAACCTATTACTGAGGGCTATCTTAAATTCGTTCAGCTTTCCAGTGTCCCAAAGAAAGGCCGTATTAACCTTTAGTGCTGTTGTCCGCCCCGTTGTCCAGTGCTTCTTTAGTTTCCATTTTTAATTGTTGTATGTACTAAGTGATGATCTGGAGCCATATTAGTTCCTCTCTTCGTTCTCACTTCCTTCATGGTCCTTCTGCATTTTTTATTGATACAGACGTGGTCAATTTGTTTCTGAGTGGTGCGATCCGGTGAAATCCATGTAGATTTGTGTATGCGTTTGTGTGTGGATATTGTGCAGCCGATGACCAGTTTGTTAAGGGCAGATAAGTTTGCAAATCTCTCACCATTTTCGTTCCTTTCTCCCAATCCATATCGTCCCATGGTGTCTTCATATCCAATGTTTTAATCTCTAGTAGGCGCATAGCACAGGATAAAATTAATTGCTTTCCCCTCTTTCATTGTTTTGAAGGAGGCTTTGATGGTGCTGGGTCAGTGAAATTCACATCCGATCAGTGCTTTCTGTGCTTGCTTGGGCAGCATCAGTGCAACTCGCTGTGTATGTGGGGAATTTCCTTCTTCATGGCCGGAGTATAACATGAGAAGGATAATCGGCCTGGTGACTTCTGCAAAAAACTTGGCTTTCATCATGAGACGTCATAACTCTTCTGAATGAAGATGTTCGAGCTGCCAGAGCAGAGTTAAAATTATTTGAATTATGTTTTCTGGTTAGCGTTTTTTAGCGAGTTAGTTTTTTTATGGATTGGTACCTCCAACTCTAAGCCTAACCCTCCTTTATCTGGGGTTTGGACCGGCGGAAGCTCCAGAGGGACTCCAGGCGCATTTAATCATATTATACTACAGTATTTCTAAAGAACACTACTATTAATCTATTTCTGTAGATCAATAATCTTCCCTACTATTTATTCAACTACTTGATGATCAGCTCATACCACAACCGTTATAATGCAGTGTATTAACCCTTCAATGGATTATTTAACCAGTTCATTCAGTTAACCTTTTTCAAAATGTTCAACAATACAGAAGACTTTACAAGAAATAAAAAGCATAATAATTGTAACCTTCCGTTTCGGTCATTGACGAGTAGTATAGTTTGTATTTATTCGCTTAATTACATCAACTTGGTACCAGTTCAAAATTAATCAATTACTGTATGATACATCGATTGTCTATTTTCATTTCAACCTCCAAATCTTATTGCTCTTTACTTATTTATTTCATTTTTTTCACTTTTACCCTTCTTCCTGTTCATATTTACATATTTCTATTTTTATCGAGTTTTGTCTATTTCGAAGTCTGTCAGTTTTTAATCAGTGGATTTTTGTTTCATGATTTATAGGTTGTGTAACTTAATGCTTGCATTCGTTGAATACATTTAATGTTTATCTCATTTATATTATTGCTTAGAAATCAAACATTTAATAACAGCTTCACACAATATTTTTGTTTTCTTTCAGCGTATATTACTGAATCAAAAATAATCGCAAATTGTGAAAACGAACATAATAAATTATTAAAAAGTCAGCTAATATATAAGGTTTATTTATTTTGTTACATTTTCTAGTAGTTTTCACTATTTTTTTTTCTGAATTAATTTTTAATTAAGTAACTACCCTATTACACAGTAAATATTTGTTGTTGTGTATTACCTTATGGATTCAAAGTATGATCTTTAGAAATAAAGGACATATATAAGTTTCAGAGATTCGATTATTAGTATCTTCAAAGCATCTCTACTATGCGCTGAAATTACTAAGTAATCAATTCTGAAGTTAGACTAATAACTGTTTTTAAAAGTAACAGTATTTTAATCACCAACTGTTTTTTGGACTTCACTAGTTGAACGGTTAGTTATGGTCAACATAGATCCTGACAGAAATGTGTATTGTCGAATTTAGCACACCTCATCGGCACGGTTATATCGAATTATCAAGATAGATAATAAAGGGATTGGAATAATATAGTAAAAATGATAATGCGAAAGATTTAATATTGGGAAAACGGTCCGAAAAGAAAGAACAAAGAAGGATGTTTGAAAGAATACTCAGATTGAAAATAGAAAAATTAATGAGTGTATGCGTTTGTGTCTTTACGAACGATCCTCACTCTCATTTGAGATATCCGTTTGCTAACCAAAGGTCGAGTGTACTGTACAGCAGTTCGCTCCGTTCTCCTTTATGGATGCGAAACATGACCGGTGAGAGTAGAGGACTTCCGTAGGTTATTAGTATTCGATTATAGATGTCTTCGAAGAATTGATCGTGTATCCTGAGATAGTCGAATAAGCAATGCTATAGTTAGGAAACGAGTACTAGGTAGTGATGGCAAATCAATAGATGAAGTTGAGGTGGTTGGGATATGTGTTGCGTATGCCCAACCACTGACTGCCTCGACGAGCTATGTTTTGTGGTGTAGGATCAGGTTGGAGAAAGCTAGGGGCGGCTCTAGCAAAACATGCCACAAATCCATGAAGTCACTGACAAGTGGTCTGAGTCATGTTGGCGGATGTAGGCTACCTGGTTGGGGTCCGCGAGACGAAAGTAACCGATGGTTAGAGACCTTGAACGACATGGCTCAAAATCGTTTGCAATGGCGCAGGTGCATCCACTCTATATGATCTCTAAGATTCTAACCTGAATTCCTCATCTTCTCTATCTTTCTCTTTCTAAATTTATTTGACTGAATTACACCTCTTGGATAATTGTTTCGAACCCTAATCTTCTGCATTACCGCTAATACTCTAGTATTCCTAGCATTATAGGATTTGAACTGACGATTGCGTCTCTGTGCTGGTGTGGTATGGCAACCTGAACTTATGTACGTACGTACTTACGAAGTTCTATGTTATAACTGACTGACTGACTGATTCTAACTGACCTAATCCAAATTATCAAGCCACTGATAACAGTTATCATACTAACGTCAATCAAGTAGTCTCCATCTACCAACACGCCTCAGGCCAACCGTCATATGCTTCATGGGCTGATGCTACGTTTTTATTTGGCCGCTACTAGCTTTCTTCCAGACTAATTCTACGGCAGCTAACATCACATACGCAGCACATTCCCGAACTTTTTTAGATGATAGAAATCAACAACCTCATCAACCGATATGTCATCTTTACCTGATACTTTATGATTGACCTCAACGTCATTCAGTCAGTTGTCCAAAGTTATATAGACACAGGTACAAAAATGCTTTCAGTAAGCATGGCCGCTCATTCTGTATTCTTATAACATTTTTATTGAGCTTGTATTTTTGATAATTACATGAAATACTCTTTCTAACATCCTGTTTATCAATTATAGCTTCTTATAACAGTCATTTAGCTTAAACCAATAATCATGATGTTCTTTTAAAATGCTAATAAGAATCCAAATGTGGTTATGTATAGATAAAAAACTGTCTGTTTTTTCTAAAGAGGACTTGATACTTTTATTAGAATAATCCAGATCCTACTATTTTCTAATTAATTTCTAACAGTTTTAAATTACTGTTGTATTTATATTAGGTATAATAGTCATTTTGTTCAAAATATACCCGAATAAAACAAATCGTGATTATGTTCGAGCATATCATTACCTTATTCAAATTATATATGTCCTTGTGAAAAGAATTGGTTTTATGAAACATGCCTTAATTCCGTATAGTCTCATCGTGTTGCGTAACTTGGTTCACACGTGTCGCAATACAGTCACAAATGCGATCGGAATGCTAAAGGAATGTGCTCTAATTTTAGAACGAATAATTTTCCCCATATATATTATCGACCTTCAAAGAAATTGTCTTGCATCACAACCTTTCTTTTTTCCAAATAGACTTTTAAATTTTTCTTTTATCCTCCATTTTCTAGATATTTCTTTCTTATCGACTGAAATTTTAGAAAAAGATGCAGCATATCGACATTTGGAAATGAAACATAAACATCTCAAAAATGTAACACATCAATTACGTTCAGGTGATAATACTTTTTTCTATCATGATTTCTATTTTATTTGTTTTTATTGCTAAGAGAAAGAAAGTTTGATTTGTCCCTTTTTGTGTAAACTGAATCTGTTATTTTCTTCTAATGATAAATGTTAGCTAGAGAATAGCAATCAATTAGTTACTTCACTTTTCTTCTTATCATATTCCATGGGTTAGTTTGGGCATTTATTTATTCTAAAACCAGTGATCTTTTAAAAATTAACTGCTAAAAACCACGGAGCTAGGCAATAATAAACTATAAAAATCAAATATAACTAACAGTCAGTTTAGCTCTTGCTTAATTAGTCATCGCAGGTGTAAATGGATGAATCAAAATAAGTATCTCAGTAATCCATAATTCTACTAAGAATGAAGCAACTAGACGGAAGTTAATTATGAAACACTACTTTAGTTCCTTCAATATTATCTGAACCGCAACGTATGGTCTACTTGTCAACCCTAATACTGTCATGCATGTCTTAAAAATATACAGCATAAATAGTTAACAAACCACGTTTCATTGTTCTGGTTAACCGGATCGAAGTAATCTAAACATTGAACAACTCTCTCACTTGTTTAAGGTCAATCTTATCAGTTATATAGACAAACCGATTTATTTCAGAGTGCTAAGTTGTTTAAATCACTTTAGATGTACTTAACTACGTAGATGACCTGGTATTAGAAACAATCAAACCTAATGTATTTATATTTTCTGCCATTTGGTTTTAATGTGTAACTTCACTTTAAAATTTGTTCGATGATTACGTTTTTAATGAAGATTATTAAATTGTACAATGCACTTTCGGTGTATAACTTTTAGAACTTCATTTTCTAATTTATCTATGTACTACTACTACTACCACTACTGTGCTCTCTACCTAATGACCTGTGAAGTATGTTCGAATTGATTTTATGGGAAACAAGAGAAACAAAAAATTGTTTGGAAAGCATTTAACCCCTTTCTGAATTGATTCATCAATGCTAATTGTCCTAACATGAACCAGTTATCATGACAAGATCATACTGATACTGAGTGTACAAGCTAGATTGTCATAAGTCTACCATTCTAACACCTGGTAACGTAATAAAGTTAATTATATTTTGGAAAACTTAAACGTTTACAATCCGTTCCATTCTAACACCTGGTAACGTAATAAAGTTAATTATATTTTGGAAAACTTAAACGTTTACAATCCGTTCCATGCAACTATATACTTAATGGATTATTCGTCAGACTAGTATTTATTTCTTCCAAAGTTGCACAAAAGGAGAAGAAATAATATATGGACGAAAAAGTATTTAATAAAATTTACCCACCGTTATAAGATGTAGATGAAAAAACAATCACACACAAACTCATTAATATGAATTCTGTTCATATCTGTTAATACTGCTGTGCTTGAAAGCAGTTTCCAAGGTGAGTACTTTTTACATTCATGTACAATTGCGTCATTAGTATTCAAGTAGATTATGCTTACACAGAGGTTCGAACTTGTATCGCTCAGTATTTCTTTCAGGAAGCTATACACTTCATTTATTTGCACACCATAACTTCATCTCCATTTCATTCTGTATATGTCTAACTTTGTATTATTTCCAAAGAAGTTTCACACAAATCACATATGCATGCTTTTTGTTTACTATTACAGATATATCTATACTAACAGCTGAATTACGTGACAAAGCACTAGCTTATAATGAATTAAAGTCAGATTACAAATATGTTAATAATAAAATGAAAGAGTTAACCAATGGTAGATTAACTTTGTTTTATTTCCCTTTGTATAATTCCATCGTTTTTGATACTTAACTATGCTATTGAATATAAACTAAAATTACGGAAAATTTGTTTTATTATTTTTCACATTGTACAACTTATTGAAAATGTTATAAAATAATAATTTTATGTGTACATATACGAATAGAGCATCGATTCAGTGAAATGAGTAGTCAACCTTTATTCCTTTGACATTAATATTTATCAAATATATTCCAATCGACAATCCCTTGCCAGTTTCAGCTGCATAAAATAACCCCATAAAATTATTTAGTCTGGGTTAAATTTTTAGGTATGTTCGTTAAAACGTAAACAAATAAACATATATCAACATCAATTATGGTTATCAGTATCATGAGTGTTTGAACAACAGTTGATACTAATTTGATCAAACGTTTAAATGTTCCTTTGGTTGATCAACTAAAGTTAGTTTTGAGTTTTAGTGTCATCTAACAACAAGGCTTAGTCGCTGAGTGCTAACAACTGCCTTGCCATCTTGAGTCACTTATCATTATTTTTATTTTCTAAAAGATAAATTCATTTTCATCAATTATGATGATGATGACAATCTAAGTATTATGTTGCTTGCATGTAATTGTAAATAGTGAAATGGTACAATATCTGAAATGCCTAGCTTAAACTTCATTTATTTGATCATTTGGTTGTATATTCGATCGATGATAAAACAGTACTTCCTCAAGCGTTAATCTTAAATTTTCGGTCCACCACGCACTGTTTATTTACGTATATTTTTACAATTTCTTGTTTAATCTGTTCGAAACTTTTTCTTCAAATCGCTTGAGTATTTTTACGTGTACTACTATGTATTAAAGCGAATATGTGATGCCTGATTTATCATTTGACATGTCTTATGAAGGCAATGGTTAGCACTGAGACCTAATTTTTACAAACCAGGTGATCTGGTTTACTTTTAAATCCTAATCCCTCACCAGAAATCTGTCAATGACAGTTCAAGCTATTAGAATATTTTTTTCAAGAGCAGATTCTTCTCACCTACCAAGATTGCTGAATATAAATTTTAATATCATTCTGTTTCCTACTACTTTCATCTTTTTGTATGCTGCAGTAAAGCACTAACTCCATAGTTAATACCTTTCACTTTCAGACACTAAATCTCAAGTTTTAGTTCCACTCTACCTACTTTAGTGTGTTCAAACAGATAGTATGTCTCAATCTCATATTCAGAGTGTGGCTTGAAGACAAGCAAACGAATTTATCACTGGTAGATATTTTATAAATTATGACAATATGAATCAATGCCATATTTTTGCCAAGTTCTACACTTACCTATTTTCGGTGCAAGTACTTCTTTTAGGAAAAGAGTAATATGACAAATCCCATTGTCAATTCATTTAATGTTTGCAGACAATCGCATTCCCTCTCCGTTCATTTTATAGTAGTTATTATTTAAGGAAACTTAAAATTATTATTCACTGGTTATTCTTTCTGTTTTCCTTTTTTTTATTCATTAAACTAATTTATCTTCCATTTTATTTTGCACAGAATTACGGAAATTGAAACTTGCACTCATGGATTTGAAACGTTCCTCACTATTCTTCCCTGGCATCAGATTAGTCAAAGATATCTTGTGTAAAATTCTAAGCGTCTGCCCTGATCTAGATGGAGTATAAACAAATAGAAAAATAAAAATGATCTATGTGTCTTTGAGATAGGATAACAGATAATATATTTCTCTTTCATTTGATATTTTCATCATGTTTCTTTATTTTGCGTTTATTTGGTATCTCATCATTTAAGATCTCTTCTGTCTTAAAGCTGCTAATGTTAACATTTATACCAAACAAGTATTTATAACTTATCTTCATTATGCACATCATTCTGAGAATTGTTTTAAAGTCATTATGTTACAGTTTAAACAATATCACTTAACCTATAATGAAAATAGTCCGAAATAAGTTCAAATACTAACTAAGTGAACTCTCAAGTTTGTCTGTTCTTTTTCACTAAACAAATAAATAATGCGCCATTATGCCTTTCTTGTTTCCAATACATACTTCAATTATTTGGCTCTGAAATAGTGTAGTCATTTTTATGAGATAGATCTTTATTCCGAAGAAGTATCAGAACTAATTCGAGAATTTTGAAACGATTGTTTGTTGGCTAATCATTATTTAGAAATTTAACGAGTACCTATCTTTTAATCTTAAACTGACAATAGAGAGCGAAGTAGTTGAGCACTCCATTTACCTAGAAAGTCTCGTCAGTCCTGATAATTTGGTGTCTAATGAAATCTCCACATGGGTCCGGAGATCCCGCCTAGCTCCTGACGACTTTTTTCGCTTGTGGTGTAGACGAGATACCTACCCATAATTCATTATACTATCCAGAGGTCTGCTCTGTATTACCCTCTGACCTTGAAATATGGTCTGTGAAAACAAGACATATGTACGCTGCAGGTTTTTGATTATAAGTGTCTTTGAAGCATCGACCGCATATCTTGCAAAATAAGGTTAAAGTACCAGGCAAAAATAGCAAAACATTTCAGGTTATCAATATTGATTGAGTTATTTAGGATTTGTTGTTTATGCCTAACTACAGCCTACTTCGATGAGCGATGTTAGCCACTGTAGAAGCTGGCTGTAAGCTAGGGACGCCCATATTAAAACGTGACATCAATACACACACTTATTTGTTATATCAACAAATATCGACGTGTTGGTAAATTCCAGGACTGATTTATAGATTATTATTGCATATATCCTTTAAAACAATAAGTCCCTTTCATAAATTTGGATAGTTTGAGGAGAAGACTAAGATCATCAGAACTATGTTATGTATTATCGCAATGCATCCCAAACAATCTGATCACAGATATACTTGTTAAAAAAATTTATAAAATCCCAGTCTGATCATTCAAAAACTAGATTATCACAGGTTTTTCGCTAGCTCATTATGTTGCCAGTTTATTATTTAGTCTCCCCTGTTCACAGACATTTTTTGGCTTGTTCATGCATAACTGTTATTTTTCTTATTTTATGGTGTAATGCGGTCTTGTATGCTTGTATATAAACTTCGTCTGTTTGATATATAAATAGAGGCTGGTTGCTGAATTATGAACTCAAGGACAGGGTAGAGAGAAGCTGGAGAATCATCAACCATTAGCGATTCAGCTGGTAACTTGATGTAAATAATACAGAGCGCACGTATAATTAATCAAATTGGAGTTACATTACTAGTGACTGTTAGTTTAAGCCATGTTGGTAAATGTAGACTAGCTATTAGGGGCCCACGCGATAGGTAGTTGGAAACGCTGGATGGAATAGTTCGGATTCTATCAAAGTGACTTAAATGCATTCACCCTTACCTTAGACCTTCAGTCTCAGTATTCCTTCATACAAAATGCTTTTGCATCTTCTTTTCGAACCCTATTCTGGATATTTTGTAGTTCTCTATAGTTCGTAGTTGATTGTGTTTGGTATTTATTCTTGAAATTTTTAACTGTGTTCCACATATGCGGCGATTCGGGTAGTGCGATGTTGACATTATTTTTCACACCATAAACATAAGTTAGATTTAGAAACTCAAGTTATATTAACATTTGTAATTTTAGTGGGCTTTTTTCATATTCGATCTTTAAGGCTATTGAGCGAGGGAAATCAACAGTCACTCATGAAATCTTAGAGATTGAATGCTCTGTGACTGATATTCATGAAATGACGTCCGATAAAGTTGTTGTGCTAGTGAAAAAACTTGACATTATTAGAAACTGAATGGTTCCCTCTGGCTCATCTATGATGATAAATGAAAGGTCTTTAGACATCAGCAGCAGATATATTACAAAGACAGACTGAAATCTTTTCATTTGAAGTAGTTAGTGTCGTGGAATATCACATTCGATTGTGAACACGAAGGAGGTTGCTGAAACAACCAACCGATTGCCGACAATGCAATTAGTTGGTATTCGTGTAGAATGCTTCCTGAGAATAAGTGGATTTTCTTCTCTAATATTTTCCTTTTATCTTTAGTGAGTATAAAATACTGGATAAACAAATTTATTAGTATACATCCTAGGTATAATCCTCGCATCAGTTATATTCGGAGCATATCGCTATACGACACAAAGTAATATAGTGAATGAATACATTTCCAACCGTCTTTCATACAAAAACAATTTATCCATGTGACCATAGATTCTCTAAAAAAATTATTTTATCGATAATTATAGAGGTAGTAATTAACTCCACCTAGGGCCCTTCTCGGGTTATTGCCAATCACAACACGAATAAAGGAGAAGGGTTAGGCATGGAGTAAGCTACCCCGTCCCGCAGAAAACAAACTCGCTAACCAGAAAAAATAATTCAAACCATTTTAACTCTGCCCTGGCAGCTCAAAGGTCTTCATTTAGTAGGGTTATGAAAACTCATGATGGAAGACGAGTTTCTTCGGAAGTCACCAGGCCAATGCCCCTTCTAACGACCAAACCAAACATTAATTTAGGTACACAGAATGTTTGTACAATATGCGAAGCCGGGAGAGTCATTCAAGTTGCTGCAGAAATGAAAGGATACAACCTGTTGGTACTTGGAATCAGCGAAACACATTCGACTCAGGCTGAACAAAAGGATAAGCTTCTGTATAGATACAGTTGTACTCCAACCATGAAGAAGAAAATGCTTCACACACAATGAGTTGCATCGATGTTATCCAAACAAGTACAAAAAGCATCCATAGGATGGGAATCTCACTGACCCAGGATCATCAAAGCCTCCTTCAAAAAAAAGAAACAGGCGATTACACTGAACTTCATTCAGTGCAATGAGCCTACCAACAATAGCAATGAGGATGTTAAACATCAATTCTATGAGAATCTGAAGTCAATCGTGGAGAAATGCCCAACAAAGAACTTGACCATTCTAATGACAGACCTAAAAGCTAGGTTGGAATGAACAACATCGGATATAAAGATACCATGGGACGACATGGACTTAGAGAAAGGAACGAGAACGGCGAGAGACCTGCAAACTTATGTACCTTCAGAAAACTGGTCATAGGCGGCACCACATTCCCACAAAAATGCATACACAAAGCTAAATGGGTTTTAACGGATCATAACCACGCAGAACCAAACCGATCACATCTGCATCCATAGAAAGTTAAAAGGAGCATGGAGGATTTAAAAACAAGGAGAGTATCTTATGTGGCTCCAGAGCATCACTTGGTAGAGACAACGATTAAAAACTGAGACTACAGAAGCACCGGACAAATGGGCATATAGCATTACAAATTTTAACACAGCCTTTCTTCGAGATACTTGCAAACTCAACGAATTCATGATAACTCTCAGAAATAAGTTGCAAGCTTCTCACGACTTACTCAACGGAGAGGAAACTAACGTGGAGAACAACTGGAAAGGGATTAAGAGAACGTTACTTTCCACATGTCATAAAGGTTTGGGTCACAAGGAATGGATCACTGTTTAAACCCTACATAAGACTTAGGAAAGAAAGACAGCAATCAATAACAGTCGAACCGTAGCAGAGAAAGTCAAGGCACAAGCCGAACACACTGGAGCAAACAAGCAATTAAAGACAGGCATTAAGATGGTGAAGAAAATTTGTAGCTCAGGTGGATGATTGTGTTGGTGTTTCGTTCTCTGAGCTGGAGGCAATTAGGCTGATAAATCTAAATATGTGGAGAATATAGCAATGATAGCAGAAAAAGCTGCGAGAGATGAAAACATGAGAAAATTATACAATTCAGCGAGGCTCACTCGAAAATGTATTGCGCCACAAAGATCAGTCAAGAATCAGGAAGGTTAAACAATCACCGACGTTCAGGAACAGTGAAACAGGTGGATAGTGCACTTTGAACAACTCTTGACTCGATCAACCCACTGAACCCATTCAACATCGAAGCAGCCCCCACAGACCTCTCAACTGATCTTGGCCCACCAACAGTTGAAGAAATCAGCATGGCCTTCAGACAAATCAAAAGTGACAAAGCAGAAGGTCCGGAAAACACTCCAGCTGAGGCATTGGAAGCAGACATTGCAGTAACTGCAAATATGCTCCATGCTCTCTTCAACAAGATTAAGGAAGAAGAACAAGTACCAACAGACTGATACTGCCTCAAGATACCAAAGAAGGGAGATGCTAACAAGTGCGAGAACTAAAGAGGCATCAGTCTACGCTCAATAACAGAAAAAGTCTTCAACAGAGTGTTGTTAAATAATGGGGGATTCCGTAAGAATCTATCATGTCTAGACTGAATCGCGACTCTGCGAATCGTTATGAAACAATCAATCGAATGGAGTCCATCACTTTACATCAATTTCCTTGGTCTCGAGAAAGCATTCGACGACGTGTGTTGGATAACGTCACGGACGCTTCTTCAGTAATATGGCGTGTCTGAGAAGATAGTCAACATCACACAGAATTCTTATGATGGATCGAATCGCAATACCGCGCATGGAGGGCAGCTCACAGACTCTTTCCGAGTGAAGACCGGTATCAGACAATGGTGCTTACTCTCATCCTTTCTCTGTCTTCTTGTGCTAGCTATAACTGGATTATGAAGATTTCCACATCTCATCTCAGGCGAAGCAAGAGATTATGAATATGTAGATATCGCACCTCACGGGAAGCATGTAATAAACTGGACACCCTGGATGCAGTCTGACGATCTGGACTTCACTGATGATTTAGCTCTTCTTTTCCAAACACCACAAAATATGCAGATGATGACGGCTAGTTTAGCAGCAGCCTCTGTAGCAGTAGTTCTCAACATACACTGGGCAAAAAGCAAGATTCTCCGATAAAGCGCAACATGCATCACTTGACAGAGAGGTTTTGGAAGGTATGGAAACGTCTACATATCTGAGAAGTATCATTGACAAACAAGATGGATCTGATGCAAATGTAAAGACACGGATTAGCAAGGGTAGGGCAGTATTTCTACAGTTGAATAACATCTGCAACTTAATGCAACTGTCGACCAACACCTAAGTCAAAAGTCTCAATACAGGTGTCAAAACAATTCTATTGCACGGAACGGGAACTTTGGAACCACGAAAGCCATCATCTTAGAGATGCAGGTGTTTAATAACAGTTGTCTACACAAAATATTTCGGATCTGCTGATCAGACACCATCAGCAGCAACATACTGTGGAAGAGAAGATACGAGATTCTGAGTGAGGAAATTAGAAGAAACTGCTGGAGCTGGCTGGATAGGAAAAAGTTTGAGGAAAGTATCAAACTACGCCGCAAAACAAGCTCTAACTTGGAATCCTCATGACCAAAGTAAAACAGATAGACTAAGGATCGCATCGCATAGAAAATTGAAAACAGATATGGAAAGAATGAATAGCTAATGTGTAGGAGTGGAAAGGAGAGCCTAGAATACAGTTGGTTGGCGAATCCTGGTCGGTGGTCGGGGTAACAGGCGTAAGTAAGTAATGGAGATAGTATCTGCGCCAACAAAAATATTCGTCTTATAAGTGTCGCTCGCAAAAAATGAAATTCCGATTGCCTAGATAAGACAAATAACAATAATAGGATATGTTCCGACTTGGCTAGTACGAATAATGTTTGTAAATTCGTGCTAAAAATAATTATTCAATCCTTTTCTTGACCTATATGAATTCACCTTATAAACTATGAACATGCAAGCATTTGAAAATCATGATATTACTAATGAATGCCAATTATCAGTAAAACCAAGCTACATTTTTACATCATTTTAAATTCAAGCGGTGTATGTTGCTCCTTGTTATTAAATCATCGCTGCCAGAGGATTACAATATATATCATAATAAATATATTTGTATATATGCTGTACATTTATTAATTGTTTACAATAATAAGAAGCAAAATGAATCTATAAACTTTTAAATTTTTTTTAAAATCACCTTGAACATTAAGCAACCGTTGAGTGACATAATCAGACCAATTTTTATGCAATTTCTCAATAAATTGAACATGATGGAAAAAATAAAGATTAGGATGAAAAAACAATTCAAGTTTATAATGTAGGTATCGTATATTTACAGAAAACAAATTGAGTGCATATACTTAGAAAATATATGGACAATTGTTTCATTGAATTCCTCTTATATGTATCCTTCTACAAATTCGCAAGCTAAACGAAACTAGCTTGTACAGTAGGAAACGAAACAGCATAATGAGATAATTTATTGGTTTTAGTACAATTAACGTGAGCAGTAGTACTGTTACTTTCACTAAAACCACTGGTAACTTTGTTGTTTTTATCTTCCTTGTCCGAGGATGGATGCACTGTTATCATCATTGATGGTTTACTTGATTGATCTCCATTATTAAAATCTGAATCAAAGGGTACTGTTTTATTCTGAAGTTTTATACTGTTTAAACACTTATCAGTAGTATATCTTGTCGACTTAGATCTTTTCAATTGTGTACCATAATATTCCGGCATTATGTTGATACCATCTAACGTTGAACCAATTTTATTGTAGTAATTTGTTTCAGTCAATAATTGACTGCTTTCTTTACTATTTTGTTTCATCATCAAATCATTCATACTCTGATTCAAATATGGGTCGGATTTCCACACACTTAAATGTGATGTATGCTGTGGATAACAAACACTATTGCTATTTCCAATATATTGATCATTGTCTGGAATAAGCATTCTATGAACTGGAGGTTTCACATAATCATCTGATTTACCACTTTCCGTGAGAGTAACAGTCTGTAAGAACAAAACGGATAAAATAATCAATTCAGTATGACGATTTAGGTAAATACAAATTAAATTATATATGTAAGAGTTTGAACTTTCCGATTATTGACACTAAGCACTGCAATGGATCAGTCTCTTTGTGACACATACATGGTTAGTGGGTCTTATCGGTTTCGTCATCTAGCCCTAAATACTTTTTTACTAAAGTTAGATAGTAACTGGGTATGCAATCCAGGATTTGCATTTCGATACATTACGGATTCATAAGTTTGATATTACCTGTATTCCGTAGCTGATGTTCACACTAAGACTTTAACCCAATACTGATCACTTCAAACGCGAATGCACAATTTACTGAACTGTTGATTTCAGATAACCACTAAACTTTCAGATGATAAGGGTATATGATTTTACTTGTAATGATTTGAATCTTCCCTTTACTGATGCTGAGGATTACAACTGGTCATTCTTTTCGGTATGTGATGTGGAGAGGGAAATAAAAAAACAAACAAACAAAGCTAGTTTCGGGAACATTTTCGCATATGACTCAAGGCCTGTAAAATACTAATATTTGTTTTTGTTCCTATCTTATTTCGTTTGATGTATGATTGACGCACTACCATAATCTGTTTTATTCAAAAATCATTATAACTTAAACATAACCTTCCGTAATCGATTTTTCTATCCTATATGTCTAGTTTGAACACTATCGTACTTTTCGAATTCGTCGTGCTTTGTGATCCTTCTGAGTTTATATCCATTCATGTTTTTTTTTACGTTAATCATATCAGAGATAAACCAAGTAGTGTTCCAGACGATTCATCTTCTCTCTCTCTCTCTCTCTCTCGCTTACTAGCCTATCCGGTGGTAGAATAGTTTTCTTCCCTCTGCCCAAGACAGCTTAGTCACAATCAAACTTATGCACTGCAAGTCTCAAAGTTAACTAGATAGTCCTTCACGTCAAGGCCTGCTAACTAGATTGAGACAAAATTCTCTCTCATGTAATAGTGGACAGAAGGTTTAAGGTTGTAACATTATGAACATCGGGGCACAGGGATGCGGGTGCATTTAGTCGATTAGTTAAAAAATAGAGAGTCCTGCTGCTGACAACCTGGATTAAGTTCACTTGATCACATTTTTAATGATTAGTAAAATCTGTTCGATAGTAATAAAGAATATTTAACTAATTCATATGTAAGTGGATAAGACAAAGCTTCTCCCTATGCAATGAAATGATTATATATTTTAGATTAAAAATTCCTAATAACTTATTGATGTGAAGAAAGTCCTAAGAATCAAATGAATTCGATTCATGAAGGCAGCAAATAATAAACGGTCGTTTTGCTGTATATATATATATATATATATATATATATATATATATATATATACCACTTTTAAATCTACAGAAATGTTATTTACTGCTTAAATTGATAGTACAGCTTTCAGTGATCAGTATTGTCTATTTTTATAGTATGAAGTTATTGGTTGTTTATCATTAAATGCCATTATTCCATAATTCAGATTGAACTAAATCGCCTGTTATTAATATATAATGAATCTATTTGAACAATAATTCAAATCAGTAACTTGTGATTAAAGCATTAACAATAATCAATGTGTTAAGGATAATTCCTGATCACTTCATGAATAGTTCGAAACTAACTGGCCTATTCTGCAAAAACAAATAGTTTTATTATTTACCAAAAAAATTGAGAATATTTTTGACGAGATGAAATCAATTAAAAATATTTAATTAGTTAACGATGGATGCTTCACAGAATTTCAATAATTGTCCAGCTGATTTTAGTCTGTAATTTGGACTAGTTTCAAAATTACTTACATACTTAGTGTGTTATGCATTATTCATAGATATTTATTGACGATTTTTGATAGTGACATTCACAACACGATAATTCAAAAAAATCATGGTAAGTCAGGAAGTGAATTCTGCAAGCCTATTATTATATTGGCTAATTCTATGTCGATACAAATCTCCAATCTATTCATTGTTTTCATTTTATTTTAAATATTATGAAAAACTATTCAATCTAACAGTACCTGATATGAATTGACTGCATCTTTAATCGGCCGAAATTCAAATTCAGAAACATCCCAAGTATTAATCGGAACAAAATGTGCATTTGATTTCTCATTAAATTGATTTATGTAACCTAAACGTCCATTAGAAACATGTCGTTGTTGTTGTTCACCAATATTGTAGGTGTGTAACAATCCGTTACCTAGTTTTATCAATAAAATAAGTTGTATAGAGAAAACGAAGTAAGAAAATATTTTCATTTATCATTATTAAATGTCTGCCCAATATATATATATATATATATATATATATATATATATATTTGTATATTTCTTATTGTCTTTGTCATGTTACTTACTACTAGTAAGTAATATGTTTTAGAAACCTCGCTTTTCACAAACATCTTGTCTGAATGTATTCCCTTTTTCGCTGTAATTCTCTTTGTTATTGTTCAATAATTTTGTGTATGACAACCCACAAACTGCTGTATAGTAGGTTAAATTAAATATTATTTAAAATTAATAAAGACGGTTCAGTAAAAAGAATTTCTTTTTCGACGATTTCATTTACATTAAACATTACCCTGCATAACTATCTAAAGCACTAGAAAAGTCAATCAAAATCTCAATTCTGGAACATCCGGTTAACTATGGTCACTTTCCGTCATCGGAAGTCTTCAAAATAATTCATACAGTTGCTAGAATCAGCTCAGGAGGAATACAAATATACAACTTACACTCAGCAGAGGCTTTAGCTATCCTTAAATTCAAGCTTAACCTTTGCTTAAAGAAAACAGTAAGTTTAATCCTTCATTCTAACATGGTTTTAACCTTCATCTATGTCATATATAATCCTTTTTTTCTAATCCTTTCCAACCACTTCTTAGGGCTATTCATTACCCATTATTACAATATTTAATTATTCTGCTCTTATTATCTATTAAGTAGATAATTACCTTAACCTTAACATTTTTCATGACATAAATTCCTTTTGAATATCTGATTTTCTTAAACAATTCATGACACAATACTACATCACAATTTCACATTATTCAGCACCATTAGGTTGTGCTATAGACTATTATTTTCAGTAAATGAAATTTATTCCGCTGAAATGTCTTGCTTCTTCAATGACTTAGTGGGTCTCACCCGTTAATTATTATTTCCTTCAAACGCTACAAATGAATCTAAAATTAAAATTATTTTGAACAGACAATAGACTATCTCATAAAACATTATCCCTGTGAACTTGAGAGTAAACAAAAAACGTTGTCATTAAAAGAAATCAGTAATAGTTAGTCTTGAGTTCAATAATCTTAACAGTCTTCATTCAATGACATTTACGATTGTCTTGACAAAATAATTTCTTACCTGGTTTAAAGCCATGATACGAATTGTTTTTACTTTGATTAGAGAATTCGACTCCTAATGAATTTGGTACAAACTGATAATAACTACCGTGCTAAATGATTTAAGAAGAGAAAATATGGGGAGATTTTTTATTCTATAATTTATTGCAGACAAGTTAATTCCGAAAATATATGTAGCTTAGTAAAAATAAAGTTTATGACTGTTAATAAATTATAACTGTATACGATTGTCTATGAGTCAAGTGATTGCTAAGATAGTGAATGCCCAACGATTTGGATGGTTTGAACATCTATTACATACGCCTAATCACTGCCTTACTTGAAGAATGATGTTTACTGGTGTAAATTAGAAGAAAGTCAGAGGCGGCCACCACTACACGTAGCACCTGTAGATGAAGTTATTGACTGTTGAGCTGAGTTGTGTTGGTAAACACAGATTACGAAGTTGGGGTATGCTCAATCCTCGTAACTAATTGTTGGAAACACTAGGTGAAATGGCTTAGAATGAGCCACAATGGCGTAAATGCATTCTCACTCTCTTCTGTCAGATCTAGAGCTTAACAATGATCTTTTCTACCTTCATAAATTCATCCTTTCTTGTAGAACCACATCTTTCATGCTTAAACGTTTCTACAGCTACCATTAATACTGGTAATACTCCTACTACTCCGAGTTTTATTTTGGGAAATTCATTTTGCTGAGCCGATGTGGAGTGACAAATTGAAGTGATTCATATATGCATCACGTCTTACTTTCTGTATTACTGACTAGTTAATGAAGAACGTGTTCATTTTTGGTTATTCTTCATCCCTCTTAAATCAAAGAGTACTATAAATTCGTTTTATTTAATATTCAATCTGCTCAAAAATACATATTCATGACACAATGCAGGAATAAACCCATGATTCTCAAATATTATGGCGAGCACAGTTACGTTTATATTATCTTTCCCCATAACTCTTTAAAATACTAATGATAAGAATAATTTTCATAAGTGATCATGAGTGAAACTGAATCAGAAATTGAATAACTCTAAAATTCGTCATAAGTTTCACCTTATTAGAACGATACGAGCACATTCTTCAGGATGATAAGATTAAGCGATAAGTTACAAATGCTTTAGAATCCTATTAGACATATTTTACCGACAAGTTGCGTTTAAAAAATTATTCAGGTAACACATTTGATTCTCATCCAAAGAAAGACTATCAACTTCAGCCATGTGAGGAAAAAAACGTAAATTAGACATCAGTGGAAATTAGTCTTATAAATTTATATTTCATATTGATAATAAACTTACTATCGTATCAGTAGTTTCATTGACAATATCAGGTATATTCACAGTCAATGGATTTCTCGGCCCACATCTTCGAGTATTACTGATCACGGACGAAGCGTGTTTACGACTAAAATCATTGGAACCATAATTTGAGAGAGACGGTGAAAAGAAATTTCCAAAACTACCAGCATTATCGGTAACGAGAAAATTTGACATATCAGAATCCATAGAGAATTCTTGATTGTCAATATTTCTACAATGTTGACGGTTAGTGATCAGACAGTGTTGTTGTTGCTGTTGTTGTTGTTGTGAAATGGGTAAATGTACAACAGAATGTATTGGACTGACTGGTGTTAATGAGCCCAACTTGAAATTTGTTTGTCTATATTTTAACAAATCTGTACACATTCCATAATCAACATGATCCATATTTTCCAATTGCTTCAATGTTGTTGTTGCATTTGTCAGCGTTATTGGTGTTTTATTATTACAATTAGCAGTCATGGTAGTTGTAATATTACTAGTGGTAGTAGTTATCACCGCATGATCAAGTAAATTTTTCGAATAGGGCTTTTCACTATTATTCGATGACAATTTTGATTGATTACGTCTAGGCAACAGACATGTACTACAACATAAACACTTATTATCATATACATCTGGGATAAAATGCATAAAATTATATTTATGACGTAAATAAATACACAATCCAATCATTATCAGAATGAAAAATAAAATGATTGTAATAACAATGAAAAGAAGAACATTTGAATCAAGATTTTTAAATAAAGATGATGTCGATAAATCATTGCCACTAGTGTATAATTCATGTCGATTTCTATCAAATAAACCAAAATTATTTTTAATAGTATGACTACTACTATGTTTTTGATTAGATGATGATAAAAAATCATTAAATTGATAATTTCTACTAGTTTTTATATCTGATGACCATTGCGGTTCGGAATGATCAATCAGCAAACGTAATAATAATTGTGTTTCCAATGATGGTTCACCTTCATCTCGTACTATTATATGCACTTGATATTCACCCAAATCATCTTTTGTTAATGTTCGACGTGTTTTCAACATACCATTATCTCGATCAATTGTAAATAAATCACTGCTTTTCAAATCTTGAATCATTTCGAAATGAAATTTTCCATTAAACTTATCAGCATCACGATCATTTGCATTAATACTGATAATTTCATGACCAGCATTTACACGATATGATAAACGATGTATAGTAGAGTTTGATGTAATTGGATTAGGAAATATAATCTCTGGTCTATTATCATTTACATCAATCACATTGACAATAACTGATAATGAAACAGTATGACCGGGATAACGATGATTATTAACTATTTGAGCAATTGGATAATTACTTTTTAAATCATGATGCATACGAACAGGTTCATTGTCTGAAGCAATAATATTAAACTGGAAAGCTTCTTCTGTTTCACGATCTAATGGACGTGTTGTATTCAAAAAGTATCTTCCATTACCAATTTCATGTAATATAAAAGGTAGATCTCTTCTTCCATGTCCTGGATCAATACGCACTTGTAATCCTTTATGGTGCTGTTGTTGTTGTTTTTGTAGAGTTGAAGAAGAACTTGATGGTGATTTTGTTCCCATGAAGTGATAAAATTGTCCAAAATAATCATCAGTTTGTTTATCAAGTAGACCAGAATGATAAATATCACCGAGTTGTGTGAATGAAAAAATATCAGGATCAATCACTGAAACCTCACCTATTTTAGTACCAGCAGGCTGATTTTCTTCAATGTTAAATGTAGGTCCAGTGCTTATAATTCTTGGAGGATTATCATTTTCATCTAGAATAATTACTTGAAGTAAAACAAATGAATGTAATTGATACGGAACACCATGATCTGTAGCTTCAACTAAAATAAATACTTCATTCAATATTATTCCATTTTCTTCACGATCAATCAATTGTCGAGTTGTTAAATCTCCATTAGTTGTATTTATTTGAAATAAATCAAATGCTTCTTGTTTAGTTTGTATTTCAATGACATCATTATCATTTATATTATGATTATGATTATTATTATTATTATTATCAGTCTGTTGACTCAGTAGAATTTTTTGAAGTTGTGGAGAATAGTTTAATTTTGAAGATAAATTATTAAATGAATATGATTGAAGCATTTCAAATGTAACACGACCATTTTCACCGAAATCATTATCAATAGCATTTAAACGAGCAACTAAAGTAGATGATGGTCTATTTTCAGCTACATATACAGTATATACAGAAATATTAGCTAAGAATGCTAAAAATATGGGAGAATTATATACTTTATGCTTGTCTTGTTCACTATCCAAAAAATGAGTTAACTTCTTCATAGACCATGGTTGTATTGGAATGTAGTGTTGTTGTTGTTGTTGCTGTTGCTGTAATTTATCTGTATTGTGAATTTTGATTGCTGATAAACTTATCGTAGATACATGAATTTCTGGAATACAGTCATTTTGATCATCAATTTTTACCTTTAAAAACAAAATTAACTAGTAAATTTAACAGGAATAACACTGCTATGAATTAAAAGCGAATAAAATTAATTAGACTTGTGTTTCCAAAAATTATTCCAATAACAATAATACTAATCTGTGCTGTCTATTACGGAAAAATGAAAACTTTGCATTCGAATTCTTCAAGCAAAAAAAAATCAATAGACAAAGTGCAGTCAGAATGATGTAATTTATTTCTAAATAATTTAAATAAATCAATAACTTACCAAAACTGTTGCAGTGGATGTTTTCGGTGGTATATCTGAATCTGTACAACTAATAACAATTTTATTCTCATTGTTTAATTCACGATCTAACGATTTAATTGTTTGCAAAGCATATCTTACTTCATTTATTTTATTCAATTTATAATTATCTGATTCAAATAAACTATAAAATTCATTATGTGTTTCTAGTTTACATGAAATGAATACAATGTTAGATGATGAAACACTATTGACTCTATTCAATGACATAGAAGATGATGAAGAAAAAGAAGACGAAGAAGAAGAATGTAAATGATAATTGTTATCATCATTATGATCAGGATCTGTGACTATAATAAAAGCAATAAAATATAAATTCATGGAATTTTCTGTAACATGTTTATATTGTTCATTTTTTTCATTGGAATAATCAATTTGAATCAATGGAGGTTCATCATATTCATTGTCAACCTAAAAGAAAAATTATTATATATGAAATTTATATTAAAAGATTATGTACAGGGGGGGGGGAATAAGTAAATCTATTAGAAAAAAATAAAACAAATTAACATGAATGAGTTAACTTACAAAGCCAACTTTATCAAAATTACTACTACACTAATGAATAATAATCTGAATGATGGAAAAAAGAACTTTGAAGTTTTGTAATAGACAATTTATTGTTAGAACTAGGAAATGTTAATATTTTCAGATTTAGTTACATATTACTTATAGACTGTGACAATGTATTCTGCTTATGATTCAAATAAATTAGATGAAATACGTTTTCAAATTATTTCATAAAAATTTAATTAACTGAGATATTTTTTAAATTACCTCTTATATCGTGACTTAAAATGAAAACGGAGTGTATATTAGCGTATGCTTTACAAAAATATGTTTAACTTATTTTTAACTTATTCTTATATTAAAAAAAAACGAAACCTTACTAAATAGAAAATCTCTTGTCACTTCGAAAAACATTTCTACATAATCAGCACATTTTATCCTCGCAAGATTCTAATGTGATTATCGTCAACAAGCTCATTTCCATAGTTATTCATCTGATTTCACCGTATTATATATATATATATATATATATATATATATATATATATATATCTGTAAAATTATATGATAACACTAGCCACTTAAAAAAATGTTAGGTCAGTCGGTCAGCTACAACGTAGAACTTCGTACGTATGCACATCACTGCAAGCTGCCATACCAAATCGGCACAGAGATGTAATTGTCGATTCAAATCCCATAGTCGTAGACATAGCAGAAGCATGAGCAGTAATCAGAAAGAATCAGGTTTGAAGTTATCATTCAAACAGTATATCCCGGTGAAATAAATTTGAGAAGAGAAAGATGAAGGTGATGAGGAATTCAGATGAGAATTTGTAGGTCAGTGTTGCATTTTCAAATGAAGCTATCACCTGTTCAGTACTGTAGACTGTATTCAATAAGTAGATAAAACTAATGAATGCCGTTGTAGAAATGAGGCCACGAAAAAAGGGGTTTTTAAACGTTTTAATATGTAAAAAGAATACCAGCATTGACTTCTGACCACTGTTATGAAGCAAAGTAAGCGCTTTTATGATATAATGTGTATATATTTTGAGTAATGGTTTATACATAGTATCTTATATAAATCACAGCAGTATTGAAACTTCTTTGAATGAAATTATAGGTGAAAACAACTTATTCACTGGAGTACATGACATGAGCAACTTTCATCTATATAAATGATACAATACTACAATGTTGAAAGTTGCTTGAATTAATATCACACAAGTTAAATAGCCTCTCCAGTCTTAACTTTCACAGTTAGTCGAAAATACTTTGCATTTCCAAGAGTATTTATTAGAAGTAACTAGTTGTTACAGTAGCAAAAAAATGTATGTCAACTAATACTGTGTTTCAGTTAAGCTGGCGGATTGAAAAAAATCTCATTATTTTTGTTCAAAGCTTTCAGAAATCGTACTGCACAATACTTATGCTATTTTTTAAAGAAGCAACTGATGAATTTCTCGTGTTTCCATCGAAATATAAACTTACTAAATTCCTATAAATTTTCAAAATATGAGTAAGAAAAACCTACAACTCTTACACAATACACCGCTATGCCTACGTAGTTATTCATAAAAGAATAAAACTGTTCGATACGAATGAGTTCGTCGATCAGTCAAATAGATTGGTACGAACATGTATCGGTAAAACTTGTCACATCACATCATTTCATTGAAAGGAAGAAAGCGGAAATTAACAAGATGAAAGGTAAAGGAAGAGAAAGGATAGCAGCTATAATAAAAAAAGTAAACAAGAGAAACCTACATTTTGCGAGAAACAAACACTTATTCAAGGTCTCCAAATATCTATATAGTGATTACCGCACAATCTCCAGCTAGGTATTCTACATCTTTCAACATGAAATAGACAAGTAGTTGTAATGTAGTTACTCATATCCTGACGTTAAACTAATAACTAGTCTGACCTGCACTTAGCATAACTTCATAGAACCATAACTAAACTACCAAAACATTCAACAATTAACAATTTTGATCCTTATCGTATTTAACTATTCAAAGTCTGACAATAATCTTTTAACGAGTTTTTTTTCTACCCTTCTTTATTCGGGCTTAGATGTGGTAGTAATTCTAGAAGGTATCAAGGCAACCATCTACTGTGGGAGGGAGCAAACCAGCTCCAAGTTGGGAAAGAAATTAGGAAAAGGCACTGTAGGTTGATAGAATGCACATTGCAGAAAGCACCCAACTGCATCATGAGACAAGCTCTAACTTAGCATCCTCATTGCCAAAAGAGGAAGACTAAAGAATCGAAGGAAGACATCATAAGAACGAATAGCACCTGATCACAATTGGAAAGGAGAAAGCCCAGGACAGAGTCGGTTGGAGATCGCTAGTCAACAGCTTATACTCCCACGAGGGTTAAAAGGAGTAAGTAGATAAGTAACTAGCTACCTATTCAATGAACTTGCTAATGTCGTTTCACAATCATATACTCTCTTTAACTTTTTTTTACCAGCTGCGATTTTTTCTCAAATAGTGAAGTATAAATAATAATTATAATATTCTACAGTGTATTCAAAAACAATAAAATTGTTTATGGGGCTAAAACCGACTACATTCGGAAAGCAGTTAGTAGTGTAATCCAGGATGCAAATCTCTTCCTGTTTGGGAAACTATTCAATCTACATGTGCTTGGATTTAGGTGTCGATGTTCATCAATTGCAATCCTTGACATCAACAACAACAAAAATACAAACCTGTAGAAATAAATATATACTTGTTGCACAAGCTAGCGGCTATCTTGATTCAGTAGCTCAGTGGATGATGAGTTTTTATTTGAAGTGAAATGTATTGGATTCAAGTCTCAGTATGATGATCAACTCTAAAATGTTGGTACACCAGGTTAATGAATTCTAAATATGACGAAATGAGCATATCCTATATTGTATTTGAAATTAAATGGTGATATTGAGGTATGTAAATATTAACAAATAAGTTTTATGTAGTTAATTGCAAATAGTTTATTAAAAAACCATATAATCTTAGTTTACTTAAAAATCCAACAATGAATTGCATGAAATCGTACATTGAATTTCACTAAAAAAAGTAATTCACAAGTCAACACTGGATGAATGATGAATGCATTTATGTTGAAAAATCAAAAGAATATCCACACTACAGACGTGAAACAGAAAATATACACTTAAATTAATACCACTGTGTTAGCTGGACAAAGAGTGGATTAAAGCATGTTCCATACACGATTGCGTTGTTGCACGCTGATTAGCTCTTTCGTATCCAATCAGAGCTCGTCGATACTGGGGGGAAAAGTTTGGAATCTTCTCATTTAAGAAACTATAAATATACTAACGTTTCGGACTTCGCTGACTTCCATCTGATCTTGGTATTGGAATGTAATCTCTACCCTGTTCAACCGTGTTCTGATTTGGGAGAACGCCTCGAGTGAATTGGTGTCCGAGAATACTAAGCATTCGGAATAGCTGTGTTGTAAAAAGAGAGGATTACAACACTCTGTAACAAATATAAACTCCACCTGGAGCCCCTCTAAGGCCACCACCGGTCCCAAGCCCGTATAAAGGAGGAGTAACAATAAGAATACGATCAAAATCTAAATTAAATGAGTCAATATAGTAGAAGTTATGTAGTTGCCATTGTTTGATCAAAGACAACTGACACGATGGCGTGAAACTAAGTTTTTCAGCTCATAACCGCTCAACCAATGCAGTTTATTTGCGAAGTTCTGAATACAACTCAGTAAATATGCACTATTTGTCCTCAGCTTTTTATTTATTGTTGCTAATCCCCGAAACACAAAGACTAATCACATCTTAGCCGATAATTATCTTCCAAATTATTTCTAATATTAACACCAATCAGCAAGTAGTAATGTACTGTTCTATTCTAATGAATAATGCGATAAAAATGTTATACATATAAGAAGCACAACACTTACTTTAACAATAACTGTAGCTGTTGCTGTCATATCTGAAGAGATTCTGTGATTTGATGATGATAAAACTGAAGGTGGATTATAAGCTAGAACTTCAAAAATATGTTCTGATTTCGTTTCATAATCAAGTGGTCGATGAATCGATAGTCGACCAGTCAAATCATCTAAATGAAACCAATACCCTGGTGGATATTGGTTTACATTCCTTAAATCATTGCTGATAGGTAATGATGATGTTGAAGTAATCCATTCGGAACTTTTAGGAAACTTATAGATTATAACAGCATTTTCTCCGGTATCTGCATCTGTAGCACTCAACTGTAATATTGTTTTATTGATAATTCCTTCACTAATATGAACTTCGTAAACTGATTGATTAAAAACTGGTGAATGATCATTTATGTCTAATACATGAATAAATAAATAAAGTGTACCAGTTTGTGATGGTTGACCACCATCAATAGCAAGAATTCGAAATTTATATTCATCTTTCTCTTCACGATTCAATGGTTTCAGTAAAACAAGTTCAAGTTTTGAAATAAATGACTCTGTTCTATCATTTGATACATGATCAATTGAATTTGAAGGATAACGTCCATCAGAATTAGTAACAATATTTTTCGTATAATTCAATTGAAACATTTGTAAATCTGATTCACTATTAACCAAGTGATCAATATTTTCTAACTCATAACGTTGAATATTCAATGGTGAAGAGTCCAAGTCTTCAGCTAATGGTAAAACTATACGACTTCCTACTGGAGATGCTTCAGATAAATTTGTAATAAGAATAGGTTGTCCATCAGAAGATTCTGGAAAACCATTTTGTCCTGATGGCAGTTTTAAATTTTCTTTAGTATGCTAAAATTTGTTTTAACAAAATGTAGAAGGTTCATAATTAGTAAAAAAAATGGATACTGATAACAACGAGTAAATCTCATTAATGTGATTTGTAGCACAGATCATCTTTTAGTAATTCCTGTGAAATCTTGAAAATTATTACAAAAAGTCATAATCTCTAGATAGTTAAAAGATATCAGTCTTGATATTAACTTTAATCTAATTCAGCGATTCAAGCTCACAATGATTGCTATGCTGAACTACATAGAAACAATCAAACTGGATACCGGCCTGTATGTGCCAAATTAGTACTATCTACAGTTAGTCTATGTTTGTTAGCAATCAGAATCGCCCAAACAGCAGACATATGGATGATGATCCTGGGAATGAACAAACAATTCACTTACGCAACGTAGTCTACTTACTCTCATATTTGATTTATGATACAACCTTGGTAAAAAAAATGTGACACATCATGTTCTGTTTGATTCACTCGGTAATTGAATGATTCAAAATGTTTCTCTCTCTATATATTATTATTATTATTATTATTATTATTATTATTATTATTTTGTTATTCTATAGTTGATATTTTTCACAAAATTGATGACTTGAAAAATAGCATGTGCAAAAGTTCTTAGAAATATGTAAAAAATGGTTATAATCATAAACTAAGCATCAACAACAAGTACTTGTTATGCTGCACTTAAGTTAGTATCGAAATAATTGTCTAAGAAAAATAAAGATTAGAATTAGCACAAATCAACAAAATAAGCTACAAATATTTATCAGCATACTAATATAAAATGATTCCTATTTTCATTAATGAAAAGAAATCTTAAATCAATTAAAATAAACAATTCATTTTAATTGAGAATTTCGTCGGTGTACTTTCTAATTATAATCAGAATAACTATTTATTAACTGATCTTCAACAAACTTAGAAAGTTATGGTTTTAACGTTACAATCCACTCAATGATATTTCCACTAGATTCTTATAGATGTTTCTTACTCTAGTGAACTGTGAATGAATTTATCCAATGAGAAAGAAAGATACTGCAGATAAAAAACAATTTCATGAGCTTCTTATTATTGAACATGTCCTGAAAGATTTATTTACAAACAATAATTCAAATAGATTATCCTTGTTCAAGATTGAAACAATAAAATTAACTACATATTCTAATGTGAAACAATAAATGTTGCGTTGAAATACACTGAAAGATGTACGCTATGCATCAAACAATAGTGACTAAAGGTTAGACGGAAAAATGTCATGTATTTCAAATAAAGGAAATTTATCGATTATTTCCTTTTTCATATACAAACCTGTGGTAAACCTAGCTTTCAACTAATATTTACAAACTTATTTAACTTCATAAGACTCCGGTTTTTGAAATAACAACGAATACCGAATGAAAGTATATAAATTCAGTTATTCCGTTTAAAGTTAATATATATGATGACAACAACTAATTAGAAGAACAATATATGATCGTCATTTTTAACTCCAGCTCTACATTTTTTTTTAGGATTTACAAACTGAAATCTACTTATGTAATCTAATAATTCAAAATGGTATTTTTTTAAATCACAGAAGCTTTAAATGAATCATCATCATCAACAGCAACATAAAACTTTGCACGTAAGTACAACAGTTCTAGTTACCATACAACATAAGCACAGACATGCAAAAGTCAATCCAAATCCCGTAGTAGTAGAGGTAGTTAAACTATTCGAAGTAATCGGAGAGATTCAGGTCCGAAGATGTTATTCAAGAAGTATAATTCAGTGAGGTAAATTTAGAAAGAAAAAGATAAAGGTGATTAGGAATTCAGAAGGATAGAATTCCATAGAACACAAAGAGTAAATGCACCTGCACCATTGCAAACGTTTTTGAGCAATGTCATTCAGTCTCTAACAATCGATTATTATCATCTAGCTGACCCCAACGAGGTAGTCGACACCTACCGACAAAACTCAGTCAGTTCACTTGTCAGTGACTTAATTGATTTGTGCCATGTTTTGGTCTTTCGTCCAACCTATTCCTATATCGCAAAACATAGCTCGACGAGGAAGTCGGTAGTTAGACATTCGTAACACATGTCCCAACCAACTCAACTGATGAAGTTTCACCACTTCATCTATTGATCTGCAAACCTTACCTAGCACCCGTTTTCTAACAACAGAATTACTTACTCGGTTGTCCCACGATACTCGAGCAATGCTTTGGAGGCATCTATGATTGAAGACTAGTAACCTACGAATATCTCCTACTCTCACTGGCCATATTTCTGAGCCATAAATAAGGAAAGGGGTGAACTGCCGCGCAGTACACTCGTCCTTTAGTCAGTGAACGGATATCTCGCCTACGCCATAAGTGACGCAAGTTCGCAAAAGCAATTCGAGCGTTCTGTATCCATACCGAGATTCCGCCAGTCACCAGGCCATCGGCACTGATGAGACTCCCAAGATAAGTGAAGCGGTCAACACACTCAACTACTTCATTCCCTATCACTAGTTCAGGTGCCGATGCAACCCAATCGTGAAGCAACATTTTGCATTTCGACGGGGAAAACCGCATCCCGAACATGCTTGGATTGTTACTAAGGGTAGTCAGAAGACTCTGCATTTTGTCAGCGTCTTCACCAAGTAGGACAATGTCATCGGCATATTCTAAGTCAATAAGCGAGCCACCTGGTAGAAGGTCTACTCCTGAAAATTCAGACGAGGACAATGTTATGTCTAGGAGCATGTCTATGATAAAATTAAACAAGAATGGAGAAAGTCGACATCCTTGACGGACACCACTTGATGTAGAGAATTCCGGTGACAGTTCGCCATAAGCCCTCACCCGACCAGTGGTGTTCGAGTAAAGAGCTTGTATAAGGTTAATGTACTTCTTTGGTACACCTTTCAATGACAGACACTGCCACAGAACCTCACGATCCACTGAGTCAAATGCCGCCTTTAGGTCCAGGAAGACAACTATTGTAGGACGCCTAAATGTGTGTCTGTGTTCCAGGACCTGTCGTAGTGTGAAATTGTGCTCGCTATAGCCATGTCCAGGTCTGAAACCAGCTTGGTTTTCTCGAGGATTGAGGCCAGTCAGATGGGAATACGTCCAGTTCCCAGATTCTACCTAACATCTCGGTCAATCTAGCTGCTAAAACTGTACCACCATCCTTAAAAATCTCAGGGATCAATCTATCAAGCCTTGCTGCTTGCTCTCGCTTCAGATTTCCTATAGCTTCCTCAACTTCATAAAGACTAGGAGGACGTATGTGGGTTTTCCATTCAGGATGACTGGAGATCGTCGGCAACCGAAGTGTGGCTAAATGCCAGTTGAACTGATCCCTGCATTGTTCTGTCAATCGATCCAATCTCCAGGATTGAGATAGTTTCGCTCACATTCTGGTTCCTAATACCGGTTTCCCTGATAAGTCTGAATAGTTGCTTACTGTTGCCTATCGCCATTTCATTTTCCATCTCCTTTGCTTTCGCTACCCACCACTGTTCTCAATCATTGCGAAGGCTTTTTATCAGCATGCGCCTGAGATGACTCCGCTCCTCATCACGCTCAGAGTCATGAGGGATGAGCTTTCGAGCATCCATCAGTTCGGTAGATGCTACTGAAATCCCCGGTTTCTCCCTAACCTTATGGTTTACCTATCCAGCAAATATCACAGTTGTTTCCACAGCATTTCGGATATCATTCCAAGCTGCCTCAGGGTGGGCATCACTTACTACATGGCTGCTTAACTGTTTTTCTAGTTGTTCCTGAAATATATTCATAGCCTCATTATCACTAAGTAGAGCCCTAACAGGTTTCCTTGCGATACTTTTATTGCGTCCAGTAAGGCGCAAACAAATACGCGCTCGCACTAGAGCATGGTCTGAGTCTAAACAAGTGCTGAAGAATGAGCTGCAGTCATTAACACAGCCTCTTAACCGATGGCTTACAGCGATGTGATCTAATCGGGTCCATCGTTGGATCGGCTTCAGGGGTCGCCAGGTCGAAAGGTGTTTTACCTCAGTGTTTGCTAGGAATAGGCGGTTATCTGAGCATAGCTGCAGCAGACGGTCGCCATTATCTGTTCTATCAGCTGCAACACCATAACATCCACCCAGGTGTCTTTCCTCTTCACCTAGTCTACCTACTTGAGCGTTAAAATCACCAGCCATTATTACTATATCAGAGCGCTTAACATTTTGGAGAAGTTTAGAGAGGTTTCTATATCTCATGTTGTCTGAACTGCATTCAGTGAGAGCGTAGGCAGATACGACGAAGAGGCAACGGCGAGTATCCCTCTCCTTCCGAGTCCGTATCGTCCCGTTTAGTCGGACTGCGCATAAGCGACTGTCTACTGGGATCCAGTCTAAGAGAGCTTGTTCTGCCTTACCACTTAGTACTATACCTACGCAAGCAAGGCCACTAGAAGTGGCATCAGTGCTTCCAGAAACACGAAGCGTAGACCTTGTTGTCTCTATCTGCACTGGGTGAGATCAAATCGATGATTTTATTCGGGTCTCGTACGCGCATTCCGGAGACGCAGCATACATCGATCGACCGGGATTCCAGAGTTCTAGCTAATGAAGCCTGTTGCCCTATATGGCATAGGGTCTGAACACTAAAAGCTCCTATATGTAATTTAGTACGGGGTTTCAGGAGACCATAAATAATGTTTAGAGAGCTCGTACTGTTTGATTCAGTGGCGTGAGGTGAAAAACGATCGAAAGAAGGGCTGGTCGAAGAGATAAGAGAGATTGATTATGGCCAATTCGGTCTCGTGTGCTTTTATGGGTATGAAGGCGGATGTGAATCCCCGGCTATCCACACCGTGGAAGTGTGTTTCTTGAGGAACCCGGGAAGGAAGGTAGATAATTGTTGTTCTTAAAGACCTGGGAGAGAGAGCTCAGAGAGCAATGGACAACTGCTTGAGGCCGATCATGCAAGGCCTTTTTATGAAAGGTTTGTTAAGCATTAGCTCCGCTCTTAAAAGCCCTTAGTGAGTAGCCCTTACCGATGGAGACAGAAATCCGTGAGGTAGGGTGAGGTGTGACAATTTTAGGGTCGACCTTTTCTAACCCTTCCTTCCTTGTGAGAAGGTAGCATCGCTGCAGATGCTGGTTGTCCGAGGGAAACACCTTACTGCTTTCACACCCCTCTGCAGCCAGCACTACGACTTCGCCCTCAGACACTGAGTAGCTGCTTTTAGTCTCATCGTTCCCAAATCGACATGCCTGGCATGGTAGAACCTTCAGGAACATATGTTCCAGCCAATATAGCTCGGTTGGTCATCACGATAGGCAAGCCCGACCACCACGTCAAGGTGGCAGCTACGGTCGGGCTTTATGTGAATAGTTGGGAAACGATAAAACTGAATGTAAAATCATCACGAATACCACTTTAAAAATATTTTTTGGTATGTTTATTTATTGGAAATTAATTAATTCAAACTTAAAGTAGCTTTCCTCTACCAAATCCTATGCCAATCACTATCTATCCACATATATACATGTATAAATTTCCTGTTGGAATTAAGTTTCAAATATTTAAATACAACTGAATGATTTTTAATTCCAAGTTAAAATCAGCTTGTCATGTAAATAATAATAAAAAAAACTATTCTTAATAATCATTAGTCTACGTGTATGCAAAAGCGTCCTGTCTGTTTGCTTGTTTGTTTGTTTCCTTGTAGAGAATAATCGTTCGTGAAATTTCATTTATATTACAAATCAAAAGAAAGAGAATGACAATCTTGTATCTCGCTCACCAACATAAGTACTGTCAATGTTATGACATAAACATGGAACAAAATCTTTATATAATACAAACAACATGATGAGAATTGATATGACAATTATTAACAATACAGCATTGACTTTTTCCTCTCTCCTAACTTCTCTTAGTTTCTTTGCAAGATAAACAATTATATAGAAATGAAATAATATGACAAATAACTAACTTTTTAGCGATCTATTTGACATGATACTAAAAAAATCAACTGAAATGTGTTTGTGTACGTTTAAAATATCATAGTACTAGGCATGAGAATATAGTTTCTTTCAAATTCCAATCCAAAATATAAATTATTCAACACATATTTAGGTAGTCTGTAATGAATAATTTGTAATAAAACTTATGAATACACCTGTCTAGTATGTGAATTTTTCTTTATATAAAGCAATGAATGTTGTAAATAATTCATTTACAATTGTCCAAGTACTCAAATGTGTATGTGCACAACTAGCCAGTGAATGTTTTTAGCGTAGTAGCTACTTTTCTAAGAAATGTAACTAGTCAAATGAGTACTTATTCATACTTAGCTTTCTGTTTGATCAAATGATTTTATACAAGTTATCAGTAGAAATTCAAAGAAAGATTTGTGCATATTTTGATATACTATATTAAACTGAAACAGTTGTTCAGTGTTTTCTGGTTTTCAATGACTATCTGTCTAATTAGGATCAGTCACCTACACTGATAAAACATACTAGTTCTAAACACTAGTTTAGAACTCTGCGAACAGCAGTGCAATTTAGTCGGTACCCAAGGATTCATAGTTTAAATCTTAAATACTGTGATGTAGCACAATCCATATCAAATGTCACCAATCAATTATTTTATCGTTAACAACTTTATATAATAGAATATTTCGTTTTAATCGATATTTATTGTTTTTTTTCTGTCTTAGTAATCAGACAGAAAAAGACCCCAGAATATCACTTCAATTTTTATTATCATGAAATTCTGCAATATTTTTGCAAAAACGAGGTGAATACTGCGAAAATTTTAAGCTTTGAAACTACCCTACACATCAAAACTTTTGTTTAACACTTTGGTTATTATATTCTAGTATTCTTCCGGTTTGTGAACTTTTGTTTGGTGTATCAACTGTTGTTCTATGTTTTACCTTACTTCTCAACTTATTACAAATCGATTATTTAGTTCTCCTTCACTTATCATGCAGTCATGAATACACTCTACTTTCCTATTCATGTTGATTTTCAACAAGTCACCTGATCTATATTATCATATGGGTTTAAGTTATAAACTCAACTGGACAATAGAAGTTACCTGCCTGTCAGTGTCCAAAGGTATATCCTCGACCAGTAGACGTTAAATATTGATTTTGTCGTTACTTCACCGTTATTCAGTTATAAGTCAAAGTAAAATCATTGTTTCATTGTTAGGCAAAAGGTCATTGGTCCTACGAAGATGATCTAGAGGGATTAATTAATAACAAGACTGGATAATCCGACCACTCCTAGAATAGCCGTTTGATTTCATGGACCCTAACACAATACCAGAACCAGTTCTTCGTGCTTTTAAACATGGCTCCAATAATTTAAATAAATTCAATAACAAGTTTTGTCATTCTTGCATAATTTAAGGGATCAAGAGTTAGAAAACAATGGAATTTGTATGAAACGCATGAATAGTGACAATGGATTGATGTTTGGCAACAGGAACAGTCCAGTTCCATAGGATGAACTGATCTTTTGCAAATGAACAATTTACGATATGGTTTTCCGATTTTACTGAGTAACTCTGTAATTTTCGTTAAATACAATTCGGTTGCCCCACCTGTGTTCTCATTCACTACATACATTCTTGTTACATTTTTATATTTCTGCTAACTGTTAGCATCACTGGCCAATAACTAATTACACTGAAAACGAATAAGCCTCAATCAAACGCTCGCAAAATATTAACCTGACATTCTACACCAACACACATTATTTTGTAAGTGAACGAAATAGTCTATGCAACAGATTCAATTGTCAAACTTTAGATAGGTACTCCATACGGAATAATGAGAACCGTTTTAACTAGATCATCGATGTATATTGTGAATATTGTTTCATTATGGAACATCGTTCTCCAATTTACTTAAATTTGATTTCATGGTCAGTACGGAGCATATAGAAAATTCACTGAATATCAGTTGATTTATGACCAAAGCTATCAATTACTTAAAAAGAGAAATCGAACTGGCTACTTTCTAATTGTGTGTAAAAGCTATGAGTTATACTAACAATAATCCCTTCAAAGTTGAAAGGAACAAATATTTACGAAGCATACAGAAAGAATTAGTGTAGTACCTAACATAACACCACAAGTGCTATAACATTTTTAACATAGAAAAATATACATTAAACTAAGTGATTAGAGCGTCACTGGAAAAGAAACAACTAGATTAAGAGGGATATGATGTTTAGGATAAAAGAAAATTTACTCATGAAGTAAAGTCATTATCACTGATTTTCAACCAGATCATGCAAACCTCATAACTAGTGATTCCTAACATCTTGAGAATATCAAAACCCAGATCACATCACACATATCGGTAGATTCGAAGACTTTACGGGTTGATACCAAAACTTCTTATGGTCACTGATTAGCCGTCATTCAAGTTAATCCTTCTTTATCCATTGTAACATATTAAGATAAAATATGACTCATTATGATGTATATACACATCTTGGAAACCTCATTGATAACCAAGGTTATCAAATTCAGTACGATTTTCTGTTTCGTGTTGGTTGATTTAAGTGGCCTTGAATAACTCCACTAACAACAGTTACCGAACCAAACCATACATAATTGAAAAAAACACCTTAATTAATATTTCTCAAATAAAACAATGTCGAAAGGAACGTTAATTACATTAGATTACTGAAAAATACTAGTGTTTGTGTACTGTACATATCAAAAAATTTTACCAGAGAAATTAGATTTGTAAACACTTTAAATAAAATAAAACTGAATCCATTTAAAGTATGTTCTCGGATACGTTCGACATTTGTAGTCATATTCAGAAATGTGCAAAATAAACAGAAATTTTGTTTATTACTATATAAATAATCAGCCAGTAATAATGAGAATATACATATATATAAATAATGAAAATAGAAAAGAACAAATTTCACACTTACTTTAAACTGTGGTACATGATCATTTTCATCACATATAATAATTGTTATCTGATGTGTATCCGGTACATCAGCTGGTGATTTAATAACTGATACAGTTAAATTAAATGTACACATTGGATTAAATAAAGATTTAGTATCATGCATTTTTGCAGAACACAAATTAGAATAATAAAATGATTGTGTTGGTAATCCATGTATATTGTTACTTGATGTTGGATATGAAAGATAATTATATTGATAATCCTTAAAATTGTTAAGTCCAAGAGGTGCAATATTAGAAGAAATGGTTGATGTTGCCGTTATTGTTGTTGTAGGTCCTTCATATGGACAACATAATCTAGACTCTAAACATAATTTATCACGATCTATAGTACGTGATGTTATTAATTGATAATTTTCATTTAAATCAAAATATTCACGTCCTTTAGATAATTGTAGTGATAATTTATATCCTAATTGAATGTAATTCAATAAAAAGTCTTTACAAACAATTTCATTTTCCCTTGTATTATCTCTTAATACAATAGGATTAAATGTAAGAGCGCAATTAATGAAGAATATTAGGTTTATGAAATATATTGTATGTGATGATTTCATGATACAACGATGATAAATTCCAAGTAAAAATTAGATCATGATTTTTGTTTGTTCTTTTTATTTCCACTGATTGATGGATGCATTCAGCATAGGAAAAGAAACGAATAGAATTGATTACACTGAACCGAAACCGTCATAAAATGTGCTAGTTTTGGAGGAAAGAATTAAAAGAAGGAAAAAACTATCAATTAGTTCAACTTCATTTAAATATCTTAAATAGCATCATCATTCTAAAATATTATGGTAAAAGGATAGTGTATCGACGGCCTTGAGTGAACCAATCAGAATTGAGATAATGCCTCATGCGCTTTGCGTGAAATTTAGAATGTAATAATGTAACAGAGGTAACAGATAACTTGTAGTTTTTATTAACAAAGTAAAATTAGGCAGTAGCTGATCCTTAAAATGCCTGAAGTCGTTAGAATTTTCTATCTTGAAATCCAAAAGTGAATTCAAGATGATATTTAAGCTAAATTACCAAAGATAAATACTTTCAAGTTAATCGTATATTAAAGTACTTTTTGTGATTTAGTCAGTTATCAAGAATGTTTAATGAAGTTAGATAATGTCCTCCTATCATAACTCTTACTCGTATTCCCAACGATATCTTTTAAGTTTGTAAATAGTAGAATGATATCATAATTGGTGTCATTTCGTCATGAAAACCCTGACCTTAGTTTTAAAATCCAAACTCAGGACTCCAGCATGATCTTTAATACCCAACGCTTACCGTCTAGCATCACAGATGGTCTCAATTGATGACGAAAGCTTTGTAGGGTGAGAACACTTACTCATAACACTAGCCTGACTTTTAATTGGTAAACTCATTTTACTGCAAGGAAAAATTCAACATGTGAGGGCTGATCACTGAGATTAAGTATACCATTACACTGATATTTTATGGCTTTCAGCTGAAAATTTTTTTTATAACTGGCCAGCGTTTCCTGATTGGCTGATAAGCGACTCAAGGTCATCAGTTTACTATACTTTTACCAACATTATCAACAAACACGTTGCCATTGTATTCCACCACACCTTTTTATTTAAAACTTCGTAATCGTTACAGGTGAGTAGTATTAAAACTGAACACCAGACGTGATAGTTTCTGGGTCTTTTTATATGAGTAGTGAAGTGAGCAGAAGTCTTTCTATTACCAGTGACTGATTTAGGCACTAAAACCAGTTCCCTTAATCAACTTTACAACTGACATTCAGTCAAAAACTGTCTGAGAGTAAAAACAGTGAAGTTTCATTGCTTTTGGGCACTTATTTCTGAAGATGTTAACACTGTTCATTTCCGTCAACAGTTACTTTTACAATAATTACCTTCATTATACCTAATGATTGTAATCAGTCATATTTGATAGGAGATTTAGGATTGAAACTATCTACTAACATGATGCATTTCATATCTGATGGAATGACTGACCAAAGTTGAGAAAGATTATATGCGACCCATACAACTCGAAAGTCCCTCATAAGCGATATCAGTAATAATATGCATGAAAAGTGTAGGCCAGTAATAAAAGCGATCATTGTTTGATTTAATTATTTAATGAGGAAGGTCAATGAAACAAATTTATTTCTAAAAACTTATTTCTTCAATAATTTCATATTATTATTACATCATACATCCAATGTTACATTTGATTTGTTAAAAAGTATAAATTGAATTAACGATAACCTTGAAAATTGAATAGAACAGCGATTTCTATTTCACGTATATAGTTTATTTTTTCAAACCAAAAAAAACGTTAAGTCAAAACTACAGGAGTTTTTTTATTGAAAATAATTCTAATCAACTATAAAACCAACTGTATTAAATAAAATTTTAATCCTTCAATTTTTTTATGTTATTGTTGCTGTTGTTGTTGATGTTGTTGTGACTGATGGTGTTTATCAATTTATCGTCGCCATAATCATCGTTGCCCTTTTCACTGTCGAGTTTTAATGTCCACATACCTGGAGGCCTTTGAATTTTTCAATAATGACAAAAGAAAATCAATACATTTATACACATTAATTATCTGTTGTATAACATACACCACTACAAAACCTTGAGATCAATTCTCTACTATTCATTGTCTTCTTGTTAAAAAAAGAAAAAGATATCCGAAGCAGTGTATAACTTTTGTCTACATATTTTTGTCTAGTTGATATAAGATACGATAAAACAAGTAAGAGAAACTTGAAAATTGAGCAGATTGACAGCTGTCAGAAAAAACAATATTGTAACATAGAAAGGAAAATGAATCACATCCTAAAACGAACCAGTGATTTATCCAATCACATAACTTATTATGTTTAGATTGATGATCCTCTATCATAAAAACGTGATTTGGGTGTCAATTAAATCGATATTGTTAGAAATATTTGGGTCGTTCAGATATAACAACCGGATAAAATATCATTGAATGCTATTTTCTAATGACTATTGCTAAGTGAACTGTCTAGGTTTAGGATGATATCTCTCGTTCAAAAAACAACGTTACACTTTTTAAATACACTTTGACCAAATAGGTTTCTCAATTTGTCTAAGATACGCATTGGTAGAGAGAACTATTCAATATTCAGTGTGAATAACGTTTAAAAAGTATTTTCATTCGCTGATTCAATGTTAAATAGTCTTTTATGCAATTTGAAAATGATTAATATGACTTGAAATTATAAGCACTTTCAACTTTCAAAGAAATATAAGACAAAAATGAAGTGGATTAACTAGAGCTAATTGCTTGTCTATGAACTATTTTGATGGAAATATTATGCCTAGTGCAAAAGCGCATATATAGTAAACAAAATATTTGCAAACAATTTACAAATCTTAAACCAGACATAATCTATATATGTGTCAAAAACTTAGAAACTGCTGTGTTTTTTTTACACAAGGAGAGAAAATAAACAATAAAGATCTTATAATAAATATAGTGTTTGAAGTTATTGCACGTCTGCACAATATACAATAATAGAAATAACAGGAATATACCAAAAAGTTAAAAACAACATATAAATATGGTGTAAACATTTACTCAAGATTAGAAGGAAAACGAAGACAGAAAACACTTATGATATTGTGATTGATTGAGAGACAAACTTGACCAGATGTATTGAAAATATAAAAATTTACAGTCAGGTTAATCGAATTACTTTCCTTTACTGAATCTTTATGATAAACATTCCAAAATGAATGAATTAACTTTACACTAAAAATGCTCTAAACATATGTTAATTTCTTGACCATAGTAATTCTACTTACTTTTAACAATTATGACTCAGAAATGTATAATATAACACATAACCAACTATTGAGAAATTACCTTTAACCTGTAGCATAACTGTAGTATAGCTTGTCTGAGTCCTACTTGCTCTTCTTACATACATATCTATAGCCCGTTACATATTAAAAAAGAATACTTCAATATACTTTAATAAATTTAGTCATTTGGAACATTTTGGTTTAGAATAGCCAAACAGTTAATCATTTTCTTCAATCAGGATAAGACGTAAAATGTTAATTACTAAACTATTTAAACGGTAGATAACAACATCGCTGTTATATGATTGTGTGTATACATAGAAATAGGAAAATAAAGTTAATAAATCTTAGAAGAAATTATTTTGAAGAAAAAAAGAAACAACCAGAAACTGAACCATCTCAAGTTTACAACAGTAAACTGTCAAAAATTGAATTTCCACATAAATTATACTTCAACTTATCTGACCTGAAAGGAAATAAAAGTTGAAATTGTCAAAGTCACACAAATATATGAAACGGTTTATATGTTCAACTATTGTCAACATTATCAACATACACATAAAACATACACGTATATACTTATAGTTAGTTATCGTCTAAATATACGAACATACAGAAACTTCCTGTAACATGAAAAAAAAATTCAGGTAGATATTTTACCAACCGTATCAATTACATCAATCTACATCATACCATTCATTATAAGAGAAAATATCTGCGAAAAACTTTCTGTAGACATTGTCTACTTCAATGTTAAACCAATACAAAGGGAAATGATGACGACAGTTCAAACATGTACACAAAATAAAAATAATATTTATTTCTAACCTCAGTATAATTTTTTCTTTTCAATAGAATATTTTTCAAAATAAACACAAAAATCAATGAACAAAGTTTCGTTCTTAGATTATCATACAAAGAAGGATGGAGGTAAAACCATTAAACTGTGAAAGAAGAAAGATGAGCAAAAAAAAACCAACTGATTAATTTACTTTCGTCTTCTCTTATCCTATTTTCTTACTCTCCTCTGCTTTCTCGCTTATTATGTTGTTAAAATTGGTAAGTCTTATACATATAATTTTAAAGATATATTACTTTTTACGTATTCTATAAGTGAAGTTATGACAGGAGACTCTCATTTAGACAGTATGTACATACATATATCGTTATATTAATTTGAAAAATTGTACACCATACACAAATAGCAATTAACATTCAGTGAAAAATCCTTTATCCATGACGCAATCTTTATGCAAAACATCACTATTTTATCTACGCAATATCTTGAGCATTCTTCACATCCATGTAGTAAATAAGTGAGTGAGTGAGTGTAAAACAAACATAAATTCCAATTTCATAACCTATTTAATTTTACAAATCATTCAATTGAAATATATCATTCACATAATTAAAATATCGATAATAATGTGTTAAATTATTTACAAAAAAATTGGAAATTCTTTGCTCTTGGACCAGTACAAGAAAATGAAAATGATAAGAAGCAATGTTTTCACAACCAATAATTGATTGATATGAAACTAAACTTACTGCATGGTAACTTTCACAATGTGAGAATGTTTATTTTAATGAATTAGTCCTTTGAACATTAACTACAAATGTTTGTTCTACTAACATTGGTGGTAATATTGTAATTAGCGTGAAGTAATGGATTAGTTCAGTTATTTTACTCAAAGATTACGTTACAAATTGATCTTAATTAAACAACTAATGAAAAGTAGAAAGCACTGGACGGTTGTTCTGTCCAATGCTTCCCGGCTTTCAATGATTGAAAAATGAGAATCGCAGTATGACTGCGATTAACTAAGTTATTCTAGAAATGATTGTTGAAAATTTGTTGACTAGTTTCTCGTATCCAATAGTACCCATCACACA